TGTGGCCCCCGAGCGCATCCACCTCGAGCTCTTTGAGACGGGTGACCTGTGAAAGGTGTAAATTGCAAATTCGGACAGGGGAAGTTTTAACTAATTGAACAGATACCAAACTATCCTTGCGTTTGCTCTTTTGTCTCTGTTTCTTTCTCTGTTATCGTGCTTGCTCTTTGCTATCATGGTAGTGGCTTTGTTATTTGAAATTGTACTTGCTGAGACAGAACGCCGATATGCGTTGCGTTGTTTCTTCAGCTTGCTAGGACAGATCTTCTCTCTCGAACATATTTGCAAAACATTTTGGAACTTTTAGAGACACAGCATCGTCCACGGCATTTTGTGCAACCTTATGGTACAGGAAGGTGCGCAGGTTTGCAGCCCCGCCCTCGGCTCTTGCTCGTTTCTGTGCATCGCTCAATGTTGTTGTTCGCATTCTGGTCGTCAGTGGTTGGTTGCACCTTCCTGTTTCTTACAACACCGTGTCCACAGTTGTCCGACAGCGAAGGTAACCAGCCAAATGAGGAAACCACGAGGGAGTATGTTGCACCGGTTGCCGCCTTTACAATCCTAACAGGACATACCGCTTCAGTCCACTTAGCTCACCTCTATTTTGTGCATTGTAGTACGCTGTATGGTCTCGATATGATGTACGAAAGATGCTTCTCCCTAAAATATGTAAAAACGGGCAAGAAGAATTGTACGATTTGTAGGGAAGGCACAGTGTCTCAATCTTGACAAGGCTGGGCACATCAAAGCAGGTACCGGTCGCTCTTTCCTCTACGCCCGGTTCTTTGGGTTGCTCCTTCTCCGCTGAAAATCTGCCAAGGTCGATCTTCGCACCTTCCTTCTCTTTATTTCATGTCAAGGGAAATTCGTAGCGAGATGCATGTCTTTAGACAAAGTACATATTGTTGCGTCTGCCGTACAACACTCCCAATGCAATTCACAGCGTGCTTCGGGTATTGCGTAGTACCATGACGCCGCCAAGTCCTATGTTGCCGCCGTTTTCTTACGTGCCTCTCTGCTGTTCGTTTTCAGCAGGTCAATTCTCCTCGTTCTTCGTGGGAACTTGGCCATCCTCGGGCACCTTCCTCGTATTACGAAAATGCTGGGGGCAACTTCCCAAAAAGATGTACATGCCCTTGACTGGTGTAGCGCACCTTCCTTTCTGTACCTTTGCTCGGAAACTGTACATCAGTTTTTCTGTGCCCTCACGCTGTCTTCCCCAAGTCGTCTTTTGGCCTCGTTTTGTCGTCGTCTTTCCCACATCGAACTTCGCCTTGGGCTCCCCAGAGACTGTTTATCGACGGCATGTAGCACAATTGCAACAGCGTATCGCCCACATATCGCCAATGTCTCGCTCATCGCGTTTGTCTCTCGTCCTCGAATCCAAGACAAGGTATCAGGTTCGACACTGTATTTCGTCGGAATTCCCCAATTTTGGCGTCCGCATGGCCCATTTGTAGGTTGTTCTGCGTTGCCCACCCATCTCGTCTCGTCTTCTGATGCAGCCTGCGTCTTTAACCTGCAAGATCGGGTAATGTGCGAGTCTGCAGCTAATCTGATGGACGCTCATGGGGTTTCTGGCTAGCTGACAGCACAATTTCTATCCGAAGGCAACGCCGCCACGGATCTCTCAACCCCAGTCGATTTGTTTGCATTCCCCTGTATGCCGTGTTAAGCAGCACGAATGGCGAGACAGCGACACCACTACCTCAATGTATCCCTTCGCGATAGGTTCGTCGCTTTCTCGAGACACTACCTTGGGTAGCACGACATCAACCGTCATCCCCGGAGACATTTGCGTTTTCACGCGGCAAAGTACTGTTCAGTTTACTTCCACCAAAACTTCGAAATCAGGCGAAAGGCCCTTAAACATGGCGGTGAACGGCTTTCCAGTTTGAGGATGCTCTTTCGTTTCACTAACAGTCTGCGACAGCTTTGGACATTGCACTGCTAGTATTGTGCGGAGCATTCATCCTTTCTGGGTAGCCCGGCTGGAATCGGCGTGGTGAGTCTTGAAGCCGTCTCGAGGCTTATGCCATGACTAATGTGTTTTTGTCTCATAGAGTTTTGTCTGCATCTTCTTGATCAAGGTTGCACGAGATGCTGCACTTCACCGCCTCCATCAGTTGCCGTCCCCGCTATCGTCGTGCCCTGGTATTTGCCCCGTTCAAATGGTAAAATTTGGGCCCGGACCGTCCAGATCTATTGCAGACAAGATATATTGCCTGGCACGGACGTTCGAGCACGTTCCTGTCCCAAGCCCTCGGCTCGTCTTGCCACCAAAAGCCGCTCATACACGATCAAGGCTCGATTTGCATCCGGCCCATGAAAAGCAACAACCCTGACGACGACAAGGGTCTAGCCATATTTTGCACTGCAAAGTAGCCGAGTCTGCATCCCAACCCCTGTCCGCTTTTGTGTTTTCTTCGTGCAAATGCACGCTAGTGCAGGATCTGTTCCTTCTTCGTGATACAACGATCAGGCTCACCATATCTTGACAACAAATACATTCGATACAGGAGTGCCGCCTCGAGCACGACATGAGTCCCAACATAAAGGCCATCCACGAACTCGATTAAACACGGATCATTACACCCCTGGGATGTGCAGTTTATCGTCTAAGCTTTGCGTAACATTTAGGCCAACATCATTTTCATCGTTGGACTTGATGGCCTTGTTCCCATGCTTTTTTACACACAAGCACACCACACGTCTCAGAAGCCACCATGCCGGCACCGTATCCTAAATCAAAGAGCAGCCGAGGTTCTGCATGTCGAGTGACCACACTGCAGTACTGAGGCGTATTTGCAATCGGATTACGATTCCCCAAAAAGGACTGGCGTGGTCAGTCAAGTCCTTGAGCTTCGCCTGTGCATACAGCCAACGCAGGTCTCTGTGCGTTTTACCTTTTATTCCTCCTTTCTCTCTCGCTTGTTTATTCTCGTATCTGCGTGTCATCGCGTCTTTTTACCCCTGAGAAATGTTGTGCTAATGCACTAATGACTCAACATTGTTGCAGCTCCTCCATTCGTTGAGAGCCTACCATGATGAACAGTAACGCTGTCTATGGTTCCTTCAGGTAAGTCCCGTCTCAAGCTGCCTACCGAGTTAGTAGCCATCACCTTAGGTCAAGTCAGCCTCCCATCCACTACAAGGTGCCACATAAGCATTCTTCCGTTATCTGCGAGCTGGCTACAGGAAGTGGAAGCATCAAAGGAGTATATATGTATGTGATGTCCCGTCCGATCTCAACCTACTGGTAGACGGACGTGAATTTATCACCGAGACTGATTTATATCGATTTGTCTTTAATTTTCGAACCACATTGCTTCGAGGCATGCCATTTCAAATTACCTGTCAATATTTCTTTTCCCTCGTACCGAGCATTGTTCGACACACCTTCCATATCACAAGGCACAATGGCAGAAGGACCCATTCGAAGGGCGTGCAATCGCTGCCACACCCAAAAGCTCAGTTGCAAGCGACTCGGAAACGAACCCTGCGAGCGTTGCGTACGACTCAAGGCGGAGTGCAAGTCAAGTCCATCTTTGCGATTCAGAAAATCAAACAGCAGCACCACTGCTGCCAACACGTCCACGTCACAACAAGATCACCGCTCTCAGAAAAAAAGAAATGGTGGGTTATCACCCATGCCATTTTACTCACAGGCAGGAATACCATATCCTGGCCCGTACAGCTTTAACGGAATGGCCGAAAATCTGTGGCCAACACACAATGTCGATGCCGGGCATCTCATCTACCCATTCGATGGGAACCAAATCTATCAGGCTCTGCCTCCACAGCATATCGACTGCCAGGGTGACCAGAACATGCTTTTCCGCCGGGATCGTATCTCAAGATCAGTGGACAACATACCAGAATCGTCACAGGGTTTGGGTACCGCGCCCACAAATTCAACCTTTCAATTGAAGAACGACCTCACTCAGTTGTGGGTCACTAACCCGACCGTCTGTCATGGCCCGTACGTCACAGATCTTGCCAGACCCAACGAGCTGAGATGTAAGGTTGATGTGGAAGCGGTGCCGGGCATAGCGGTAATGCCAGAAATGTCATTCCCACCGCACATACCCCCAAATGGAGTGAGCTCCAACAATTATCTTTCTGGAGATGCTTCTTATTGTAGCTCTTCACACCTCACGTCGAAAGACATCCCGACAAAGCATCACGCTGCAGACCACATACCACGCAAGACTGTATCAAAGCCATTAATGTCAAATCTCTGCGATATTAGTGCGCAGTTATGGGGCATGAGCAATATGATCACGACAGTGGGAAGCGGCGGCGGCATAATTCTAGAAAGAATGAATGTCACACACAGCAGCCATGGAAGCTCCCGTGGCAGTACGCAAAGTGATGGCCAGTCCCCCGCGGGAACACCACAAGATCAATATTTCCCAATGGGAGACCTTTTTGCTGTCTCACGCAATTTTATTCAGGTGGTGCAAATTGCCTGCCATGACCAAAATGAAAACACGACACAGACCTTTACGGAGGACATTGCCGCCACAAGAAACAAGACCGGCGACCGAGTGGACGCCGAAAGCTTTGTGGTCCTCGCAAATTCGACATACGCAGCATTGCTGGATGTATACCATCGTATATTCCATATTGTGGACGCTATCGCCAGCAGTGAAAGTTGCCCTCCACCCTCTCACAACAGCTGTGACAGCTTCATATCCACTAGCGAAGGCGACTTGAAGCAATCTCTACAGTCTGCGACAGCCTCGGCCTCGTGGAAAGACATGGCAGCACTCTCATGCCTAAAGGTCTTTCACTTTCCAGACGTGTCTGTCGGAGGGTTCCCCATTGTCTCAACACCGGCGCTGCAGCTCGGACTGGGGTTACGCCTGGCGGACGATTTCCTATGCCAGTTCACAAACGTGGTCGCCATGACGCAGACTTGTTTCTCCTCCACCACTCAAGTGGAGAGCTTGACTTTGAGTGCGCTGGCTAAACAACACCAGCAATCCTTGCCAACAATGAGCACCAGCTACTTTCCCCATCCTCCGTTGGTGGTGTCGAACGACCTCTGTGTAGGTGATGGCTTTGTCGGCCTCACGGATTGGGACGCGTCGGCATCGGCATCGACGGCGACATCTGTCTCTTCGTCGTCAGGAAGCAACAGCTCGTTCTTGTTGCAATATGGACAGGGCATGCACAGTTCCTCGCTTTTGGACGACGTTGTGCGTCGAGAGCACGATGTAAGACAGGAGTTGGCGGGTCTGCGGAACAAGTTGGCAACATGAATGTGCGTTTCTATGTTATGCGAGATGAGATGGAATGTTGAAGGCGCTGCAACTTTCGAATTTGCGCCTCTCGTTATGGTGTTATTTGTCTCTGTCCTGCCTTACTTAAATTTTGACCCAAGTTGCAAGCTTGTTGTCTAAGTTCGTTCACTTTCGGCCCCCATATTAATTGCATCTCTAACTCCCATAAATAGGTTCCAAGTTTGGCGAGATAAAGATGTTTCGTGATTTTTCTGCACCACATACGAGAGGGATCAAAAGTAAAATAGATACTACAATACACGACATCGTGAATAAAGGGGCGGCACAAATGTGCTGTCTAAAGGAAGATGAAACTTGGTTTCTGCAAGGAAAAAGCAGCAGAAGCCCAGAAGAAGAAACAGGCTTTGCGTACAACAAACAACCCGTCTCTGTCTGTATGTCTTCGGAAAAAAGATTACGTGCTTGGGCTCTTTGGCACAGTGGGAAATGGGGACAAAAGACTAACACGAAAACAAAATAACGCCGACGATGAAACCTAAAGCGCAGTACGACATACTAATTTAGGAAACGCGCCAGTGCTGTGCGCGGGGTGGGTCGCCTGTCGATCGGAACTTGGCTGCTTACGCGGACGTTTCAGGGCAATTTTAGCGGCCGGCCTCGCATCACTGGGACCCGACGTTTTGGTAGCGACTTGGAATTTGCTTTGTTTACATTCCCCTATTTTATCCCGCGTTCGTCTTACATCGCCAGCCACAAAACGCTAAAGACTACATAACTATCAGAAACAGTATATAGGGTTTGTCGTTGCTCACAAAATACATACTTTTCCGTCGTTGCTGTGGCTCAAAATGTAATATTTGGAAAATGAGCCTGTCGACCATCTTTTCTATCCCACGTGGCATTGCAAATTCATTATGAACCTGTGGCTTCAGTGCCGTGCACCAGAGTATGAGTGTTGTCGTGTATCCTTTACGACAACTAGGGTTGACTTGTAAGCTGTGAATTGGAGGCCATACTCAGCGACCAGTAGCATGTGTTGTCCCCTTATTCTGACCATTTCCCGGGTCTCAGAAATTAATACTATGCATCTCACCGACGCGGGTATGTGCAGCCAGAATACAGATCTTTCACAATCACTTGGCTCCGCCCAATTGGATTTGCGGGAACTAGAGCCGGGATGGATCTGCTTGGCTTGGTATCCTTCGTATTTTCGGTGTGCCCTGGGCGTGCCCTGTGTGGTGAGGGGCAAGGCCAAGGGCGTATTATAGTACGATGTGGAGATGTGCAATCTATCTCGATCTAATATAGTGCAGGCGCGAGTCTCTCGATCCGGTTCCAGAAGGCAGTCTACATTAACTAGATCATGTAAGTGTGTTTCTTATTTTATCCCGGGAAAAAATACACCGGGGTGATCACGAGTTTACGGTATAAAAAAGATATAGATCGCATATTGTTTTATTTCGGTTATGTTTTACTATTAAAAACGATACCTGTTAGTAATGCGTTGTCCATAGAAGAAAAAAATTCCGAGCGCCTGCGACCGAGCGCCTGCGATGGCTTGTAGTGTTCGTTCATCGGCACTTTCTCCTCCGTGCAAGGGTGTGCTGCAAATCTACCGAGATGATTTGGGCGTCCCTGTTGCCATGCACGTACGGAATTCCGAACACAAAGAGCACTAACCGGAGCCAACTACTGCTACGGGCTCGTCTTCTAGGTTAATATATACAATCAACCTTGTCTTGAGCATGACCATATTCTTGTGGCCTAGGTATTCGACCGAACCTAAAGTGCATGGGCAGCAACCCAGTATGTTTTCTAGTGTCACTTCAATATGGGTTGTGCATGTAACCTTATGCTCTTTCAAATTTTGTACTCCCGGTACTATGTGCTTCATGTTTGATTCCGTGCACATTTTGTGCAACAAGTCGACGGGACAGACGAACAAAGCTCGTTGTCTCTTCTTCGTCGAGTCTTTTGTCCAAGGTGCCATGGATTCTTTCTCCATTCACCAGAAAATGCACGACTTGTCAAGGAAGGCTGAGCGAGTCTCAATGTTAGTTGCCTGATGAAACGAGAGTCGCTCCCCTATTCAGAGTGGATTTTTGGTTAACCCTCTTTTCGACTGCTAGGATAGCCCAAGCAACCGGGTATATTTCCAATCCTTGCCCTTGGTGCCCCTTGACAGACTAGTGATTCGCAGCCCTACTTTCTGTACGTTGCCACTTTCGATGCAATCTAATATCAACCGACTCCCCCTACATGTCCAATGCCCTTCGTATCCGGCGCTCTGGGTCGCTTGGCACCGACCTCCAAGACATTTACAAATGCCTGTCCATCAATAGCAACAACGATGCTGCATGGCATTCCTATAAAGTAAAGAAAATTTTGTATCTACAGTTACACGATCTGCATGGAGAGGAGAAGTGTAGATTAGAAACTAAGAGCCGCTTCGTCGGGATGTCGTAGTCTCTAGTACCCGCCGTCGTTGTCAACATGCGCCAACTTGTCTCTTTCGATTTCTGTGATTCATAATCCCTTTCGTTCTATATTGTTCTCGTGGATGCGTGCCCACCACACCCTTCCATCAGACCGTCCTAACCCTCGTCTCCATGTTGTTTCGCCTACACGACCCTCGTATTTGATTACAGCCGTGGCTGCGAAAGCATTGTGGTCGCCTCGAGACATCACAATGTGGTGACGCCATGCCAATGTTACTCTTTCCTCTATTTCTTTCTTCCGCCTCTCCCGTACGATTTCCGGGCGCCATAACCGCGTGGCCGTAATGCCATGCAGCCTTTGCAAGGGAAGGAACGTCCCAGTTTATGTCGCGCCTTCCTACCATGATGACAAAATAGATCCTCCTTCTTTCCTAATTCGGCATGGACCATATTGCAAAGCCTGTCTCTCTCCTGTCACCTACGCAGATCGTTCCTTCCTCATTTATTACTTCTACTATCTGCTGTTACCAAAAATGTCACTTGACCAAGTTACATATATATGCCCCTTTTCCGTCCATTATGTCTCATCTCTTGATCCTCTCTCTCTCGTCACCTCTTCCTCTTTACTCGTAACCTCTTCCTCCTTACTTCTTGTCCTCGTCCCTAATTGTTTCCACAGCTTGCTCAAAAGTCTTCCTTTTTTTCCGGGACTTCCCCATCTACATACTCTTCCTCTACTTGCATAACAAAGAAAAATGCCTTACAAACTTCCCCCTTCGGAGCCGATTGCGGTCGTGGCAAGCAGCTGCAGGTTTGCGGGCGGCGTCACTTCTCCAAGCAAACTTTGGGACCTTTTGAGACAGCCGACAGATTTGTCTCGCAACGTGCCCCCCAGTCGGTTCAACGTACGTGCATTCTTCCACCCCGATGGTGACTACCACGGCACCACCGATTCACCCAGGGCCTACTGGCTCGACGATGATCAAGATATTCGCGAGTTCGATGCCGGTTTCTTTGGCATCGCACCGAAAGAAGCAGAGGCCGTTGACCCGCAACAGCGACTCCTGCTCGAGACCGTCTTCGAGGCTCTCGAGTCTGCAGGGTATCAGCTTCCACAATGGGCCGGGAAAGATGTTGCCGTCTACGTCGGTGCCATGACCGCAGACTTATATTCCGTATCACAACAGGACGACTTGACGACGTCTCCGTACTACGCCACTGGCAATGCGCGGTCCATCTTGTCCAACCGCATCAGCTACTTTTACGACTTTCATGGGCCCTCTGTCACCATTGACACGGCATGTTCCTCCAGTCTTGTTGCTTTGCATCAGGCTGTTCTCGGACTACGTGCCGGCGACTGCAGTGCTGCCTGCGTGGCCGGTGTCAATTTGATGCTCACACCGGAACAATTTGTCGTCGAGTCCAGTCTGCATATGCTGAGTCCCACCGGACATTGTCATATGTGGGATTCGCGAGCCGATGGCTATGCACGTGGTGAAGGCGCAGCCGTCTTGTTCTTGAAGCCGTTGCGCCGAGCCCTAGCCGATGGTGATGGACCACGCATTCAAGCTCTCATCCGCGAGACGGGGGTGGATTCGGATGGCCGCACCGCTGGCATCACGATGCCGAGCCCCACTGCGCAGGCATCTCTCATCCGCGCCACATACAAGCGTGCGGGACTTGATATCACCGACCCTGCAGATCGCTGCCAGTACTTCGAGGCACATGGCACCGGCACACCGGTCGGCGACCCCCGAGAAGCAAGTGCCATCTACTCCGCATTTTTCGAGGAGCGCAACAATCACTCCGACAAAGGGAACATGGCTGGTGCAAGCTCAAAGTCTCCTCGACCGCTTCTAGTCGGGTCAGTCAAGACTGTCATCGGTCATACAGAGGGTGCTGCCGGCCTTGCTGGCATCTTGAAGGTCATGCTGGCTATGAAAAATGGCCAGGTACCTCCAAATCTACACATGGAAAGGCTAGCCTCGACCGTGGCTCCTTTCTGCACCCCAGCACCACAAGGTTTTCTACAGATCCCTACAGAGCTCATGAAATGGCCTGCGGCGAAACCTGGGCATCCTCTCCGGGCCAGTGTGAACTCGTTCGGATTTGGTGGGACCAATGCACATGCCATTGTTGAAAAATACGATCCCAGCATCCACAGCCCGCATCTCAGCATTATGAATGTTCGTCCATCAGCCTTACAAGGAACGTCAAGCCTACCCCAAATACCCCTCGTTCTGTCTGCGAGCTCTGCGAGCACCCTCCGCTCATTGGCCAAGAACTATCTTGATTTCCTCCAAAACCAACTGCATGGAAATTCGGTATTGCCTTTTGAAGAGCTAGCATGGCGTGCATACACATCCCGGACACACTTTCTCTACCGTCTTGCTATCTGTGGCAATTCCCTGACAGATGCTATCAACATCCTCTCGGAGCAGTTGTCAGATGCTAGCAATGGCCAAACTAACGACCTCGGCTTCAGAGCACGGCGCATCGAGAACAATGCCAATGGAGACGCACCGCAGATTCTCGGAGTCTTCACTGGCCAGGGCGCGCAATGGCCTGGCATGTCAAAAGATTTGTTTTCGACGAACCGTGTGTACCGAGAGTCCATTCGCAATCTGGACTCTGTTCTCAGGGCGTGCCCTGACCCGCCTAGCTGGACTCTAGAAGAGGAGCTTCAAAAACTGGATGCAGATGGTTCTCGAGTCCGCGAAGCAGCTGTTGCACAACCTCTCTGCACGGCACTGCAGATTGGCCTCGTCGATGTTTTAGACCGACTTGGACTACACTTTACGTCTGTCATTGGCCACTCGTCCGGTGAGATTGGAGCCGCATATGCTGCCAAGTACATTTCAAGACGAGACGCGATTTTGATCGCATACTACCGAGGCAAGAGTGTGTCAACTCCAATGCTCCCACAAGTTGGGCCACAACAGCCACAGGGAGGCATGCTTGCGGTTGGCTTGTCCCGTGAGGACGCCGATGCCTTCTGTGAAGCATTTGATGGCCGGTTGTGTGTGGCTGCCAGCAACTCGCCGAGCAGCTCTACGTTATCTGGTGACATGGACGCCGTTTTGGAAGCTGAGCAGCAGCTCAGGTCGAGAAGTATCTTTGTCCGCCGCCTTCTTGTCGACAAAGCATACCACTCTCACCACATGGCCAGGCTTTCGGATTCTTACACCAAGGCTCTAGACGTTTGTCAAATCTCACCCTTGGCCGCCGCGTCTGATCCAGACCGCAGAGCGACCTGGATTTCCAGCGTCTTCCCTGGCGATAGTGTACCAACAGAACAACAACTGAGAGGTTCCTACTGGGTGGACAACATGGTCAAGCCTGTTCTGTTCCGGGAAGCTGCTGAGAAGGTCCTGTCAACTGTCCAAGGCGAGTTCGACTGCGCTATTGAAATTGGCCCGCACTCTACTTTGAAAGGGCCCTTTTCCGACACGCTCGCCCAGTTGCGGCCGCAAGGAACCGCTAGCTCCAGGGGCCTTCCCTACACTAGTCTACTCCAGAGAGGCAAGAGTGATGCAACGTCATTCCTCGAGTTTTTGGGCTTCGTCTGGACGCACTATGATCCACCGCTCATCGACCTTCATGGTCTGCTAGACGACCAAGAGAGAGAGGTACTCTCTGACGCGCTCTCCCGCCAGCATGGCGATGTTGTCAATAAGCTTCCTGCATACCCTTGGGACCACTCACAGAAGTACTACCGCGAGTCGCGCATTGCACGTCAGTTCCACCACAAATCCGACCCTCCACACGAACTTCTTGGCAGCCGTACGCGTGATGACATTGACGGTCACGAACTACGCTGGCGCAACTTGTTACGTGTGGACAAGCTGCCCTGGTTAGCACATCATGCTTTCCAAGGTCAGCCACTACTGCCTGCCGCGGCATATTGCATCATGGCTTGTGAGGCAGCAAAGACCCTCCTGTCGGGCCGAGAGGCTACAGTGGTCGAGGTTGAAGACATCGAATTCATCAGTGGCATTCCACTGGAAGTCGACGGCCCCGCAACGGAGATCATGTTCTCACTCAACGTGCACCACCAACCGGGAAAGACTTCCAATGCTACGAGTACATACACTGATCAGAATGACAACATTATACTCGCATCATTCTCCATTTTCTCTGGCTCAGAATCATCACGCATGCCTCTCGGGAAGCGATGCAGTGGTAACCTCCGCGTTGTCCTAGGCTCCCCCAGTGCGGATGCCCTGCCTCACCGTGAAGACCCTGCTAAGCTGCCAGAAACGTTCGACGTCAGCACCGAGGCATTCTACAAGATGATGGCCGACGTGGGTTTGCAATACTCGGGACCATTCGAGGCGATCGAATCTATGCGTCGCCGCCATAATTTTGCGTCCGCTACACTCAAGCGCATCCATGAAAAGGATACCACCAGCCTACCGCTCTCCCCGGCAACCCTTGACTCCTGTTTACAGACGTGCTTCGTGTCCTACTCATCGCCAGGTGATAGGTATGTACTATTTTCTCTTCCTCTGTCTTAATCATTAAGCAAGTCACTCACGCAAATAGAACACTTTGGACCGTCTTCCTGCCTATTCGTATAAAGAAAATAAGCTTTAGTATGGATCATAGCGGAGTCGGCAGCACGCATTTGTCAGTGGACGCACAGCTCACGAACATCCAAGAGGCAACATCTGAATCTCCGGCACGCATCACTGGAGATATTTGCATTTTCAATGAAGATGGAAACATGGAGGTCTGTATAGAAGGACTGACAGTTGGCTCACTGGCATCGGCCCATCCCAGTGCGGATCGTGACCTGTATCTGCACACGGTTTACGCTCCCGACCCAGACGACTCTCTTGTCAACGACTGTGCCATTCTCGGTGACACCAGTGCCACAAATGAAGCTTTGGACAGGGTGTTGGAAGAATCAATCCTTCGCATCCAATCGTTTTACGAACCTTCTCCAAAATCATCAAGGATATGGCCAGCCGACACGGACGAGGTACTAAACCAGCACATCCTCTCTTCGCCATACTCGCTTACGCTGGGCAAGGTTAAGGCTCTAGTGAAAGATAATGCCCAAATGACTTCGGCAGTCAGCGCTGAGCGCACTCTTCAGTCCTTGTTAGAAGAAGGACGGCATGTCTATCACTTCCAACGACGGGTCTCTAGCATCGTTAAGCAGATTGCCCATAAATACCCTCGCATATCCGTTGTCAGCTTGACCGACTCGGAAATGCACATGTCAATGCCCATTCTCGATGGTCTATCATCTTCCTTCATCAACTACATTTCTATGGTCCTCGGCAACACTGACCAGAGCTTCAACTTGTATCTTGATCAATTTCCGATATCCGTCAAGAAAAAGGTCCAGTCCTCGTCCCTTGTCCAAATCGACGGCATCAAGCCCCAGCTGAATGGCCTCATCACCGCGGCTTCCATCCATTCCTTTGATCTGGCAATTCTGTCCACTTCCATCTTCAAGCAGGCGACATCTAGTGAGGTCGTCCTTGATCATGTCAAGTCGTTGATGCGACCAGGTGGCTTCCTTATGCTCGTCCACATGCCTATTCAAATGTCTCGCGGTCAGCAATCAACCGACATCACAGACACTTTCATCACTCCGCCAGACTGGCCCGATATTCTCGACCGGAGCGGCTTCATGACCCCGGCGATCAAAAACACCGATCAGCACTTCGCCGGCGGTTTCTCCATCGCTGTACGACAAAGCAAGCAACTGCCGCAGAGACATTGGGTGCCGGATCCCAGTGCACTCTCTTCTGCGGTGTCGAGACCAATCAAGCCAAGCGAACGGCTTCTTGTCGTCGGTGGCCAGGCTACAGACATTTCGTTGCTCGCATCCAATGTCGGTCGGCTGCTCTCTAGCCACATGCACAATCCCGTCACAACCGTCACAGGCCTAGATGAGCTCGGTGCGCTCACCAATGCCGATCCGGCTTCTTCGCACGCCTTTACCTGCGCGATTGTCCTGGCCGACGTCGATGATACAATGTCCGTCCTCTCCTCCCTCAACGAGAGTCGACTCGATACTTTGCGAAAGGTTCTCTTTCGGCCTGAAATGGTCATACTTTGGGTGACAAAGGGGGCGCGAGTGGGAAATTGCGAGAGCGCTTCTTCGTACGGCTTTATTCGCAGCATACGCGGCGAGATGCCAAACCTCGTCATTCAGATGCTCGACTTCGACCATCTCGAGTCCGACGGTGGCAAGCTACTTGTTCCCAGTCCACCTAACACAGTCTCTCCATCTGCTGCGTCTATGGTGACAGACGTGTTCCTCCAACTCATGCTTGGAGTTGTGGCAAAGCGCAACCAAAACTCCTTCGCGTCGGCCAATGTCGCTGCCGACGAAGGCCGAAACAACGACCTTTGGCATTTGGAGACCGAGGTATTCATTGACAGCATGGGTCAACGACTGGTCCCACGAATGCTGCCTCTCAAGCCCAGCAATGACACATTCAATGCCTCGCGCCGACCGGTGACTGAGAAAGTCAACACCCTTTTAAATTGTGTTGAGCTTGCTCGTCATGCAACGACTGGCGAGTACAGCATAAACGTTGTTCCAGCACCTGTGCCGTCATCGCCTTTCCAAATCAAAGACTGTGAGTTCTCGAGAATCCAGGTACACTACAGCAGCGCACAGCCTCTCTTCAAAGGCCACTATGTCTGCATTGGGCTCAGCAGTGACACTGGCGATATCGTCGCAGCCATATCGAAGTCCAACGCGTCGTTTGTCTCTGTTCCGCGCAACCAACTGTTCCCAATTCCTGACAGGGGTAACAATGGGACAACCCGGCCATATGCAGGTGCACTTGTTGGAACTCTTGTTTGCCTACAGCTGTTGTCTGTTTCAGCTGATAAGCCGCTTGCTCTGGTCGCTCCCGAAAATATTCTACTCGAATGCGCTCAGCATGTCTCCGCCTATCAAGGTCGCGACATCGTAGCCATTCAGGTCGCCGGCGGTGACCACAGCGCTCAAATACTAGATGACGGGTTATTCCTTCATCCCCATGCGACCGACGCCCGGATGGCTTCCACGCTGTATCGGTTTAAAGACGGCGCAACCATTGTCAACTTCCTACCTGAGAATCACCCCGTGTCTCGTTTCCTCTCCCGCACCGTTCCTACCAGTTGCTCTTCTTATTCTTGGGCAAGCTTGTCTAGCCAAACACAGGACGATGCTCCCCAGGAAGACGCCCACATTGCAATGAATCTTTTACAGCAGGCCATCTCCATGGTTAATTCGGGCAATGTAACTTCTGCTGACTTTGTCTCCGTTCCAGATCTGCTCAAGTCACACATCCGCAACGCAAGTACAGTTCAGATTGTGGATTGGCGAGCAGAACGAGCGGTAGAAAAAGTTGTTGTCCCTCATGAAAACTTGGCGAGCAAGTATATGCCACAAGGACCACCAGGAGCTAGGCTCCGCGGTGACAGAACATATGTCCTCGTTGGAATCACACGCGACATGGGCCAAAGCCTGTCAACGCTTTTGTCCAAGCAGGGTGCACGACACATTGTCCTCGCAAGCCGGAACATCCCAACATCTACGCCTCAGTGGGCCAAGCATGCAAAACGGGTCGCCGGAGTCGATATCCGCTTTGAATCTCTAGACGTAACCGACTTAGCCGCAGTTCAACAATTCCGCATCCGCGTCGAGCAATCGATGCCACGTATTGGCGGTATCGTCAACGGGGCCATGGTCCTGGACGACCGCGTTTTTGCGCAAATGACAGCTGACGCATTTTCGCGGGCGATGCGGCCCAAGACGGTTGGCTCCCGCAACCTTGACACAGTGTTCCGTGATGACGACGAGGAAGATGGCAACAAGCTCGACTTCTTCATCATGACATCGTCCTGTACTGCTGTAGCAGGTCATGCCGGGCAATCCAATTACGCCGCAGCGAACATGGTGCGTGTGCCCCTTCCCCAAGCTGTTTTACGCTGCTTTACTCAAAAATAACCTTTACTAACCAACACAGTACATGAATGGTTTGGCTGCGAACCGGCAGCGTCGGGGTGTTGCCGGCTCCGTCCTGAACATTGGCGTCATCTACGGCCTGGGCTTCCTGCACCGTGAGAAAGAGGAGCTCTATGCAGGGCTCGAGCGCGAGAGGTATCCGCCCATCTCCGAGCGCGATCTGCACCACATGTTCCTCGAGGCCATTGCTTTGGGACGGCCAAAACCGGGCCGTGCTGCCCGGCCAGAGGACTTTATCGACCTCACGACCGGTCTGAGCCGCTTCAACCCACACCAAACCGCCGACAACGAGGTACACTGGCACCGAGACCCCCGTTTCTCGCACTTTACCGTCGACGACAACAACGAATACGGATCCAACAAGAAGCAGGCCGGTAGCACCGAGAACAGCAGCGCGAAGCAACTGGCTGATCTCATTGGTGACGAGGCTGCGACGGCCGAGGTCATCGGTCAGCATCTCGCGATTGCCTTCAGCGAACGCCTGGCGACGCTGTTGCACGTTGGCCCGTCAACCAGTGCCTATGGCAGCAGCGACGGTGCCGGCCGCATTCGCAGCGACAGTAGTTTAATGGAACTGGGTGTCGACTCCCTGGTGGCGGTGGAGATGCGCACATGGCTCTGGCGCATGAGCGGCCGCGACGTGCCGGTGATGAAGATTTTGGGTGCGGCAAGCATCAACAGACGTAAGTATACGATCTCCCTTTCCATGGCCTCCAGGTTATGATACTGACGGCATTGTTGGACATAGTTTGTACCGATATTGCAAGCGATGTTGTGGCCTCTCGCGGCCAATAAGTCAACATAATAATTCGTCGGAGAAATGGCCGAGTGCCTACCATGTTACTTTTAGTGTGGTAATATCCTTGTTTCTATATGCTTTTAAATTATTTGTACGAGACAATAGGTGTCGTATACAAAAGTCGGTGTTCAGCGGTAATGTGTTGTTGTTGTTGTTGCTGTTTAATAATCACCAAATGCCTCGGGAGAGGATGTCACAAAAGGTTGTGAGTTTGATTGTTGTTTGAGAAGACGTGAACTTCTTGAGTTGGCTGTTTAAAATGTATGGAAATTGAAAGTGTGCATTTTAAAAATAATTTGTAAAAGATTACTTGAGCTTAAAATCAATGAAAATAAATGACCAAGAATAACACCTGAAATATGCGCGGAAAGTAAAATTTAGTATAAAAGTAAATACGGCAACATAAATTCCAAAATGAAAATTAATATATTTCAGCAAAAAGCAAACCATTCGTCATCATTAAGCAGTCATTATCAACCTCATAACATAGTATAAACATGACAAAAACGTGACACATAAATAACAATTGACCAAAAAGCCTCCCATAATAACGAACCGAAATTTGGACCGGCACTGTATCGCCTGCCCTGATACTTGGCGGATACATACTCTTAGTCGTCGTCGTCGTCGTCGTCACCATGATCATGGCCGTGTCCACCCCCATGGCCGTGATCGTCGCCGTGGCTGTGGTTGTGGGAGCCCCCATGGCTATGGTGGTAGCTCGGCACGTTGTCCTCCTCAAAATCGTCCTTGTCGTTTCGTCGGCCGTCCCGGTCCCGGTCGCGTCGACGGTCAGCAGTGGCCAACGTATCGGAATGGCCGCCGTGCCGCTTGATGCTCCGCTCGGAGCCATCTTTCTTGAGAGCCTTGGCCACGAGCGCGCCGGCGGCAATGCCGCCCGCCGCACCCAGCAGCATGCCCGTGATGCTGAGGTTGCTGCTCCGCCGACTGTGTCCCGAGTGGCTGCGGCCGCTGCGGTCGCTCGGCGAGACGTCCCGTGGTGCCAGGCCGCGCTGGCCCGCGTCTCGGCCCCGTTGCGTTGGCTTGTCCCGTCCCCGTTCCCGTTCCCGCTCGCGCTGCTCCTTTTGCAGCGTTTTCACCTCAAAGCCCGGCGCTTCCCACTGCGGCTTGCCCGAGTCCTTGTTGACATAGTACCAGCAACCGTGCGTGGTGCTGAACAGAGGCAGCCAACCGGGCGGCAGCGGCGGCCGTCCCCGTGGCGTTTCGTACGTCGGGCCCGCCTTGGACACGTCTACGTCGCCGCCCGGTATTGACCGAGGCTTCCGAGACGAGGCCCCGTCGTCCCGTCCTTGTTGGTCCTGCCGGCCTCGGCCGTTTCGCGCGCTAAAGTAGCTCCCCGCCGCAGCGGCGGCCAGCCGTGGCGAGTGCAGGTGGATGTCGCGGCTGCGCGTCGCGCGCGGGTCGTCGAGGCCGCCGCCACTGCGTCGCCGTCGTTGCCGGCGTGCATGGTCCCGGTCGGCGTCAGCGTTGTCGTCGTGGTCCTCGTCGTTGGCCGAATGGTGCAGTGGACTGTGACCATCGCGTATGCCTCGGTCGCCTGGGCCAGCGCGACTGCGCGGCTCGCGCGCGGCACGACTTCTGGAGTAATCGTCGTAGGTCTCGTAATATTCATAGTCAAAGGCGCCGTCGTCCGTTTCGTCGTCGTCGCGCTGTGGCCCGCTGTGGTGGTAGTAGCGAGTGGTCGCTAGGGGACGGGACGTTAGTGATTAGTGCTGGCAGAAGAAAGACGTCATAGGGGACATAGGGCAGAGAGGGGGCGGCTTGGCCGTGAGACGTACTTGGACCAAGGCGACGTGCCATGGCGAAATGTGTAAACTAGACGTTTTGCGCTCCGTGGCTGTCGCAAAAGTGTCTCGCTCGCACAGAAGTGAAGAAAACAAGACGAAAGTAGGATGCAAATAATTGCCAGTCGGAAAAATAAAGTAAGAAAACATGTACATCCATTCAACGCAAGGCAAACAAGGCTATGTCGTACATAGTTCGCTTCCGGCTGCCTTGCTGGGCGGGACTGGCCCAGGCCCTTCCTTCCTTCTACGACGTTTCTGGGTCGCATTTCGTGGCTTGTTGTCGGGCAGGAGCCAATCAAAGTAACGTGCAGTGGCAGTGCCGGCTTCCTTCATGTGTCATTATTGTGGGAAAGAGCCCAGGGGGCATGCAGCTGATGTCGGTCATGCCGCTGGAAATCTGCACGCGGGCCGTGTGTCTCTACACCTAGCCACAGCTGACCAGTGACAGTCTGTCTTACAATGGTCTTGAATGGCATATTTTACTTGGAGCTACAGGCTCGTGTTCACACTGCAAAAGCGATGACAGGACGCACAATAAACGACGTACGTTCTCGCAGTATGGTAGCCCTGTGGCGGTCACGTGGCCCTCTTGCCTCTGCTGTGACAGTGTCTATAGTGCCAGTGCCTGACTGGTGGCGAGGAGAGGACCAAATGCCCGCCAAGACATGCCACTGGCTACCAGCGCCGGCTAAGCCCGCATTCATCCCTAGAGTGCTGTCCTGAAGGGCGGCGAGACACAACCAAATTGGTGTCGTACTGCCACAGACGCTGAGAAACGACACCGGGAAACGACACCAAAAATCGATGTCGCTTTACGCCTTCGCCTCCTCGGAAAGAGCGATTAAGAGGGAAATTTGGCTTGGACCACGTGCACGGCTCTTTCCCATGGTGATTGCCGTTTTGCCAGTCGCGGCGTAGGGAAGGTGGCTGGCGGTGCTCGTCCACTTCCTTCCCAGGAGCCAGTCCAGCTGCGTCCAAAATGAGGGGCTTCGATTCGCCGAGCTGAAGAGATGGCGTCGCCTACCCCGCCCCTAAACAGCGACGAACAGTGGCCTTTCGCCACTAACAACACTAAAGCAGAGCAGCCATACGCACCAAAAGTTGGCAAGAGCAGCTAGTCTCAGGGCCGCCATCCAAGGGCCCAGGCAAGAAGGAGCGAGGGAGCATACGCCATGCGAACCCGCCCAAATCCGGCGAGCAGAGACAGCTGGGCCTGATTCGCAATCTCTCTCTTCTCTTCGGCTCATCTTGTTACGAACATCACCACTCTCATTGACGACGACGCCGACGCCGACGCCGACGACGACGCCGACAAAGACAACTACGAGTGCTCTCTGAAGCAAGCGTCCCCCCGCACGTCGCCCACATCGCCCCTCAACACAACCACCGGCTCTTCTCTCGACATGTCGTGGAACGGCGGATTCCCCGGCCAGAATTACGGCCCCGGCCACCACGGCGGTGGCTACGGCCCTCCCCAGGGCGGCTACGGTCCTCCACAGGGCGGCTACGGCGGATACGGCCCCCCGCCAGGCCCGCCGCCGCAGGGCTACGACCAGTACGGCTACCCTCAGCAGCAGTACCCGCCGCAGGGATACCAGCAGCCGCCACCTCAGCAATACCAGCAGGGTGGCTACCAGCAGGGTGGCTACCAGCAGGGCGGCTACGACAACCGTGGCGCGGCGCCGCCGCCGCAGCAGGCGCAGTCGTTTGGCCACGGGGCGCCGTCCGACTACACGTTCCAGTACTCCAACTGCACGGGCAAGCGCAAGGCGCTGCTGATTGGCATCAACTACATTGGCACCGACAACGCGCTGCGCGGCTGCATCAACGACGTGCACAACGTGTCCAACTTTTTGATGCAGCGCCAAAACTACAAGCGCGAGGACATGGTCATCCTGACCGACGACCAGCAGGACCCCGTGCTGCGGCCGACGCGCGCCAACATCCTGCGGGCCATGGCGTGGCTCGTGCAGGGCGCGCAGCCCAACGACGCGCTGTTCCTCCACTATTCGGGCCACGGCGGCCAGACCGAGGACCTCGACGGCGACGAGGACGACGGCTACGACGAGACCATCTACCCTGTCGATTTCAAGCAGGCCGGCATGATTGTCGACGACGAGATCCACAACATTGTCGTCAAGCCGCTGCAGCCCGGCGTGCGCCTGACGGCCATTTTCGACTCGTGCCACTCCGGGTCCGCCATGGACCTACCGTACATTTATTCCACCAAGGGCGTCCTAAAGGAGCCCAATCTGGCCGAGGAGGCCGGCAAGGGCCTGCTGGGCGCCGTCATGGCCTACGCCCAGGGCAACCTCGCGGGCGTGGCCACGAGCATTTTTGACTTTGCGCGGACGGCCGTCAAGGGCGACGGCGCGTACAAGAAGACGGTCCAGACCAAGACGAGCCCGGCCGACGTGGTCATGTGGTCCGGCAGCAAGGACGACCAGACGAGCGCCGACGCCACCATTGCGTCGCAGGCGACCGGCGCCATGTCGTGGGCCTTTATCACGGCCATCACCCAGAACCCGCAGCAGAGCTACCTGCAGCTGCTCAACAGCATCCGCGACGTGCTGCAGAGCAAGTACACCCAGAAGCCGCAGCTGTCGTGCAGCCATCCTCTCGGTGAGCCCCCCTCTCCGTGCCCTCTCGACCCTCTCCTTCCTGGTCGTGCTTGATTGTGGTCGTCCCCACCACATGTGGTAGGATTGCCATATTGTCTAGTCTTTGCTTCTGGGTACTAACACGACGCAGATGTCAACCTTCTTTTCGTTATGTAAGGGTCGGATCGTTGCTGGGAATAAAAAAAGAAAGAAAATTGGTGGATATCCAGGAAGTGCAATGCTGCGTCCACGTTTCTTGTACTGTGGACACACGCTACCTCTGTTCTTGTGTTTTTCGTTCTCTCTTCTTTTTGTCTTGTTGGTTTTATCTGCGCATCGAGTATGACTATTTGCCTATGTAGGCTTTTCCCTGTCGTGAGAATCTCATTGGAAGTTTTTCATATTTCGTCGTTTCGTCACGCTGGGTACACCTTGTTTCTTACCGCAGATCCCGCCAACCGTACCAATAGCTTGTCTTTGAACACAGCTGGTGGTCGGCTTGCAATCCCCTATGGTTTATAAAGGTCCAGCAATACTGCGTAATCTGGGTTAGAAACCGAGCCGAGCAAGCCACTTTTGCTACTTCCCCAAGCCGTGCTGTTACGAGCTCCAGGTCCAGCTCTCTGACGCTCCCGAGCTTCTTCGACCTTGCCGTCGGTACGACGCATTTACCACAGAGTACAGAAGTACGTCGTATGCCACACCCTCCTAGTCCCCCACCACCCTGCACCCTGCTTCGACGCACAGAGGTATGTTCGGCGACTGATACTCAGGGGCGCTTGCCAGTATACCGCAAAGAGATGACAAGGGGCGGAGGACCGGGCTGGCAGATGCCACTTGCGGAGTAATTACAATGTGTGGTTGGGATGGATGGCACGCACCACCCCTTTTCCTCTAGGGGTTGTTTGGTTCCGTGCAAAGGTTTGCCCGAGGTGTCGGAAGCCGCAGGCTGCAATTGGCAGGTTGATGCGGTCTTGGAAGACACCCACGGAGGATTCCATCGCAACGACGATGCTCGACGTGTCAAACGTGTTTGTTATGGAAAGAGGCCGCATTCTTGATATCGAGTGATTGGGCCATGATGACAGAACAACAAAAGCATTACGTTCGCATCCTTCATGATAAGAACGGTGTATTTGATAGAGCGTCGGATGCCCCAAGACCATTCGACAACGGCCTCGACTCCAGAACAAAAAGATGCCAAGAGATGCCCAGACTGCCCAGACTGCCCAGACTGCCCGGGAATCCCAAAGCATTCAAGAGGCCATGGGATGTCAATGACCTTCCTGATTTCGACCAAACCCCGACTCACCATGACATGCCCGCACGAATACACCAATACACCTGGACACTGTAATTTGGACAGGCAGGGCACAAGCACACGGTCGACTGCTATTACTCACATTATGCACTGGCGCCTTGCCCTGACGGTGTTTGGCCAGGCTTTGCTCGGGCAGTGTTGACCTCGAAACGCCAAGCAGCACCGAAAAGCACGTGCTGACTGCGTTGTTTATTAAGTCGGGGCAGTTCTCTTTGAAGGGCCACGTCCATATCGATTTACGAGTATCTGCCACCTTGGACTTTGCTCAACGCGGCCCCGCCGTCGTTAGTCCGTACACAAATAACGTTGACTAACAGGAACTGCAAACGGCAACTATCGCAAGGAAAGTAAAACGAACCAGCCGGGCATTTTCTCCACCTAAGAGAGCGCAAAAAAACAGAAAGTCTAATAGTTCACTGGACGCAGGAGTGCTGGAATGATGCCTCGGGAGACGCGGACAAGCCGAAACCGCAGTGCTCACGGCGGACCTTTTGGCCCGTTCTTTCACGTCGGCGAGCGAGTCTACGATGACCTTTTGTGCTTGTTATCGCCTCATCTTTTGGCTCGGGCGAAGTCAGTTGGCGAGCCAAGTTTACGGCGCGTTCGAGGATAGGAGTGGGCGCACCAACAGCGAAAATAGATTCCTCCGCGGTGTAATCTCCGGCTTCACAGGCAGCATCCGTCTGGTCGCAATGAGACCAGGCAAGGAACAGGCCGACAGCTACGAGAAGAACAAAGCAAGGACCCACAAGAGGCATTTATGAGCACAAAATGCATGCAGGCATCCCATCTCACGAGATGAGAGGTCTGTGGCAACTGGATCGACAGTCAATACGAAAGCAAACTCCCTTTGTTCCGGGCTCGGGGGTATTTGATCGTTGTTCTACATGGATTGTTCTTTATTGAAAACCTATGGCTGGCGGCCTTGATACCATCGGTTAAAGGGATTTGTGGTGAATCAAAACAAATAAAAATATCCGTGTCTAGGCGAGGTATGTTGCGTTCTACATTTTGATGTAGTTATTGTTTGTGTGCATGGACAAAGAGTCAACCCGTATACCACCCAACCATCTAGATCACATCTCCACATGCCTGACATAACACCAGCATCATCTTGCAAAGTGTGTTATTCCTCCACAAACAACGTAATGGTGTCCGTGAAAAAGATACAGATGGCTGGATGCAATGGAAGCCCCGGAGGATTCCTTCTAGAAGCCCTCGCTGACCACCTGCAAAGGCAAAAGGCGGGACGATTATTCACGACATCGACGCCATCGACGCCATCGTCGATATCCATTACATACAAGAATCTTCCCCAGACGGGAGCGGAATGGAGATGTTGGGGAAGCAGAGCGTTAGACGACCGGCTGGCGTCGGGGTATTGTCAAAGGTACGATGCCTTTTTGGATCGTCAAGAGGAGACGAGGAGACCAAAGATGGAGTCAGAACAGGAGGCGAATTCTGGCACACCTGGGCACTGCTCGCCTTCCCTTTCCCTCACTTTTTACGCAACAGTAACCGGGATGTTGAGATGGCGCGCGGGGAAGTTGCACGATGGCAGTTTGGTCAGTCTGTCAGTTTGTCATGGAAACAACCACAATCTGGGGAACGGAACGAGATGGTGGAACGGCAGCCAAAGGCCATAACAACGAGACAATAAAAGTACAGGCGTATTTGGAGGTAAGATACACAGACACACCAACCCAAGGACTGGACCAGAGTATGTCGAACCTTTGCAATGTCGCCCAAATCGACCCCGAGGATACACACGAGTACCTTCAGGGCGCCCTCCAACCTTAACGCACACCACAATTCATAAAACAACCTCGCCATACACCCCAATGAAACCTGGGCTCAACTCTGGGTCCTGTCAGCAGCCACCAGAATTGCTGGTGTGAGGTGGACTGGACAAAGGGGATGCTTGACTTACCGTGGAACAGCGCCGCGAGCTCCGCAACGGCGCCACGATTCGCACTCGTCCCCATACGCCTAGGCCCAAGACAGAAGCTGCTTTGGCGTTTGAGTGGGAACTTGACCGAAAAATAGATACATGAACATGTCAAGCGAGCATTGTAGCCTGGCGAACCGTTGGGCGAGCGTACCACGCCCAGTAGACGGGAATAAACTGATACAAGCAAAAATTACACAGTCACCGAGGCAGGGAGGGCTTTCCACAGCCTCTTTTGCCAGCCTGGGTGCTTGGGTGCTCGGGTGCTTGGATGCGCATCCGTCGCCGTGATGCAATGGCGGTACGTTTTTGCTGGATGAGCCTTGCAACAGAAGTTGATGCAAGATGCAGGAAAGTGCATCATTAATCCACTCCGTATGGCAGTTGGGCGTTAGCGTACTTCTCCTCTGCCCACCATCTTTCTTTCTACACTTGTACGTCTCTGTCGTTTCGTGGTTTTTGTGTTCTTGTGTTGTGTGCCCAGTCCTTTCCCTTGTGTCCGTTCCTTTGCGTTCTTCCTCGCAGTTGTGGCGTCACGCTAAAACATGCATGGAAGCCCGGGTGGAAGCCAGGGAAGGAAAAGAAGCTCAGAAGGTAATTAAGAAGCTCAGAAGGTAATTAAGAAGCGCCGGACATGGCTAGCCAGAGAAGGCCTGGCTCCGAACAAGTGCCAGTCATCCCTCCTACGGGTTAGGCTAGCGGTGCGGCAGAGCGGGCAGTGGCGCTGACCACAGCGCTGCGGCGTCTGATTTTAGCGAGTTTGATGTGCTGTCCTTTGGTGGTGGATGCCCGCTGGCCGTGCGGGGTAAGACTAATTAGATGAACATGGGACAAGGAACAGCACAGCAACTCGCCGCGGACCTTGCCATCACATGAGGCCACTGCCGTAACGGCGGGTTTTGCAGTGGCTGGGAGAGTGCTGTAGTAATTAGGTAATGCGCAGCGAGGAGAAAGCAGCCCACTGCTCGGTGACCCCGAAGCCTCCAAGCACTCTGCAGTGCACCATTGTCTTCCTGGAGGCCAAGCGACTGGCAACGAAGCATTCGTGACGTATTTTATACGACCTATCTGACTGGGGCCAGTCTTGGCTTTCAGGATCCTTCTTCATTCTTGCATAGCTCTCTTCATTTTCAGGTTCTTGGTTACAGCCGGCGACTCCTTCTCGCCCTTTATTCCCACCGTATTTGACTATCTTTGCCCGGTTTAATGTTGCCTATCATGGTCCTCTTGACGTTGATTGTTGGGCTTTGTGTTGTGTCCTTGATTTTTGATCTTTGCAGTCTCCAAGGTTGTCTCGTCGCGGCACGGTCCACGACAAAGGCAGCAAGGAAGCGGCGCAGCGCGACGACAAAACGGTCGGCAAAACCAACCGCCAAATGCAACCACAGCACCAACCTTGACGAATAGTTACGTAGGTGGCTGAATCGCTGGCAAAACGGGTTGCATTGCAGCTGTCCCGTGCATAGGCCAGGCCACCCTCCCCTCCGCATCTTGATTGTCCCTCGGGAAGTATTCAAGATGCCGTACTCCGTACAAAGTACGGATCGTGGGTGTGTAATAAGATACTTAATACTGGATGGTGGTTGCATGGTGCGCCGGGCGTTGACCATCCAGATGAGATCCTAAAATCGCCTTGAAGCAGGACGAAACATGCATAAAGTGCAGCAATCGACATCGGTCCCAGCTGCACTGCAACCCTACTTGGCAACTGGCCGCTTTGCAATTTCTGGAGTGCAGCTGGGGCGCGGGTGGTTGGTCCCAACTTTGGCTGCGAGGCTGCCACACCACACCAGCTGGGGACATGACCAGGACACGAATAAATCGCAACGGGGACTTTGCGGTTGTAATGGATGTGCGGGGCCCGATCGTTTGGTACGATTGAGCTGCCCTCGCTCTGTTGTTACGTATATTTGACAGCTGGCACAGGGAGGCGCACAGGGAGGCGCACAGGGAGGCTGTCAAGCCTGGGAAAGACAATTCCAAAGGATGCCAAATGGGGCATGCCATCAACCGCAACCGAAAGTGATCTTTGACGGGCCTGGTATCAAGAGGAAACGGTACGGTATGGCCGCCTTCCAATTGACCTGTTCGTAAAGCCCTAGAGAGAGAAAAACACGCGACGAACGACTGTTCTGCCATAACGCGGCGAAACCAACTTTGCACTTTACCTTTACGCACAACACTGTCATGTGCATTTGTCCATCGAACTCGTGATTCTTGCGTTTTTCGTCCCTTTTATCTCGTAGTTATCTCTACAGAGGCTGGTTTTGCCACACTTGTCAGGTGTGATTGATCCTTGGCGCCGTACTTTTGAATCAATTTTCGTCGCAACCCTGATGGCAGCACTTCAGACAATCCATTGTACCCGGCTTTTCGTAACAAGAGGCTCTCGGTTGGTACCTTTGCTATCGTTGATCGTTTGGTTCGTCCTGTAAACGAGGTGTTATCAGACGATCTTCTGGTCGGCCTTTTGCGCCCACCACGGTGCTCACTTCGGCCATGCCATTGACAAGAAAGGACAGTGCTCGTCTTGCCGGGAAGAGCGATAGCAGTTGACTCTCAACTTTAACGTCCTAGACGCGATGTTTTTCATTTTCATTTTGCCCCAACGCTGGCCCTTTACAACGAAAGGCACCAAGTTCAGACTCGTCTTTTGGTTTTTTTGTGCGAGGATCTGACGACAGTCCACATTCTTGGGGGAGGGAAATTGAAGTCTGAGGGCGGAAAAGCAATATACCAAGGATAACCTGCGCAGCAGACGACAAAGTCCGAGTCTCTAAACGGGCCTTTTCTGCTTGGCTGGTTGTTCTGTTCTGGGGCCCAGTCAGAAAGCGAATTGACGGTTCCAGAACCAGACGCACAGACAAGCAACGAGAAAGAAGCAAAAAAAAAGTACAATAACACTTTCGAGGCACGGAGCCTTCATGGAGCGGAGTTGGTCTCCCTTGCAATGACACCTTCCCCGATTCTGTCTAGTGAGATCACGGGAGTGTATTTCATACTCCGATGTAAACCAACTTCCGCTTGGAGTTTTTCTGCTGCAATGAAGAGAAGACTCCCGACTCCCTTTGAATCCCGTCTCTCATCAAAATCTACGGGGTAATCCTTTCTGCGGACTGGCCAACTGTTCCGTTCAAATCCCTCGCGCATAACCAGCCGTCTTACTTGCCAACCGTTGCCTCAGCTGACGGGGACTGCATATCCGTATTACCCAGGCGTCAGCCGGAAAGTGCCTCTTTCCGCCATGCTGGATGTTATCTTCACCTTCTTCTTCTCTCGTATCACCTCGGTAGGCCTTCGCGGGCGCGAAGGCACCGGCTGTTGTAGAAGTAGAGTTTGTTCGAATGCCCCATTGTCGCAGTCGCAGTCGCGGCCACGTCGCCGCTGCTTTGTCGCCCTTGGTCCTTCTAGAAACCTTCGGTCGGGCCCGCCAACCTTCTGAGCTTCTCTTGTTTTACAGCGTGGCGCTGCGTGCATCGTGGGCATGCAGGGTCACGCTGAGGTTGTCTGGCAGTCTGGTTGCCATGATGGCATCAGGTGTTGCCCAAACTTGGCTCACAGTAGGACTGCACGATGAACCAAGGAATCGGCGACCTTCCAGGTATCTTAAGACACATTTTCAGGCCAGGCGATCGACGTATTTGCCCCTATCAAAGCCCAGTGGCGTCGTTGCGAAGAGAATGAGCCCGCGGCGATGATATCCCGATTGGGAATAAGATCGGCGGCGCTGTAGACGCTTGTACAATGTACACTGTGTCCACGGCTGTATGAACTTTAATGTCCCCTAGAATGGCAGTGCAGGTACAGGCTAACGTACGTCGTCGCACAGTGGGAAATGTGTTGGCACGGAGGCACGTTACCTTTGAGTGGGGCCCACTCTATCCTATCGCCACTTCCTTGCCGACCATAAGGTACAGAATAGTCGGAAAGACAATTTAGCGCGGCGCCTCGTCCTCTCGACTTGCTCTGTGCTGAATGGGTCCATATGGCTCTTGGCCCTTGTTTTAGGAGAACCGCGAGAAGATAACTCGGCCACGCCAAGGACCTACAAGCATTCCTCTTACACTGCTAGCGGATTGCCTTTGGAGGAAGTTTGCTATTTTGCTGGCCGCCAAAACTGCCTTCCTCACGTCCACGGTTGACAACTGTATTTGCTTTTGAGGTCAAACCGCTTGCGGATTGTTCGATTTCGTCGGTCGCGCCTTCCTCATGAACATGTCGGAATCGACGAAGATGCACAGAATAGGAAATAATCGTAACTGCACGCAAACTGCCTCTCCGGGTTTTAAGGAAGGCGCAAGGTGCAACAGCATCCACAATTAATTGGCACCGCTTGATGTTTTGACCAAAATTGTATTGTCACGATATTTCTGATGTGCTACGTCCAGAGTCAGCGCCCTACTCACGCGCTGTTCCGTCGTTCAGCACCCCCATTTCCCCCGAAAACCACGCCCGTCTGCCGACCACCAGCCGTGACCCTGCCTGCCTCGACAATTTTGGCCTTCATACGCTCTAAAGCGTCTCATTTTGGCTCGCTTGTATCTCGTAAGTGCATTCATCCTCTTTTCCTGCGTTGAATCGCCCATCCCTAACACTGCATCGGATGGACTCTTGGCCGAGATTACAGCCCATGTTGAAGCCACTGCTACGTAGGTGCACTCGACATATGCGATGTATGTTGTTGGGCTTCCTCGTGCGTTCTTTTCTTTCCATGCATGCTTCCATTAAATCTTTCAAGGACGATCTTGCCTCATCAATGGGGCTACTGGTGACCGACATTAAGCAAGGAAGCCCAGGTTGCTGAGGTCGAACCGGGGCGCGGTTGTCGATCATTCTCACGACACGGTTTGGCTGACAGGCTGCTTTCTCGAATCACACCCTCCCACGCACGTCTCCCGAGCACATCAGTCAACAAGACCTAGACCAAGACAGAAAAAGAAAAAGAGCGCCTACCTCGCTCACGTGCGCGCACCCTAGACAAGAAGACGCCATACGCAGCCAGGACAGGTTCCTTCACCATACAGACGCTTGGTCATTTGGACAGGGCCGTTTTGACTCCGCTGTTGGACGCTTTTCGAGCCTTTCTCCGTGGTCAGATACTCAAGAAAACGATTCACTTTCGACTTTATTTTGTTCGCGTTCAAGTGCCGTCCCGCTGCTCGTTGGAGCCGTCCCAGTCTCTCCGCATTTTTCCCCGTTCACAAGGCATCCCGTCGACAACAAGCACACAAAAGTAATATCTGTTACCCCATCAAATTGTTTAAAGAAGGCAAAATCACTTTCACGTCCCTGTCCCATCCGGACCTCAAACAATCCCTTTAAACTTCTAGGCAGGTCGACGAGCTGCAAACGCGCCCAAGAACCCACCGGCGCGGCAACGGGTCCCACGTCCCTCGCCATCTCCTTTTGCTTCGGCCCATCATCCCCCCCCCCCCCCCCCCACCCTGGCAGCTCGAGCCAGTCGAGCCCATCGTTCTTCATCTTCTTCCCATCCTTCTAGACGAAAAATCCACTCCACTCACAAACGACACCGGTGCGCCTCACAAAGCTTGCCCCGGATTTGCCTCTTGCTCCGACTCGGTTGACTTTTTGTGTTTGTATTTCGTACCCTGCCCGCGGCTCTTTTTTTTCGCCTCTGGCCTTGAACCATTTCGTCCTTGCCCCCTTCTGTTGGAGCTATCGCTTTCTTCCTCTTGTCGACTTGCGACCCTTGTCACTGTTTTGTCGTTTCCCTGCATACGAACCCCCCCTTCAAGTTCGTTGTCCGCTCTTGGCGTTCTGTCATATTATCTAACGAACGACGTGCTCCACACAGAGGACTTTCCTCTCCGTGTCGTCTGTTTATCTCTCTCTCCTCACCTGTTCCCTTTTTGCTCACAAAGAACGCCCGGTCTTGCTCGTTGAGAGGTCGGATGCTTTCAGTCTTTCTTCTTCTCTTACCACCCTGATTTCCCTCCCACCCTCAGTTCACCAGAGACTCCACACCTCCCTTCTTATATCGCTGCTGCTGCTTTGCCAAACAGTGTTGCAGAGGCGGCGTGGCCGATCCTTACTTTCTTCACCTCACCTCTGTCGTCCTGGGCGGGTCCCCTTGTTCATCAGCTTGCTTTTGGTTCTCGCGTCTGTCTCTCGAGTAACTCACTTATTTGAACCCCTTCCCGTCCCCTTCCCCTCTGATCGTCCGTTCCCTTTGCGTCTTCTCTTCTTCACCTCTCCACTTGTCTTCTCCCTCTTTCAACCATTCTCTCCTTCTCAACGTGTTTCCTTCCTTTTCCTGAGAACCGAGAGCAACACATTTTTTCAGAATGTCTGACAAAGAGGAGCTCGGCTCCGCCAACGGCGGTGGCCTTAAGGAAGCCCCCAATTACGACCTCAGCCAGCGCCACAGCAATGTCGTTGGCACCATCAACAACGAGTCTGTTCTCCCGGAAGGAGTCGCTGCTACCCCCGGCGAGGAGTCTCTGCGCGTTCGCTTAGGCCTCAGCACCAAGTCCTTCCACAAGCGCCACTACGGCCCCGGCATCGTCGAGCTGGATCGCCGGATGAAGCCCCGTCATCTGAACATGATTGCCATTGGCGGTTCCATTGGTGCTGGTTTCTTCGTTGGCTCCGGCAGTGCTCTGCACAATGGTGTAAGTTTGGCAGTCGGGCAAGCCGTTTGTGTGTAAAAAACGCGTCGTTTTAACAAAACCCTCGCTCAGGGCCCCGGCTTCCTTCTCATCGACTTTCTGATCATCGGCGTCATGATGTTCAACGTCGTCTACGCTCTTGGTGAACTCGCTGTCATGTATCCGGTTTCTGGTGGTTTCTATACCTACTCGGCTCGCTTCATTGACCCAACCTGGGGTTTCGCCATGGGCTGGAACTACGTCGTAAGTAAAACGAAAACGCGGCCAACGGTGTTGTGGTCCTGGTGAGGTCCTGGTGAGGTCCTAGCCAGACTTGTCTGCTAACACGACCCAATTTAGATGCAATGGGCTGCCGTCTTGCCTCTCGAATTGACAGTATGCAGTTTAACAATCGCCTATTGGAATCCAGACATCAACCATGCGGCCTGGATATCCTTGTTCCTTGGCCTCATCATCATAATCAACATTTTCGGCACACTAGGCTACGCCGAGGAAGAGTTCTGGGCCTCTGTTCTCAAGTTGTCGGCGACTGTCATCTTCATGATCATTGCCTTTGTTCTCGTCTTGGGTGGTGGCCCGTCCAGCGGCCAATACAACCACTACTGGGGTGCTCGCCTGTGGTACGACCCTGGCGCATTCCAAAATGGTTTCCGCGGTTTCTGCAGCGTCTTCGTCACGGCTGCTTTCTCTTTCTCTGGCACGGAGCTGGTCGGTCTCGCTGCCGCTGAGGCTCACAACCCCGTCAAGGCCCTGCCCAGCGCCATCAAGCAGGTCTTCTGGCGTATCACCCTCTTTTACATCCTCGGTCTCTTCTTTGTCGGTCTCCTGGTCAGCTCCACCGACGACCGTCTGCTCGGTGCCAACCCGTACGCCGATATCAACGCCTCGCCCTTTGTGCTCGTCGGCAAGTATGCCGGTCTTACGGGATTCGACGATTTCATGAACGTCATCATCCTCGTCTCTGTGCTGTCCATCGGTGTCGCGTCTGTCTACGGTGGCTCGCGTACCCTCACTGCTCTTGCCCAGCAGGGCTACGCGCCCCGTATTTTCACCTACATTGACCGCTCCGGCCGCCCGCTGTTCTCGGTCATTGCCCTCATCATGTTCGGCTTCCTTGCCTATATCTCGCTCGCTGCTGCCGGCTCCACCGTGTTCGATTGGCTGTTGGCCCTGTCGGGCCTGGCTGCTCTTTTCACCTGGGGCTCCATCTGCCTGGCTCACATCCGCTTCCGCAAAGCCTGGAAGTACCATGGCCACACTCTGGATGAGATTCCGTTCAGGGCCATTGGCGGCGTCTACGGCTCGTACATCGGCCTGGCCCTTAACGTTATTGTGCTGATTGCCCAGCTGTTCACTGCCATCGCCCCCGTCGGCGGCGGTGTCAACGACGCCCAGGGCTTCTTCAAGTCCTTCCTTGCCTTCCCCTTGGTCATCGCCTTCTGGATCGGTGGCTATATCTGGAAGCGCCGCGGCTGGCTGCGCACGTCAGAGATAGACGTCGACTCTGGTCGCCGTGAGCTCGACTGGGACACGATCAACGAGTACCGTGCGTCGCTGGCCAAGATGGGTGCTGCCCGCCGCATGTTCCACACTGTCTTCTTGTAAAGAAGAAAGACGGCTGTGTTCGTTGATTGCAAGTGATAATTTTGCACTAGCACTTGCCGGATTCAACGTTGTTTATGACATTTTGATACAGTACTTTTCTGGCCATTATTGGGAGCATAATACAATGATACCACTACTGTTGTTGGCACGGATAGGTGGAAAGCGAGGAGGATTGTTCCGATTATCAGGATGTGCTCCGAGAATGCACACGTCGCAGTGAGGAGAGGGCGTGCGATGATTTACAACCGCATTATACCACATACCACAAATATCATTTTCACATGTTCCAGTACCAACGCCAAATTTTCTGTGCCGGGAATCTCGTCCACTATGTCGAGGGCCCATTTTGCCCCGGCCAGCCTTGTACAAGTAGACGTGACGTGACCAGCAGACTCGTCCACTGTACGTTGGATAGTAAGCTCAGAAACATGAATATGACAGACGTCATAGCTGTTGGTGGGGAGAAATATGGCAGCGTCACGAGCATTATTGAGCAATTGTTGCTGAGATGGGTGAGGCGTAATTGTACTGACGTCAGGACCACAGGCATTTGAATCAGCATGTTTTACCCTGCGGTTGCGCCCTGCCCCAGTTTCCTTCTGGATTAGGCATATTTCCGCAGAGTCAACCACGACCATGGGCCTGGCCAGACCCCTGCGCAATGAAAGTCGTCTGCACTCTGGCCACTAAAATGGGGCCGTGTTTCAGCGCTAACGCCCTATTTAGCACCCCTTACCCCTCTAAGCCGCCCCCCGCAAGACACCACGAATCAGACCCCGGCACGGGCTCCTCTATTACTCGCCTTCCGGGAGATAAGCGATAAACTTTCTCGCCCGACGAACATCCCACGTTTCCTCCTCTCACAACCTCCTTCAACGGCCGGCCATCTCTCCGTCGACAACCACGACATCCTTCCTTTACGAGGCATCGCCACGGCCTCGTCCATCGTGTCTCTCCCTCTTCGTCGTCTCTGTGCCCGGCAGGATCTCCTCGTCGGCACTCCGTTTCCCGTCGGCCACAAACCCCGACACTTTAGGCACCCGGTTGGACTACTCCCGGAGGCTCCGAGAGCCGGACCAGCAGGCCACCTACCATACACAGTATCTGCCTGACGTTTTTGTCACCTTATACCATCGAATTTCGTGAAAACTCAGATCGGGGGCTCGCCACTGTCCCATCAACAAACGAAAAATACACAAGGCTCTGCGCAAAGCCCAACGCAAATACCTGAAAACGTTGACCATCCCCTCCCACCGATCTACCTGCATCTTCTGGCCTTGCCAAACGTCAACGGTCGCACGCCGAGACTCTCAGCCCCGGCACGGCATCTCGAAGCATGACTGTAGATACGCGGGGTGCCAAGCGACGGCGTTTGCTGGCGAGCCAGGGCATCGCAGAACCGTCCGGAGGTGGCTCAGGGTCCTCGTCCTCCCACAGGGTGAAGTCCGAGACCATCGTGGCATGCCCATCTCTCCGACCGGCCAAGGACCATGTCAGTCTGGATACGGGCAAGGCGGTCGCTCGTTTCGATACGTTTCACCCGTTCCCGCGGTTGCCAGCGGAGCTACGTCTGCAAATATGGCGGGATGTCGCCCAGGACGCCACGGAGCCCTTCCACCCCCTCCGCGTGCGCGTCTACCGTGGCACAGAGCGTGTCTACCGATCTACCAACCGGCGTCTCTACTACGTGAGGCACGTCCCGCGGCTGGCCACGTTGCCGGACCTTGCGCTGGTCACGAGGAAGCGCCGCAGCCTGCTCTCGATCAGCCGCGAGTGCCGCCAGGAGATGAAGAAGCTGTGGGACTCCAAGGTCCAGCTGGAGCGCGGTAGGGTCCTGCGGTTCAGCTTCAAGTACGACGTGGTATACCTGGACATTGTGAACGCCGCCGTCATTGACGACATGCTCGAGCTCCGGCGCAAAGACGACCTGCCCGGGTTTGCGTCGGCGATTGGCCACGTCGGTTTCGACATGACGCCAAACGTGCCCCTCTGGATGATTACGAACCACGAGGACCTGGAGCCGCAGCTTCGCATGCTGCTGTGCTTCCCGCGGCTGCACACCATGTCGCTGGTTGCCTTTAGTGCCTTTGAGCCGGAGATCAACTGGCTGTCCACGGCCGATGCCAACTGGGTCTGGTCGCGGACACGCGGCCACCGTGTGTACCTGCGCGGCTTCCCCGCCTTGCCAGGCGTCACCTACGACGCCCTCAAAAGCACCGTCGGAAACCGGGCGCCGGCGCCTATGCACAAGCACGACTGTGCGATCTGCACGATCCACAAGTGCGTATACGTCAACGAGGTGCTCGGCGCCAGCCCCGCCCGCCAGGCACGGCTGCTGGCACGGTCTCAGCTCAGCCCCGGCGATTTGCAGTTCCTCCGGAATCTCAAGCACCATACCCTCATGGCGACAAAGCCGTACGTGGCGGGCCGGTTCCCCGCATACCACAGCGGCACGCTACGCTGGTGGAAGAACCTGCCTGTGATCCAGCCCCCGTCGTCCGACGATAATTCCGATGACGAAGAGGACGACTGGGAGCACAACAGTGACGACGACGACGACGAGGGGGACGATCCTATGGCCGACGGCACCATGGTGGGTGGCATGTTTGTCGGCGGCAACCAGGACGACGACAGCGACGACTTTGACGAGGACGGCCACCACTTTCACCATCACGGCGTCGATGCCGAGGACGCCAGCGATGCGGATTGATTCTCTTATTAATCGATGGGAGGGCTTGGTTGGTTTTTCTTTAGAATTGTGTGCTTTTTGTGTTTGCGGGGTTTTGACACGACTACGCTGCGTTTCCGGAGTTTTTATGTTTACCCTTTTGTTTTACTTTTGGACCACAATGATACCTTGGGAAAGGGCGGTACCCATGTTTCCTTTTTTTTTCCCTTTCTTTTATGTTCCTGTTTCAATTTGTTACAAGTATTCCTAACATGGGTTACGATCAAGGCGTTTGGTGGTTTCCTGACGATTTACATCTTCTACCATTCAGTTTTATCGGTGCGCTGTTTATCTCTAGAATTTGTTATCTTGTTTTGAAATGAAGTCGTTGAGTGCGCTGTATTATTAGTTTGTGTTTCTCAAAGCCCAAGGGCAAGTTGTCAGGTATTTTGTGTGTCAGAGATCCGTGGTATCAAAACTGTGCGGTGGTTTTCGTTTTGTGAAAGACTGGTCTGCATCTTCAATTCCAACTGTCATTGCTCTAGACAGCCTATGGCGTTCATTACGACGTGTACTACCAATCGCTTCCTATATGTATTCTCCCTAATCATATGCAATGCTGAATGTTCATAGCATGGTATCATAAAGACATTTCGATATGCTCCGCCATAGCGAATCACGCGTGCGTCGTAGATGTGCGCCCTGTGCCTTGCTCCTATCCCCGCCCGTCTAGTAGTTCCGCTTGACGTTGTCAACAAACTCGCGGCTCGCCTTGGCTCCATCGTGCGCCTGCCGGAACACCTGTCGCTCCCACTCGTCCAGGCTCCGCAAAAACTCTTGGCCCGCATAGCCAACACCCAGGTTGCTGCTCGTGTTGCCCGGGTCGTCTTTGCGGTCGGCCGAGTCGCCAACGGCATGGGTCAGCGAGCCACCTCGGCTCCCACTGCCACCACCACCGCTTCCAGCACCGCCCACCGCGCCGCCGGCCGACTGGCCACCCACTTTCCGCGCGTGCATGCCAATGTCATCCGTGCGTCCCACAAAGGCATCCCGCAGCACGGCCGCGAGGTCCGCGTCTTCAAATAGGTCGAGCATGCGCGTGGCCAGGGCGTAGAAATGGGCAGACTGGTCGCGCAGTGGGACGGTGCGGGGGTCGGCCTTGAGGGCCTGGACGACGTCGTGGCGAAGGGCGGGCGGGAGGTTGAGTGTCAGGAAGGGCTTGGCGTCTTCGGATGTGGAGGCGGCGGCATTGTTGGCGAGGGCCAGCATCTCGGCCAGCCAGAGGGGCAGCTGCAGGCGCGTGCCGGCTTTGAGCGTGTGGGAGGGGGTCTGGTCGAGGTAGCCGAGGCCGGGGACGTCAATCTGGAACTCGCATGGAATTTTCTGGAGAGAGAGGAATTGGTGAGCAGGTAGACGGGTGAGTAGATGTTGGAACCGGAACCAAACACAACGTACCTCTGCATCCGTGAGGATGTCGTCCACGTCATAGTACGACATTGTGAGAAGGGTGGCTGTCAATGGTGTCTGCTCTTCGTTTCCTACATGTCGCTATGATCCCAGTCCCAGGAGTCGTATATTGCCCCGGTTTCTGTTCGGATTATTCTCTGCCTCGCTAGCAATGCTATTGTGCTTAAGTGGTTGTAGCTAAAGACGCGTCGCGATGCGATGCTGTAAGGTCCCACCTTAGTTCGGGACACTAGCCACAGTGTGTCAGCCACAGACGCCAGACGCTACAGTGCTAATCGCACCTGGAATGACGACACAGGCAGCCCCACCACCGGTGCTGTCCACTGGCAACACTGGCAATGGGTGCAAGATGAAACCACGGCAAAGCTCGGGTGGAGAGCCGGCTGGATTGGTACAGCTCTCCTGCCACTGGCACTTGGCAGAAAGCTGTCACGCCAAGGACCCGCTGTTTTGCTGCTTTCCCCTCCTACCGCCGACCAGCAATTACGAAACTTGGGGGGCCCATTTCCGAGCTGTGCCAATTGGCTTCCGCGGGGATTGCTTGCTTTGGCAATCTGCCATTTCTGCCATTTACAGTGGACGGCGCCCCGATCGGACGATTCAATTCTTGACATCATTGGCAGCATCCACTCTCTTATTTCTCTCCTCCGCCTGGATATTCCCCAATCACTTTTTCTACTGTACAGCCTCGCCCTTTTTCGACACCATCTACAACCACCACATTCAACAATGGCTTCCCTCCTCCGTTCGTCTACCCTTCGCGCTGCGCGCCAGGCCCGTCCCACGGCCGCTGCTGCCGCTCTGAGCACCAGCTTTGTGCGCACCAAGGCCACTCTCCCGGATCTTCCGTGTATGTCTTGGCAGCTCTGCTTTCCGTGGTCCCGATGTCGCTTCGTTGCGTCTCTCTGGCGACAAGATACTGACCTGTGCCCCCGTGCTCTCCGCAGACGACTACAACGCTCTCGAACCGTACATCTCCTCCAAGATCATGGAGCTGCACCACTCCAAGCACCACCAGACCTATGTCTCCGGCCTCAACGCTGCCCTCGACACCATTGCCGAGGCCAACGCCGCCGGCGATGCCCGCAAGGCCGCCAAGGCCGCGCCCCTCCTCAACTTCCACGGCGGCGGACACATCAACCACTCCCTCTTCTGGGAGAACCTGGCCCCGGCCTCGCGCGACGGCGGCGGTGACCCCTCGGGTGCCCTGAAGGTATGCTGTTGTTGCCTTCGCGGCTTTGTTTCCTCGCTGTGCTCGCCACTCCCGTTTGCCATGTTGCTAACCATGCAGACCCAAATCGAAAAGGACTTTGGCTCCACCGAGGCCCTCGTCAAGCAGTTCAACGCCGCCCTGGCCGGCATTCAGGGCTCCGGCTGGGCCTGGCTCGCCAAGGACTCGGCGTCTGGCTCCCTTGCCCTCGTTACTCGTGCCAACCAGGATCCCGTGTCCGGCAGCCTGGTGCCCCTGCTCGCCATCGACGCCTGGGAGCACGCCTACTACCTGCAGTACGAGAACCGCAAGGCCGAGTACTTCTCGGCGATCTGGAATGTCATCAACTGGAAGACGGTCGGCCAGCGCTTTGAGAAGGCATAAACAGAAGGGCGTGTCGACCGTTCCAACGGCGGAGAGTGCATCTCTGCTTTGGTCAGTGCACAGACAGACGTTGAAAATAAATCAAGGCATTCAGGACATGCTATCCTGACCACGCATTGTTTTTTTTTGTGTGCATGACCAATCTAATTAAAAGAAGCATTTCGCAAAGTTCGTGCTGCCAAAATGATGAAATGTTCAAAATAAATCATGGAAAACATACATGCTGTAGCGCAACCGCTAGAATGGCCAATACCCAACCCGCGTTTCAATGTTTTGCATCGGGTTGCACCGTGGGTGGAAATGATCCTCTTCGTCGCCCCAAGGAAACATAGCTACGAGGCACACTTCGTCCGGATGCTGGCACGGGTCGCACTCCCGCCACGTTGTCCACTGCAGCTTCCCCATAAGATTGTTGACAATGCTGCGGACATATGTCTCCTTCAGATTCTCGGGTGTTGTAATATCATCTCCAGTGGCCTCTGCCTGCACGGTGGCTGTCGGGATGTACAGAATGGATCGAATGTCAAAGAACGATGTGCAAATGGTCCGGGTCACCGTCTCGAGGGCTAGGTAGATGGACCGGTCCTCGCGTGTCCATGTGTCCTGCTTGTCTAGTGCGCCCAGGAGATAGTGCTGCGTGCATCGGTCCAGCTGCAGCTCGTGCGGTTCCTCCGGGTTCGTGAAGTTGATGTACGCGTACAGCAGCGTCGGCAGCATTTGCGACACGGTCTCCGAGATCGGCTCCGTTGTACCCCGGGCCAGCTGGTTCAGTCGCTGCGAGAAACGCGTCACGATCACGTCGACAATCCCCTGCCAGTCAATGGTCTGCCGTTCATAAACCGAGAGATGCCCCCGCGCAGCAACGACCTCGCGAACCCGCGCACGCATGCCGCGCCGCTCGCTGCTCGTCACCTGCGACAGCCGCGGTAGCTCGGGCCGTGATGCGTCCGGGTTCGTCAGGTTGACGTCGTAAAAGAAGGCCGACACCATGCTGGACCAGTCGACGTGGATGCGGCCGGCTGGGAAGCCATGGTATCGAAGGGAGACGCCGCGCAAAAACTCGGCGTCGACAAAGGCGAGCAACCCACCAGTCTCATTTCGGAAGGGGCTTGGCTGGATGGATACCAAGTCGAGGCCACCAGCGTCGCTGAGGTCACAATAGATGATCTCGAAGCCGGCCTCTGTCCGGACAAACCCGTCGATGCGGTCGCCCTTGTCGTTCCATGCCCATTTCTTGGCCATGGAACACAGGTCCCTCGCACGGTCGAGCTCACCGCCCCAGTTGGCGTCGTTCCGCCCGTTTCTACCCTCATCGTGGTCCTTCCCTGTCGTGTCGCCGGCCGCCGCCATAGACTGTGCCTGGTCGTCCGGCCAGCCCAAGAGCATCATGTCCTGCGTGTCGATGCAACCATAGTCAGAATTTCCGGCGGACATACCATCAATATACAAGAGGTTGAGAGGGCGGTTGGCGCGGTACGTGTGGAAGTGGCCGCGGTAGGAGCGCATAAAGTCGGGCACATCGGGCGCCTCGGGCTTTTTCGATGTGTCATCGTCGTCGTCGCCATCGTCGCCATAACCACCATTATCACCGATCGTCTTTTGGTTATTTTCGTGGGCCAGTATCCGGTGGCGGCTGCGCCGGTTGTAGTGCGCCTCTGCGGCGTTCCATTTTTGAGCCTGTGGGAGAGGGCCGCCTCGGTCTCGTGGGTCCAAGAACGGGGGCGGGATGCCTTCGCGGCAGCGAGCAAACATTTGCGCATGCTCCAGCTCAAACGCCAGCCAGTCGAAACCCTCTCCCGTCACGCCCTTGGCCCGTTCCGGCTCGTCGCCGCCGTGGTAGAGAAGCTGACCCTCCGGCACCGTCGCCAAGAAAATGGACATGCCATTGTGATTCAGTGACGAGCCCCATTGGCGCGTGGCCGAGTGGACGGCATTGAAGATGGAAAAGGCGCGGCGTTGGATGGCCGCATCGCTTGGCGTGAGCGGTGGTACGGATTCCTCGTGTTCGTAACCGCCTGATGCGGCGGCCGCACCAGTAGCCGAGGAGAAGAGAAGTGCCACGCAACTCGACCGCAAAAGTGCAGCCACAGGCGCCATTGAGAACGCCGTTGTCTTTGTCTTCTCCGAGCCTCGAACGTAGGCGACGTCGGGATACAATGCAGATGATCGAAAGTACGCCGAGAAATTGATTAAAAACGTATCCGGAGAATGCGCACAAGCGGCACAACTGCGCCGTAGATGCGTCTCGCAACTCCACTGTTTTCAAGTCCGATTGCTGCCTATTGCGGGATCTCGATTGTAAGATACAAAACGCGCAAGAAGGCTGCAGAATTTGCCCGGGCTTCTTTCCGTTTTGAGCCCCAAACCAACCCAGGTCGCAGGACGCTTGTTCCTGGCGTTTATCTCGCCGCATCATCCAGAAAAGGAAGGACATGGGAGTCACCGCCGTCCTTTCCCTTTCAGTAGTTACAACGTGTTGAGGCCGAGACGGTCTGCACCGGCGACAAGCAAAGAACAATACATTACTCCGTCTGCTCCGTATTCAGCTTGGTTCTTTTTGTGATGCTATTTTCCAGAGGTTTTCTTCTTTTTATCAGGGAAACCGGCGACGCTTTCCAGAGTCCTGTCAAGCACGAGCTCCAGTGCTGTTCTAATTAGGCTGCTAGGTCACTTCCTGCCAAAAGCAGCTTAGCTAGGCGATTTGACCTGCATCTGGTGACGTATATGAACGGCACGCGAGTGGGAGTTTCGTGACTGTTGTCGTCTAATAAAATACGGTGTCCAAAGATAAGAGACACTACCATTTTGCAAAGCAAATTATAGAAACCAGGTTTTAATTTTTGCGTTATATTTTTCAAATGAGAGATCAACAGGGGGTAAAAAAAAAAAAAAAAAAAAAAAAAAAAAAAAAAAAAAATCTAACATGAAGGACAAATGAATTCACTCATTAAAATGACATATTTGCGTATATCATAAACAATAAATATACGAACTAGGATGTTTTATGCAAAGTTTGTATTCTCGACAGGTTCAGCAGTAAGCCTCGTGACTCCTCTTCATGTATTACCTGCCATGACGATATGTCGAAGATAGAGATTCACATTCCCGTATGAACCTGAAGGAGGCAACATTAGCCAATCTGTTGCACGGCCTTGTCACTTCATCCTGTTCCTGGACGCCGTCGAGGCACCGATTCCGTCTACAAAGACTGGGGTAAGGGGGCCACATACGAATTACTAACAGACCGCCACGCTACCTCGCGAAGGTCACTTGTCCTACAATCGAAAGCCGGTGCTTTCTTTGTCTTTGTCTTTTCTTTTCTTTTCTTTCTTTTTTTTTGGTTGATCAAACAAAATATTGCCTCTTAATGGCCTCTACACGGAGCATTGGTTTTCTTGCGTCTTCACAGCTCTGGTAAAGAACACTGCATTGGATCCAAGACAAATCACGAGCTTGCTTGTCCTACCAAGCGGAAATTTGACCCGTCGCGCCTTCCCTAACATTACACATCCCGCAGCTGCCTCATTGGCGAATGGGATACCATAGATTGACAACGAGGAGCCTCAAGGCAAGCTTTGGTCCCGTGATAATTGTTTATGCACTTGATGTCCTCGATGCCTCTCGAGCATCGTACGACACGGGGCCGTAATACGCAGCAGTACGACCTAAAAAGTGTGACACTGCGATTGCAAAACACAGCCATTGCCCTGTTGCCCTGGGCTTCGAGCGATGCCCCGCAGAGGGTCCAAAGCCCCTGTCTCCCACGCGGTTGGCGCTTTGTCGACCCCAGTTTTGCCCGTTTGAAGTCCACAGAATCAGCTCAATGTCCACTACTGTGTCGTCGGCGCGACAGGTGCCTGCAAAACCGCCTGCTGGGGCGCCAGGGGTGGGGCGATTGTCTTACAGACGGGAGCTAAAGCTCGCTGGCGGAGTAATCGCAACAGAGCCGTTTAAGCGTCATGGCCTCCTTTGTCCAAAGAGGCTCGCTGCCCCTCGCAGCTTCCCGTGACGTTTAGTTTCGTGGCAGGACGAAGGAAAGTTGGCGGAGGCATCTGGGTACCGGGCTCGTCCTTTGTGTCCGCGATCACGCTTCCAGGACGCTGACTAGTCAAGCGTGATTGGAGCCGTAGTGGGAACGTAGCGAGAGGCGAGCAGCTGGACCGCACGCCAAATCCGGGGACATAGTTAAGGACGCCAGATCCCATTTATTTCCCGAATTCATTGAATCGTGTGCGATTTCAAAAGAATCTTGTTGCACAAACCACAGGTCGCTTCACACTCCCACTGTACTGTATCGGGCAGCAAAGACGAGCCCTTGAAGTTGTAAGTCTTGCCCCTTGAAGGGAGACGCTCATTCACGTCTCGGCCTCTCGTGTTCGAAGCACCGTCTCTCTGCCCCCTCGCTTGTCTGGATGTTCCATCCTTCTTTCCTCGACTCTATTCCTGTTGCCTCCTTCCAATTGCCCACGTTGCACCTTTTGCTCGTTCCCTCCACGCGTCTTCTCTGGCCTCTACCCCTCCCATCATCGTGTCACGAGGCCTCATGTGGGAAACGACGAGGGGGTGGCTGCAGCTGTAATGCAATGGCCTCTCAAAACGCAGTCACAGCTTGCATATGTCTCGCAGACCGTACAAGTTGACTCGTCCGCTCACCTTGGGCAGCCTTTCCGTATGCAGTTTCTACAGACAGTCTCCGCAGCTGGAGATGCACTCTGCTGCAGCAATCACACATCCACCGCATGCTTACCTTGCATGGGGATATTGGGAGACAAAAAAGACGCAAAAGGCACTGGAATCGATCCAAAGACTCACCAATTAACCAGCAACTAGGATTTGGCCGTTGCTTGCCACTCATTGTCACCGACAGAACACCGAACGGGTTACGAACCCCCATTTCCCCGAGACCAACAAGTATATACATCTCGACCGCGACTGAACCATACGTTCCGATTGGAAGAATAACATTGGAATTAAAAGGCTCTTGGGCATCCCACGTCTTGAAAACAAAAAAGGACACCGACGCACAGCAATGTCTGCTGGCAGTGGTGTGCAAAATGGCGCCGCCCAAGATGTGGGGGCTCTCGAGGGAGCTTCCCCCGTCTGGTCAGGCGAACAAGGTGTGTTGGCCCACAGGAGCTCTCCTCTTTGTCCCATTGGCGCTTGTCCCTTTGCATAGTTTTGCTTTCTCAACTGGTATTCCTCGGATCGTTATTCTGTACTTGTCTCTTATTTGTCTCGCAATATGCGGTGTAATCTTGGTCACTCGTGGGGGACGGTACGAGAGGCTAGACAAAACCTACGAGAGCAAAAGCAAAGATGGCCACACCGCGCAGCACCGTGTCGTGAGCGCCCCGGACCCTCGTTCGCTCTTTCCTCGTCTGACTGCTTTCGTCTGGTCTGCCTTGCTGTACTTCCTCGTTACGCACCACTTGCCCCTTCGCTCCTTCCCTCTAGCATAAATTGGGCAACTTCCGCTTGTTGATGTCCTTGGACGTGTCCAGCTGACCTTCCCCCCTTTTTCTGCTTCCCTTTTTCCTTTCTATATATTTTACATTGCTCTTCCCATCTGTCATTTGTTTCTATGCTGGCATTGCTTTGCATTGCAATCGACGTCGAACCATCCCAAGCCTCGTATGTTTTTGACCCACAACAAGACCCCATTCTGTGTACATCCTTGCCACCTTTGCGCCCCACACACAGCCGCAGGAGCTTTGGTATTAGTGTCCGACGTCTTTTTGCAGATCAGAAGAGGCACGGCGTGACGAGGATCGAGACTGCGATGAAAGTGAACAAACGGGACTGGTTTGACTGACTTGTTTCCCTTTCCTACAGCAGCATCTCCCGCAGTTTCTCGATCCGTGAGTCCTCTCACCGAGATCCCGCCTGAGACGCACGAAAACAAACCACACGATCATTCAGAACACCATCTTACGAGTCTCCGTCCTCTCGCATTAGCCGTCATGTCTTTCAAGAATGGCCGCAAGTTTTCCACGGGCACTTCGGTGCATCGCAAACGGCAAATGAGCACCCTTGTCGAGACCGAGGGTTCCTTTGGACCGTCCTTGACTGTAGGTCAATTTTGCTTGAAAAGATGCGCGCAATTGCAAAAACCAGGCGGTTTCTGACTTCACTCTTCAGACCCTCTTTGTCGGTATTTCCGCTGTCTTTTCGGATGATCATACGGCTGTCGTGGCCCTGGCCGTCCACGACTCGGTGTATCTTGTCGACTTTTCCGTCAAACACATCGTACTGGACGAGAAGAGCAACGGCAGCGACGACCGCATCGCCGAACATGTCCTTGAGGAAATTGAAAAGTACGAGCACGAAAACTTTTCCAAGATCATCGGCGCTGGCCTCCCCACCACGCTCAAGTACATGAGTCCCTCCCTCTGCTCGCGCCTCTGGCTGGAGCTCGATATTATCCCCATTGTCATGCGTCCCGACGAGGAGCACAAGGAGGCCAGCTTCTGGGACGTCAAGCGGGTCGACGAACAGGCCGATTCCATGGCCCGCAAGTGCATTCTCCATTTCGGCCCCTCGCTGGTCCCGCTGCTCCAGGTCGGCTGGCGCGGCATTGTCCAATCCGACGCTGGCTTCCGTGCTCACCTCACGATCCTGCAGAACCATAAGGATACCTGTGGGCCGAGCACCTGGTCGTCGGTCGCGCTGTTTGCCAAGCAGCTGCGTGCCAACAAGACCAAGATTGCCTTTTTCAGCAGCACGCCCCAGGGAGGTGGCGTCGCCCTCATGCGCCATGCCCTGGTCCGCTTCTCGCGCCTTATGGGTGTTGACTTGACGTGGTATGGTACGTACAAAAACTAAGCTCAGAGTCTTGTGTTTTTCAATCTGCAGTGCCATCTCGACCAGGTGACTTACACGAACTAGTGCCTAAGCCTCGCCCTGGCATCTTCAGAATCACCAAAAACATCCACAACATCCTTCAGGGTGTGAGCCATCCAGACCAGCGCATCTCTGCCGAGGAGAAAGCGTCGATCATCAGCTGGATCACTGAAAATGCGAACCGCTACTGGTTCTCGGAAGGCGGCCCTCTGCGTCCCGCCGAGGAAGGCGGTGCGGATGTGATCGTCGTACGTTGACCTGTTCCCACTAACACAAACCCAGACGCAAACATTTGGACTGACACCTTTGTTTAGATTGACGACCCTCAAATGCCTGGCCTGATTCCTATGATCAAGCGCTTGACGCCTGATCGTCCTATCCTGTACCGGTCGCACATCCAGATCCGCAGCGATCTCGTTGCCAAGCAGGGTTCGCCCCAAGAAGACATCTGGGGCTTCTTGTGGGACAACATCAAGGGCTGTGACATGTTCATCAGTCACCCCATTCCCAACTTCGTCCCCCATACTGTTCCCAAGGAAAAGGTTGTGTACCTGCCGGCCACCACGGACTGGCTTGACGGTCTCAACAAGCACCTGAACAGATTCGACACTGGCTACTACGGTCACATTTACAACTCGGCGTGCCACTCGCAGCGCATGACTGAGCTGAACTGGCCTGCTCGCAAGTACATTGCCCAGGTCGCCCGCTTTGACCCTGCCAAGGGCATCCCCACCGTCATTGACTCGTATGCGGAATTCCGCCGTCAGCTGGATAAGACCGATGCCACGGACATCCCCCAACTTGTTGTGTGCGGCAACGGCTCCATTGACGATCCGGACGCCTCGATGATCTACGATCAGACCATGAACCAGGTGGAGACGCACTACCCTCACCTGCTCAAGGACATTAGCATCATGCGCCTGGAGCCCAATGACCAGCTGCTCAACACCATCACTGCCAATGCGCATGTCATCTTGCAGCTCTCGACCCGCGAGGGCTTCGAGGTCAAGGTGTCCGAGGCCCTGCATGCCGGCCGCCCCGTCATTGCCACGCTTGCTGGTGGCATTCCCATCCAGGTCCAGGACAAGGTCAACGGCTTCTTGGTCGAGCCTGGTGACTGGAAGGCCGTTGCTGGTCACCTGATGGAGCTGTTCACCAACGATGACCTGCATCAGAAGATGAGCCGTGCCGCTGAGACTGGTGTCTCGGACGAGGTCGGCACCGTAGGCAACGCCCTCGGCTGGTACTATCTAGCGACCAAGTGGAATGAAGTCGGCGTCAAGAAGGACGGCAAGGGTGGTCTTCCTGGCAATGAGAAGTGGGTCAACGACATGGCCCGCGAGGAGGCTGGGTTCCCGTATGCGGCCGGCGAGAACCGCCTTCCTCGCCACTTTACGCAGCATAAGGAGGAGAAGGAGCTCCCGGTGCGGACCGACAAGCCCGACGCTTAGCTGCCCGTCGTGCCCCTTGTCAACAAGGGAGCTCCTGCTGCAGTGCCTGTCGTCGCTTAGGTTGGGCTACCTATGTGGCATGCAGATGCTGTTTCGAACACTTTTCGACAGCAACATAATATCTTTTATTTCCAAGTAACAGCGCAGGGGTATGGATCTGTTTGGTAGTATTGGTACGGCACGAGGATCGAGGCAGACAAGATGTCAAGAGAGAAAAGAGCCAAAAGGAGAAAAGAAAATACTAAAAATAGGGTTAAAATCTGCAAGACGCATGATTCAAGGGGAAATAAGAGGAGGACAAACCGGACTCGCCATAGCTACAGCAGTACTTTCTGCAATATGCATGATAAATAAATCTGCATTAAAAATAATTGGCAACGTAGGAAAAGCAACATGCACAACTGATGGACGCTTGCTTCCGCTTCATAGTATAGAATGTGTATGTACGTGAGCTTGGTTGTCAAGCAACGGCTACATCATAGCTTCGCTGGCGACACAGGCTTCTTGGCGTAGGGATGGCGGAGGCCAGGCACCATATGGTCAATGTCACCCGTATTGACACACTCGGGATTGGAGTCCTTCATCAGGTTGGTCAGGCCGCACAGCTGCATGGTGGTCATGACTTCATCGTAGATAATGTCGGCCGCATGCTCGACGCCGGCCTGGCCATAGCCGACAGAGTAAATGAACGGACGGCCGAATCCCACGGCCGATGCGCCCAAGCAGATGGCCTTGATAAGGTCCGATCCGCGCCGGAAGCCGCCGTCGATCAAAATCTCCATGCGGCCAAAGATCTCGGGGCAGTTCTTGTGGAACTCGAGGAGGGCGAGAATGGTGGGTGGGGCGGTATCGGCGGCACGGCCGCCGTGGTTGGTGATGACGATGCCCTGGCAGCCGTACGCGAGGGCCTTGCGGGCATCCTCGGCGCGCTGGATGCCCTTGGCCAAGAGGGGCAGGGGCTCTGCCAAGCCGTTGTGGCTGGTGGCAGCGTCGACGGTGGCACGCAGCCAGTGCAGGTCCTCCCAGCAAAAGGACGCGTCGATAAACGAGGCCGTCTGCTTGGCGAGGTTCTGCTTGGCGCCCGTGGCCACCGCTTCGCCGCGCTGGCGCGCCGTACGCGACCGCGCGCGCTCGTCGACCTCCCGCTTGGAGGCCACGGGCAGGTCGACGGTGACCATGACGGCCTTGATCTTGCGCCCGTGGGGCCCACCCAGAAGCTTGTGCAGCAGCGTCTCGGCCCGGGCCCGGTCGCGGTCCACGTACAGCTGGAACATGGCCTGGCCGCCGTCCTCGGCGCGCGGCAGCTGCTGCAGAATCTCCTCGTAGGGATACGACGCGACCGTCGAGATCACGGGGATGATCCCGGCTGCCGCCGCCCCGCGCGCAATGGCCAGCTCGCCCTCTTTGCCGCCGGTCCGCGACGTGCCTGTCGGCGCGACAAAGGCGGGCATCCGCAGCGGCACGCGGCCGCCAAACAGCGACGTCCGCAGGTCCATCGTGTCCCACCCGACGCCGCGCAGCACGGCCGGCCGCAGCCAGATGCGCCGCAGCAGCGCCGTGTTGGCGTCGCGCGTCAGATTGTCCTCGGTGCCCGTCGAGATGTACGCCCAGGCCCGGCGGGACAGGGCGCGCTCGGCCGCCTGGGCAAAGTCGTCCAAGCTCAAAATGTCCTCGAGGGGCGGCCGATCCGCCTCGCGCTGCCCGCCGTCGCCGCTGCCACCGTCGGTGTCGGCGTCGGCGTCGGCATCGGCATCGGATTCAATGGCCGCCGTCCGCCACTGCGGCGTAATCGACGCCTCGTCGAGCCGGCCGACGTGTTTTTCGGGCGCGAGTTCCGATGAAATGAGCGACGGCGCGTGGATGCGGTTGTAGACGCGGGTGGCGTCACGGCCGGCGAAGCGGAGCAGGACCTCGGTGCCGCCCGGGTGGTGCTCGGCGAACTCGGTCAGGTCGTAGACGACATTGTCGACGACGAGCCAGAGGTCGTCTGCGCGGTTGTGGCCGACGACGTCGTCGATGGTGAGGAGGGGCAGCTTTTGTGTGGAGGACATGGTGGCGGTCGAACGGGCGCTACAATACGCTGTAGGGGGTGAAATGCAGTGGTCTAAAAAAATAGTCGGCATGCGCAATATATTTACAGAAGCACAGGCAACACGATCAAGACCACATTCACCTCTTCAAAGACGATATCGGCATTCTTCCGATCTCGAACCGCACCTACGAGCTCGGTTTCAAAGGCGACGTCGTGCGTCGCTTCCCCACCTCCGACCGCTCGGCGGTCTTTAACCCGCGCTGTTTCGCACCATTGTCCGATGGAGAATGCGCCATAACTCCACTACAAACCCCACAACATTGTCCCAGCATCGTCTCCGCGCGTAGCAGACGTTGGTCCAGGGGCCAATCCGCAAACAAATACCTCAACAAGCAGCTTGTCCGGTTTACACTCAGTTTCGGATATGAGGAGGTTAGAATAGAATTGAAAAGTCTCTTGCTGTCATTGGTATCTTTCAAATAAAATGCAAGGAAAATACTGCGTACAAGAAAGAAAGCGATGCAATGGCAACCGCCAATTATGCAACTCCGTTCCACTCGTCCGCCTCCTCCTCGTCTTCTCCGTTGCGCTCGCCGTAGTCGCCAGCGTATTCTTCCGCGTCTTCGTCGTCCACAGTCACGACCGGAATAGACTTACGCCCGAGCGCCAGCTTCTGCATCAGAGTCAGAGGTTTGGCCGGTTTGGCCGGCTTGTCGTCCGAGTCCGCATCCGGATCTTCATCGTCGCTGCCGCTGTCTTGGCCGCTTTCACCAGCCTCTCTGTGGGAAGACGAGCCGTCGTGCTTGGTCGCGCCCTTGGCCTCCTCGTCATCATCGGACGACACAATAAGCGGCCGTCGCTGGCGTTTGGATGAACCCGCGCTGGTCTTGCTCTCCTGTGCCGGCCTGGCACCGTCCCCGTTGTCGGCTTCGTCGTCGTCGTCGTCGTCATCCGAGTCGGCAACCACGTGCCGCTTTTTGCCACGGCGGGTTTGAGTTCCTGTCGCGCCTCTACTATCTGCTTCGGTCCCAGGCTCAGGCTCGGGGCTCGAGAACATGGCCTCCAACGGCAGAGGCGGTCCGTCGTTTTCGTCGCCCGAGTCATCGTCGTGCAGCCCAGCAAACTCATCCGAGTCCTCCTCTGACTCATCCTCAAGAATGTCGTCGTCGTCAATCATGCTGTCCTCCTCCTCCTCCTCTTCCTCGTCTGAGTTGTCCGACATACCACCGTGCCAGCCAAATTCTTCATCCGCGTACCGCGATGGCAGCTGATCCTGCTGAGGGACGCCAAACTCGTCGTTGGGCCAGTGCCCATCAGGTCGGCACCCCAACTGCAGCTGCCAGTAGTCGTCCATGCCCTCGTCCTCAAAGAAGAGCAGCCGCGAAAACCGCACGCCCTTTTCGCGCAGCCGCGCAAAGTGCCCAATCACCACCTCGTCCTTGAAGTCGCCGGGTATCTCAGACGTCTTTGGTGTGGATGACTTCGTGTCGCCGCTGTTGCCGTTCTCCATGTCGCCTTTGTCTCTGTCTTCCATGTCCTTATTGTCACCGTTCTCCTCGTCCGTGTTGCTCCCCACACGTCTGTCTGCAATGGCACCCCGAGACAGCCGGCCAGCGTTCTTGGGCGGTGCGTGCCAGAGGTACAGGTACTCAATCTTTACCTTACCCGTTTCGTACTCGTTCATTTCGAAACAGTCGACATGGTAACGCTGGTGGCTCCGGATGTGGCCCGCCCAGCGGTCGCTGTGTCGGAACGCACCGTCCTCCACCACATAAATGTTCTGCAGGTTGGGGAACAGGTACTCAATCGAGCGCAAGAAGGTCTCGTCGCGCAGCTCGTGTGGTTCGCGGTGCGACGCATGGTCCGGGCTCAAAAGCTCAATCACGCTCTGCTCCAAATAATGCGTCTGGTACGCCCCAGGCTCGCGCGACCGGACAAGATTATCGCCGATCGCCAGGTTGCGCACACTGTGGTACGGCTCGGGGGTGACCAGCTCAACATGTTCGCGCAGGAGGCCGCGCTGCCGCTCAGTCAAATCGATGTCGATGTCCTCGCGGGCTGTGGCGGCGTCTCGTGCGTTGAGGCCAAACGGGTGCTCGTCAAAGAAGTGGATCAGGTCCGTCTCTGCGTTGAACCGAATCACCGCCTTGTCGTGTCTGCTGTGGCCCACGGGCAGCACGTCCGGCAGCGCCTTGAGGCCCATCTCCCGCGTCTCGCGGCAGATGCTCATCATCCGCCGCACCGGCTCCGTCTGTTGGTCCATGGTGACCGCGGGCGTCAGCCGCCCGTGCTGGTGCACGAACACCTGGATCACGCGATGCTTGCGCCGCAACTCCGAGCAGTACGTCTCCCAGATGCGCAGGCGCAGCTCCGCTGGCAGCTGTCCGAACTGGTGAAACGTCGGCGTGCCGGGGATGTGCTCGCGCGCCGCAAAAAACTGCAGCCGTTTGGACAGAATCTTCACATCCAGCCCGGCCTCGATGGCGCCCGTGCGGGGGGACTCGCTCACCTTGATGTCCCACGAGTCGCTGCTGTCGTAGGCGCCAAAGTCAAAATCGGGCATGTCGTCGGATTCGTCGTCGTCCAGATCGTCGCGCACGTCGTTGTTTTTGGCATAGTCCATGATCTTGCGCACCTTCTGCTCCCATATTTCGTCGTCGGTCATTTTGCTCATGTCCACGAGGTCCTTGTGGAATTTGGCGTCTCGTTCATCTTCGTCCTCTTCGTCCTCGCTGCTGTCATAGTCGGTCCACGCATCCGACTCGTTGTCGCCGTCTACGCCCTCCATGTCGCTCTCTTCGGCCTCGTCAATCACAAACGCATGACCCCGACCGTCGCCCATCTCGTTGATGTCATCGCTGTCGCCCTCTTCGCCGGCCGACATGGTGGCAGCTTTTGCGTTTGTGCACAGCTGAGGTGAAAGGAGTATGGTTCGTCAAGCTCGAAACGGGGTAGACAAGGATGGCAGAATGTCGAAATTGTCGGTGAATGCTGAAGCGGAGGACAGCTGCGCTGCAATGCAATCCAGCACGGGATACGACGATGCCTGGACGGTTTAAGGAATGCGAACCAAATGGATCAGAACCTGTGCTACGACCGAGACTAAAGCACCCAGAGAGCTAGAAGCACAAAGCACTTTAACAACGCGTTTAGCCGTTGTCAGATTATTTACGCGTTTGCACGCACCCCACTTGACGATTTCCACTAGTATATGCAATTAACAGGTTGCATATTTCATCCATCCAGTATCACTCAACATCCTAACAGGTCAAAATCTGACCAAGTCAATGCAGATAACTTTTGGAATGTCGTTATTTTTTATTAATTGTTGGAAACTTCAAGTTCTTAAATAATCTGAATTTTCTGACTCTTAACTTTTTTAATTACAATATCCCATGTTGTTTATGTTGTATCTGTTAATCCCCTGTACTTTTAGTTTTAATTTTAATTTATTTTGTTTTCAGAAATGAGCAAGAATCGATAAGAGCATTTAAATATGAAAGCCATAAAAGCCGTAAAACCCGTAAAAGTCAAGAAGCAAAAAGTCAAAAACCGAATTGGGTAGGGTAAGATCATGAAGAAATTTATTAATATCCATGTGTATTTGCGTCTTAACGCGCAGCTCGTTCACTGGACGGACAGTTCCTTCTTACATCACCCGACCCGTTCTTACAAAAGTACTACGGATGTGCTGAGTATGTGTTTGTGATGGAAAAGTGAAAGCCAGGGCGGAAACGCCCCCTCGCCCCACCAAAAAACAATAAATTATGAGATTTTGTCCTTCAACTTCTGGAATAAACAGTTCGGCGGCCATGCTATGTACAGTGTACTTCGAAAAAAAAAAAGTTAAAAATGAACAGAAAGACCTCAAGTTCTTCATATGCTGTACCTAAGAGACCAATTGTATCATGGGTCGTAGAGCCACTGAGACAAAATGAAGTGTGATATGCAAGTGGGACAGAAGAGGAAATGACAGGCAAGAGGGACAAGCAACATTCCTGTCTCGAACTCAGCCTCTCTGCGGGCGGACCCGAGGCAACCAGTCAAGGATTGAGCAGTGGTGGAGTCGACTTTCCAGCTGTGAACTCGCTGACAGCATTTCCGCATTGGGACGAAGGGCGGCTGTCGAGCGGGGAGCTGCAGAAAAATTGAAACGAAAGGGATGAGCTCGGAAGGCTGCGGATGAAAGACAATGCCTGACAAAACGCACGGCTTTTGAATAAAATAGAAGTACCTTAAAAATTAAAGTAAAATAAATGAACCATACGACAAAATAACGTAAAATCAAGAAGGCGAAAGAGAAGAGCAACCTGGCCGCCGAAGATATCGTCGCCAACGTGCGGGCGCGTGATCGACTAACCAGCTTACTAGTATGTAAGAGCGTATTTTGAACAACGTGAAAGAGTTGGCTAAATGCGAATAGAACATAGAAGCAGCAAAGAGCCTCACTATGTCGACCTTCCGTCGACCTCTTGCAGGCATGGAGACATGTTTTATTATGAGTCTAACCCGATTGGGCAATTTGCCCTGCACTTTCAGTTTGTTTACTTCGCCCCTTCCGTTTACAAAACTGGCATTCAGCCGGGAAGGTCCAAGGGGCACGACCGCAAGGTCCCCGTTGTTTCTCGGTTTCCAAGTCAAGCACCCAATACAGTTTTCTTGATAGCCCGGCTGGCGGTCGTTCTTCGCTTTGACGGCGGCACCGGTGACAGACCGCACATCATTTCTCCAGCTGAACCTTCTGAGCACGTAACAAGCGGCGGCATTACCCGAACGAGCTTGTTTTTCTGTGGGGGAAACGGTCACTGCACTGTTCCTATTTTGGTCAACAAAACATACGATTTTCGTATTGGACGCCACTTTCGGAAGAAAAAGAAAGTGCGAACATCATAGCGCGGTGGTTCTTTCCGCCTGGGTGGCAGATATTGGTCTCCTTTCTCGGGCCCCTTTTTGTCCATCTTACGAAGTAATTGTCTTGATCTTCTCCAACTGCTCCGACCACGCAGCGCATGCATGCGCCCCATTTCAGCTAGCTAAATCAACCAATCCTTTCCTGTTTTAGCATAACTCACTCGGCTCCATAATGGACGATCCAGACGGCCCAGCTTGTCATCGACACACTGATCATGCCCGTTTTGTCCAGCAACCAAACAGTGCACTGACCATCGGAACGAGGCATACATGTACGGGAAACAAGACGTGAGCAAGGCTGGCAGGAGGCCAACTCGGCCACTTTCTTATGATCTATGTTGTACTTGGTCTCTTGTTGCGTGCGAGTGGGAAGGATTCGAGTGGGATGGATCCTTCCCGTTCCCGTCCCACTCCATCTCCATAGGGTCTTCAGCACGTCAAGTCGCTTCCCCACTGTCTCTGGACCAGTACTTTATCGATGTGTGCTAACTTGACTGGCAGCACGGGTTGGGGGCCACCCCCATACGAAGCTAAGGCACGACAACTATCTTATCCTCTTACCAGAATCTTGAGGTCTTGCACTTACCCGCTGTGCAGCATGAACGACAACCTGAATAACTAGCGAGTCTGGGTATGTAGGAAATATCTCTTACGCGGCACCCTACGGTGGTTTAGAACCAATGAAACGTGCCGTTCCGGAATGGGACATTCTGTCGGTGGCCGTCTGACGCGGGCCTGGGCCGAATCAATATTTTGATGACACAGATGGGATATCACGAACACGGTGTCCTATTTTGTGGCTTCGTATCTGCATGCTTACCTGCGCGTGTGCGTCAAGTACCGGCCATGACACCACGCCTCCTTGGACGACCAGCAGGGATATGCAGCATGGCTGAACATTGCAGAAACGAGATTTGACGAAGTCCACGTCCGAGCTCCACCGCTCGCGCTTTCTCGACACTTGCCAACGCTGAGGGTTGGGAATGAGATCCTGCACTTTTTGTGCCATTATACGGGGCAAGCCTTGCCATTGGCTCGAATATCTTAACAAGGGATGCGGAGGACCGTCTGCGACTCGAAAGGGTCGATCATGCTTCACGGCTTTTGTATGTTATGACACCTTCATTGGACTGTTCTGACACAGGGTCTCGCGGACGAGGCCTCCTCACTTGAACGGGGATTTCCACAGAAAAGTGTGTGCACCACTTGCACAATATGGCAGCGTCAGAGACAACCTAAGCTACATGAAGAGGGATGCCTGTGCATGGTCTGCATAGCAAAGTCCCATGTACTTGCCGTGGCTGTTTATTTTCATCTCATTTATGTTGCATACGGAATTGCCTCATGTCACAATTCGGAAAACGGATATTTATTTAAAAGTACATGGCCGAGATTAGATATATCTCTTCAGCTCGAATTTGTCTTGCCCTGAAAGAACTCTACATATAGGTTGTCCAACTTCCGACCCAGCAGTCAACATTCCCTACTCACATATAAGCAACCGCCCATCCTTCGAGCTCTCTCCCCCTTTCTCGCTTCTGGTCTCGTCTTTTTTACTTTTTTTTTTTTTTTTTCGTTTCTCCCAATCTGCTTAACCTCCGTTTAATCTCGTCTTTCATTTGGCCGGATACATATCCTCCTGGAGCTGCGGATTATGTTGCCGCTCAGCAAGACTCTTTCTAGTATGCCCACTACCTCATCAATTTTATATCACAGCTCATGGGCACTTCGATGGCTAACCAAATCGCAGAAATTAGGAATAAACGGCGTTCAACGGCCTCATCTTCATCTGTCGAGGCCTCATCTCTTCAAGACGTCCAGGTCGCGGGTACAGCATCTCCTTCGAAATCCGTCAACTCAAAGGTCTCTTCAGTCTCTCTTTCCAACGTTTCAGAGCCTCCCATCTTCCTAGAATTTACTCAGCCACATAACCAAGCCGCTCCGACACTGCTTGAGAAAGCTTCTGACAGAAAACAGAACACCCAAGAGGATCCAGTCCCGGAAACGGAAGACGTCACACCCCGCTCTGTGCGTCACACATTCATTGAAACTGCCCAGCCTGAAAAAGACACGATGACGGCGGTACCTATTGGCATCATGAAGTCTCTGCCCCAGTTGGCTGTCAAGGGCTCCCAGGCTGGCGTCGTAAAGGATGACAGCCGTGTGGTTGTGAGTGAGTTTCCCGTCGACGAGGACTCGACTGCCTTTGAAGAAAAGACGCTTTCTCGCAAGGACACGGCTGCCACGACCACGACCGAGGTGGCATCTCCCACTTCCTTGACACGCACGACTACTAATGGCAGCTCGCACCCCGAGTCGCGTGTGGCCGAGGTTGTCCACTACGTCAAGGGCCTGTTCTCCAAGCTCGGCGACTACGAGGTTAATATGCTGCGCCAGGCCGACCTGGAGACGTACTTGCAGTACATTGCCGACGAGCGCCTCATCCACATGCCGCGCAAGGGCAGTGACTGGGATCGTGTTCTTCGCACGGCTCAGTTCTTTGGCCTTCAAATCTGGCGTTTTGGCGAGAAGGTCGGCAAATTTGCACCCGAGAGCCGCGCGGCGGCCGGCTCTGCTCTTGCCAGTTGCCACCTGCTTCTTGAAGTATGATAAAATACAAACCACCACGAAGTCATTCCTAGTTTTCTGTTTCTGACTCGTCTCAAACCCAGATCGGGCACTCTCAAGCGGCTGCCCTCCTCCCTGCATTCATGACTCTCTACGAACTGGGCCTGCTTGTCTCCCAGATCACTCAAATCCCTGGCATCTTCGATTCTACCAAGGAGATCAAGGCCTCCATCAGCAAGCTCTACAGCGAGCTGGTCGGTTTGGCAGGCAGCATCTCCGTGCACTACAGAAACCACATCTTTAATCTCGGTCAGCAGCACCAGTCGGTTACGCTCAACCTCAACGATCTCTTTGGTGGTGACATTGACTCTATCTGGGCCAGCAAGACGGCTCTGTATGATCGAATCTGGATGCAGAGCCTTGGCAAGAAACAGTATGCCTTATCTCTCTCCGAACTCCGCCACCGGCTCAACCCGGAGTCGGAGGCGTTCCGGCATGCGCTGTACGCCGAACTGGCCGAGGATCTGGAGCGCGCTGAAGACACCTGCGAGTGGATCAAGAGCGACCTGGTCGAATATCTGCAGTCGAAAGAAAAGATTCTCGCTGTCACTGGCGCTCCGGGTTCTGGTAAGACAGTCCTTGCAGACTGGATTGAAGAGCGTCTCCAGCGGCCACTCAATAACGCCACGTACAGTGTCCTGCTGTACACATTCCGTGAGTCGTTGCCAAACCCCTGTTCCACCCTGGCACAACCGAACGAGACTAACAGTTTCCAGCTTCAGATGACACTGAAGAGGCGGCGGTCGTGTCGTTTCTCAAGGGCGTCCTCTTCCAGCTCCTTGAGCGGAGCGTCGGCAACGTGCAGCTTTACGAGACCCTCGTGGCGGCCCTTGTCAACGAGGAAACACATACCCGGGCCCATGGAGGCAACCACAAGCACTCAGAATTTGAGCTTGCACTGTGGAAGGCGCTGCATATCGGCCTCAACACGTTTAAGAAGAGCGACGAGCCGATCGTGCTTCTCATCGACGGCTTTTGCTGCCTTTTTCAAGCTGCTGCAGGACCATGTGTTCTCTGTCAAGAACGTTCGCACCATCACATTCTCTCGTTACGAGCACAAGCTTAACAGCGGCATTCGTCATGTGGCCATTTCCGAACAGGATGTAGCACACGACATCCGAAGCTTCTTGCGCCAGACGTTCTCGCGATCTGTGCTCTTCATGGAACTACCTCCCGCTCAGCGCGAGAAGATCATCGATGATTTGTCGGTCAAGTCCAAGGGCGTCTTCCTCTGGGCTCGTCTTGCCGGCAACCTCCTGCTCAAGTACCACGGATTTGTTATCACACCTGACCACCACGGGTATCACAAGCACGATCACAAGCATGAGCGCAATACAGCTGCTGGGTTTGTGACAGCGTCCGAATCCATCAGTGCAGACGTCGATGATGTGCTTCTTGCGACGGAATCGAAGCTCGATCTCAAGGGCGACCACCAGCTCCGTGATATGCTGTCCTTCCTGCTTGTGTCGGATGCACCACTCGAGACGGACGACCTATCAGCTATTCTGGCCGTCGACGTTCACAACAAGACTATCCACAAGCCTGTTAACATTGGTCAGCTCGTCGCGCGGACGGTTCCAGACCTCGTCCTCGTTCGCGACGGCCGCGTGCGCTTCAAGAGCAACATCATTCGCGCCCACCTGCACAAGCAGCTTGGCAAGTCGCTTCCTGCCGTGAAGGAGGCCCACCATCAGCTCACGTTGCGTCTTCTTCTCTACACCAAGCTGGCGGTGCACTCCAGCCTGTTCAACGACCCCACGATTGACGTCATTGATGAGGCAACTGTGCAGCGTCTCTTCCAAAACCATCGTCTCCTGTCCTTCGTCATGTCCCATTGGATGTACCATTTCCGTGCCTCGTCTCAGTACCTCCACGGCAGTGGCCATGACCTGGCTCTGTCCAAGGATTTCAAGGCTGTCTTCCCCGATTCCGTCGTCTTTGCGCTGCTCGAGCGTCACGCCTGGGCATCGACAACGGACCTCGTGGCTCGCCTCACCCTGACCCTGCGGATCCGGGAGGCTGTTTTTACCGAGAAACATATTTGTGTGCTGCAGAGTTTGATTGTTCTCGGTCATGTCCACCGCCATTACTCGCACGCCGTGGACAGCTCACGCTACTTTTACCGCGCTGCCATTCTTGGTCAACAGGTTCTCTCGCGCTTCAGTGCCCTTGTCGTCGCTTGCACCGACCTTTTCCTCCTGATTACGGAGTCGATCAAGTTCACCACACGCACGGAAATTGTCTCGTACCGGGAGACCCTCATTCGCTACAAGATTGAAGTCTCCATCGAGCGCTTTGGCTCCCACAGCAAGGCGGTACTTGAGTGGTATGAAAAGCTGGCTGCCCTCTACGTTTCCATCAAGGAAGAGGACATGGTCGTCATCATCTACCGCGAGATTTACGAGATCATTGTCGCCCGCGATGGCAAGGGTTCCCAGGAGGCTTCCAAGTTTAAGAAGTTCTTTGGCGGCTTGGATGTCACCCTCAGCGACGGAGAGGAGAAGAAGCCAGTCGACGGCTACGGCAAACTTCTCCTGGAGACGGCCGAGGACCTCGAGGTCACCGATGTCCTGCTCTACATCTCCATCATGCTGCGCGTGGCGTTGTCCTACGAGGCGGACAGGAGGTGGCACTGGGCTGAGCGCATCTACATCAGCTTGTGGCGCAAGGTGTCCGTCTTGTCCCGCACGGTCGTGACTACCGACGTGCACACGGCGAAGATCAAGGTGGCCATGGCGTACATTACGTACTTGCGCTCCGCCAAGCGTGTCGAGGAGGCGTCGAACATCCTCATAGTCCTATGGACCGAGTACGAGCACTACAACTTCGAGACGCAGGAGCTGGTCCTTTACCTGCGCGAGATTGGTGTGCTGTTCCGCGTCTTTGGCATGACGGCCATCGCCGGCCACATCTTCGGCAAGGTCTGGGGCTGGTTTAAAAACCATGGCAAGGGAAATGACGCCGAGGCAGGCAAGACCATTGTTCTGATTACCGAAGCGGTCAAGGAGATCACCACGACGACCGCCACCAGCAAGACAACGGTGACGACCACGACGGAGACAACAGAGACCATCGTTCGTGATATTTATGTGACACACTACGAGCGCTGCCGCAAGACTGGGGTGGACAAGACCTTTTTCGCGGCGACACTGTCTCTAATCGACATTCTCATTGCCGCCGGGAAGTGGGATGAATCGGAGGTGATCATTCGTCAGTCGCTTGAGATCAGTTGGAAAGCCATTCTCACGGCTAGCGCCAAGGTGACACTGTCAGAGCACTTCATCAAAGAGTCCGTCATCTTGGCAAAGCGTCTCGCAGTCTGCCACAAACACCAGCATCAATTCGACTTGGCGGAGCAGATCTACCTGCGGATCTACTATGCTGCTCTCGGCTCTCTCACTTTTGACGACGAGCTGTTCCTTGAGGCGTTGGCTGGCCTCATTGGGTTCTACGAGGAGTACCACCGCCACGACAAGGTCATTGAGATCTACGTGGAGCTGGTCGACAAGTACCGCAAGAAGTGCGGCGCTGCGCACCGTCTGACCATCCAGGCCCTCTACACGCTGGCTGCGCAGTACGAAATTCTCGGCCGCAAAGAGGCGTACGCTTGCTACATTGAGATCGTGACGACCCTCAACAAGGGCCTCAAGCACTGTCACCACGATGCCTTCAAGGCCGCCGTCATCCTTGTTTCCTTCTACCACATCGAGAAGCGCTGGGCGGAGCTGCAGAACATTTGCGCCGTGCTCTGGGAGACGTTTGTGCATCGCCATCACGAGCACTCGTATGCGTTTACGGAGGATGTTGTTGTTCTGATCTACGAGAAATATATGTACACGCTTGAGTACCATGCCAAGGTCGACATTCAGATCCTCTACGAGATATCCATTAAGTACCGCGAGACGGTGACGAAGGTCTTTGGTGCTTCAGCACACATTTTCCTTCTTGCACAGCTCTCCCTCGCCCACATCTGTGAGCGCTCTGAAAAGCACCAGCACGAGGCGGTCGCCATCTACGAGGAGATCATCACGAAGACAAGGTCGACCAAGTCCACGACCACGATCGAGACCGAGACATCCATCAAGGCTGTGACCAAGCGTCTGTCGACACTGTACACCACCATCATCCGCAAGGGCGACAAGGGCAGCAAGTCTGGTGGCCCTGGAAAGGACGTGGGCATCAGCATCGACCGTGCCATTGTGCTCTCCCTCGAGGCCTTTGCGCTCTACAAGATTGAGTTCGGCATCTGGCATGCCAAGACGCTGACAGTTCTCTCGGACATTGTTTTCCTGCACCAGAAGACCAACACCAAGGAGTCGCACAGCAAGGTCGTTCACATCTTGCAGACGACTGTCATTGAGATCCTGACCACACTCACCGTCTCTGCCCAGTTGTTCGAAGCGGCGACCACTCTGGCCTCCATTTTCATCAAAGCTGGCCTGGTCGGGCAGGCCGAGTCGCTGCTGCACCAGTTGCGCTACCTCCTGGTCTTTGGTGAGGTCCTTCCTGCCGGCATTTCGGTCAAGCTGGAGTTCAAGCTGAACCACAAGGTCAACAGCCGTGTCGTGTTCCTCTTCGTGGCGGCATTTGAGCGTCATATCCGTGGCCACAACCAAAAACAGACGGGGCCCGCCATTACATTCTCGGAACTCCTGTCATCGCTCCTGTACGAGGTCCTTCTTTACGAGGACTACCGCGCCAATGTCGACAGCAAGGATGTCCGCATCGAGGAGATTCTCTTGTCGGGTGCTCGGCTTCGCGGTTTCTGGGCCGAGGAGGCGCGATCGGAGCTTCTGGTCGTCCTCGACACACGGCTTTTCCCCCTCTTCAAGGCTCGGTACGCCGACTATGCCAAGGTCACCTCGGACGAGCACACGAAGCTCTTCTACCTTGCTCTTCTCGCCGAGCTGAACCGCGATAAGGCCGATGCCAGCTACGCCGTACTGTCTTGCCGCGCTGGCAACCACAAGGTCTACGAGCTACTTAAGGCGGGCCTGTTTGAAAGTGCGCTCGGGGTCGCTCGCTTTGCCTTTGCCTTTGCGTCCAAGCAAGGCTTCTACAAGAGCAGCGGCGCACGCATTGCATATGGCTACAAGCTGGCAGAGCTGCTGGCCGGCATTGACGCCCGGGCGCCCCCCGCCGACACGCCCCTGCGTGGCAGTCTCTTGTCGCTCTCCCGCGAGGTAACCGCCGGCGTCTTTACCGTGCTGGCCGAGGAGAAGATCGACCTGGCCACGCTCGAAGTGGCCGACGTCACTGGTCTGGTGCGTCTCCTGGGTGCCCAGGGCGACTTTGCACGCCTGGAGACACTGCTGCTGCATCTGTGGCAGTCGCGCGAGGTCCGCCGCAGCTGGAAGCCCGCGACGGTCATGTCCATTGGCTTCGCCCTGGTGCACGCCTACGCCGGCCAGAAGCAGCACAAGCTGGACCGCGCCATTGACCTGGCCGATGTGCTCTGGTTCAACCTGGTGCGCAGCCGTGGCTGGCTCGACCGCGACGCCGTGGCCGCCGGCCAGCTGCTTGCCAGCCTGTACTTGGAGGCGGGCCGTGCCGCCGACGCCATGAAGGTCTACGAGCGCGTACTGCACCAGATTGAGGCGGCGGCCGGCAAGAAGAATGGAGGTGCCTTCCCAGCAATCACCAACGGCAAGCTGGGCAGCGCAGCTTCGGCGGTTGCTGGCGCCGCCGGCCACACCGAGGACGCCGAGGGCGATACTGCGCTGCTGGGCCTCCACGCCCGGCAGCACCTCGACCTGTTGGGGGCGGCACATGCTCGCCTCGGCCGCTGGGTCAAGCCCAAGAAGGAATACCACGATCTGTACGAGCACCTGCGTGACAGTCTTGGGCTCAAGGCCCAGCTCCCGGCCACATTTGAAAAGTGGGCAGCGGCGGCGGCAAATGCGGCGACGGACAAGTCGGCGCTGCCAGGTGGATATGTGGCGCCCAAGGACTGGACCATTTCGGCAGGTGAGACGTTGGCCCGCGCAGGCTGATTTATTTTGAGAAATCGAGTGTGTTATGGAGGTGGCCCGGACGTTTTTTGATCAATGGAATTCTCTCTCATATGCTTTCATTTTCTTCATAGTTTTTAATTTTCTATCGACGTCTTCTTTCAGGTATTTGTTATTGCTTTGTTTGGTACGTTTAATTCGTCAGTTGCAGCAATAAATGATTAGCAGTAAATTGAGAAACATTGTGATTAAGTCGTTATTCATACCAATATCACAGCTTATTGTTCTAGGAAACCGTGCGTAAACTGCCATAAAAGAAGAGAGGGAGGACACGAATTTTACTACTGAGTATATTGAATCAGTACGAAGGTAATACTGGTGCCTTAAAGTACCATGATGAGGTAAAATAAAGAAGATGAAGAAAACAAAAATAGTTAGGCATAATGAAAAAATAAAGATAAATAAATAAGAAGCCTATTAAACGAATGCAAAGGAACGAACAAACACTTGTTTTTTAACCAAGCGGACCAAATGCTGTCGACGGACGGAGAACGAGAAAAAGACAAAAAGAAACGATGTCCTCCCTCGGGTGGGCTCGAACCACCAACCTTTAGATAGACTATTATGAGATCGATAACAGTCTAACGCGCTAGCCAATTGCGCCACGAGGGAGTCTGTATATGGAGATTTCGCCGACCTTAATCACATCCAAGTACGCGGGTGATGTTGTGTGGGAGAAGGTTCCAGATGTACGTCCTAATGGAACCAGTGCATCGAAATGGATCCATCTAAACGTATCGGTTAGGATTTGGGTTGTGGAGTTGCTGTCACAGCGATGTGTTTAGAGCTGCATCCAGGTGGAATCTAAGCCCTTCAGCCCTTTTCTGTCAGCTGGGACTCGAAGTGACAGCGTCCGGCCCCGGCTCATAAGGAACCGGGAAACACATTTTTGACGATTTCCGGGTCCGGGTAGCAGCCAAAAAGGCTTGAGTAGGTGGGGAAGTCGAGAACACGGCTGTAATGGCTGCACGGAGAAGGATGTCGCCGAGATAAGTGCCCGAGAGCGCTGCCCAAGAAACTGGGAGTTTAAACCGTACGTCGTTCAACTGGTGTTTGCAAAACGTTTGAGCTTCCATTGCTAACCAACCAGAAATGCACCGTTTGAGTACACACCCAAGGGCAAAACCGATGGACAACTTGCGGCAGGAGACGTTGGCCGAGTTCCGTTTTGTCAAAGGCGAACAGGTCTTAAAGTCGCTATAGGAGACGGACGTGTGGGATGAAAAGAGAAAAGAAGCAAAATGGACAATGACACTTTTCGTTTACCCCTGAATATACTTGCATGCTCTATGTGTGTCTCCCCAGGCACGCTCTGGAAGCGTCACGTGCACAACACAGCAGGAGGACAAACAAAATGGTAAACATCTACAGCGACAGGGTGGCGGAGGTCAAGCAAAGCAAGACTTTGTACTCGTATGATACACATGCGAGCCGTTCGAAACAGCAACGTTCAATGACCACAGAAGGACATACCTCCACGATGCACTGCTGTAACGGCGGATGCATGCAATTTGGTACTGAGAGATGGTGTGTATTACTAAATTGATAAATGAGTGGGACTATTAAAAAGATTGGCTTTCAACTGCAGCCTGTACCGCCAACGGCCCCTTGTTTGGTATGCGTGTGCCCGGCACACAAGCTTTCCACGCGATGGTTTCCGGCAAGAGTGATGATCAACACAAGAGGGAATGGAAAAAGACAAGCGACATTGAATTTAGCTGTCCGCCACCGGGCACAAGTCGTAGTAGCCGTCGGCGTTGTTGCCCCACCAAGTCGGGAAGACGACGGTCTTGCCGCCGGCGCCGAAGACGGCAAACGACAGGATAAAGAGGACCATGAGGACGGCGCCGTCCCAGGCACCCGTGACCATGTACATGTAGTTCTTGAAGATGCGCGGGTAGTAGTTGCGCAGGTAGTACTGGCAGAAGAAGCCGGCGCCGAGCATGCTCCAGATGACGCAAGTCTGCGACTGGTTGTAGGGGATGAAGCCGGCGTACTGGATGAACTGGGGCAGGTTGATGGTGGCGAGGTTGAAGCCGCCGATGGTGGGCTTGGCGCGCCACAGCGCCCAGTGCACGACCACGACGGCGGCGCCAATGGCCAGGCCGATGGGGACGAGCTGATAGATGGTGCCGGCCTTGTAGATGTAGCGCGCCAGCGCCCACGAGGCGGCGTTGGTGTTGTACGACTGGATGGTGGCGCCGCTCCAGGCGGCGCTGCCGTTGCCGTTGATGAGCAGATCGCGGTTGCCGGTGATGATGCCCACCAAGACACCATAGGACACGAAGCCGCCGAGCACGGTGCCGTAGATTTGGGTCAAGAACATGGTCTTGGGCGGGATCTTGAGGTACTCGCCGAGCTTGAGGTCGTTGCAGAGGTTGACCGTGTTGGCAATCATGACGTGCGACCAGGCGGCAAAGTACATGTTGCCAATGGGCCGTTCGGGCACGACGAGACCAGCAATCATTTTCGACAGGTTGTTGGTGGCGATGCCGTTGCCATAGCGGGCATACAGGAGCGTGCTGAACGGCGCGAAGAAGGCGCCCACAATCAGCGACAGGATGTACGCCCAGACGGGCAGCGTGATGTTTTCCTTGGTCACGACGATGATGCCGAGCACAAAGCTGACCACGAGGACCGTCCCGTACCACCAGAACGGCACCTCCTTGTAGTGCTTCTCCATGTGGGCGTGGTGCGGGTCGGTCGGCGTCTTGTCCTTGGAGTCCTTGTAGGCCTTGATGGTGTCGCCGCCCCAAAACAGAATGCAGTGGGTGGCCAGCGCGCCGATGGCGGCGTTGGCAATGAAGAGGGCGTAGGCGAAACTGGCGGCCAGGCGCGGCGGTCCGTACTTTTGAAACGCCTCGTGGTTGAGCACACCCTTGGAAAAGACCTTGGACACGGGGTAGGCGGAGCCGTCTTCGGACCGCAGCGACGTGGACATGAAGGGGAACGACTTGGCGTTCCAGCCGTTGCCGTAGTAGATGCCGATCATGACGATGTAGCAGACAAAGAAGCCGGCGGCCATGTGGGCCTGCAGGACCAGAGGCAGCGAGGTGCTGTACGATTGGATCTGGACGGAGTTAGTAGGAGTGTGGGGAGGACGACAGGAAGGGGAATGAAAGAGAGAAGAAGCGAGCCTCACGTATTGCCAGTCAAAGGAAAAGGTAAAGAGACCGAGGCCTTCGTTGTTGAGCGAGCCGCCAAAGATGTTTGTGAGGATGGCGGCCTTGTTGCCGGTCGCCTTCATGGCGGCCAGGCACGGGATCGAGACGCTGTTGAGCCACGGCCAGATGTACGCCGGCAAGAACTCGTAGACGGTCATGGTCCCAAACGCGATCCAGAAGGCGCGCAGCGGGCCGCTGCTGGTCACCTTTTGCCAGTGCAAGCCCTGCAGCGTCTTGACCGTGGGAAGCGTGCCCCAGTAGACGGACTCGACATGCCACACGGCAATGGGCCGCAGAATGCCGGCCAGGCCGTAACCAAAGAGACCGACGGAAATGGTGGCCAGGATGATGGTGGCGGCCGAGATGGGCAGATCGTAAAACAGGTCCTGGGCGGCGAAGACGAGGGTGATGGCCGAGCCGTTGGCGGCCGACGTCGCGGTAATGGAGCACACGGCATGCTCCTTGAGCCGCCAGGGGCCCGGGTTGATGAAGTTGATGATGCGGATGCGCAGCGGGGGCTTCTCGCTGGGATCGGCGCCCTCGGGGCGGGACGCGCGCCATTTCGTCAGCTGATGGTCGCCCCGCGGCAAAAAGGCAGCCCACGCGTTGCCGAGGAAGTAGGCGATGAGCACGACGAAGGTGCCGGAAATCGTGGCCGCCGTGGCCTTGAAGTTGTAGATCTGGGTGACGACGGCCTGGAAGGCCGACAGGATGGTGGCCAGCAGCAAGCTGCGGAAGGTAAGAGACGGGTCAAAGTCATCGCGGAGGGGAATCAGGTGGGTGGCGGCGTCGGCGCCGGATATAATCCGGGTGTCGTCGTCGTATGTGCCGTCGGCGTTGGCGAGGTCTTCGACGGAATCGGAGCCCGAGTCGCCGCTGACGACGCCCTTCTCGTTGACGGCGTCGTGGTTGTGCGATCCGTGGCTGGGGACCTCGGTGATGGTACCGCCAACGGTCTTCTTCTCTGCGGGAGAGGGAGACACGTCGGGGCCACTGCCCGTGTCGGGCGTCGGTCCATCGTCGTGGGCCATTGGGACGGGCAGGGGGTGGTGACAGTCAGGTAAATAACGTCAAAGGATGGCAAACGAAAAATAAAAACAGTGCCGACTGGTGCGTTCACTGATACATGAGCGTGCTCTTAAGGATGCTGTGCGAACTGAATAATGTGCTCATGTATCTTGGTTGTACACGTGTGACTGGAAATGGGAATGAAACGTGAAACAAAATGAATAAAAAGGCAAGTCCGTATCCGTGTACCGACGATCACTTGGGATGGACACGGGCGCGAGCCGAAGACTTTATATGTTGGGTACCCGTAGATGCGGCATGGTCTGGGTGGCACGCATTGGCTGCGTGATCTGCGTGGAAAGATATGGGAAAGCATGGGAAGCATGGGAAGTGGGAAGCATGGGAAGCATGGGAAACATGGGAGGACTTGGGAGGACATGGGCTGCAATGTCGTGATTGACGTGGGTGGGTTCTCGGGCCTCAGAGGTCCCGTTTTTGCCTCTGACTTTCCTTGTTGGCGCCTTCCATTTTCAGATAGCTCTCGTGTTGCTGGAGTATTTCGGGTTGTTCTTTGGTCCTGGTGTCGTTCCACTATGCAAGTACGCCTTGTCGAGCCATCGTGTCGACATTCTATCGGTCCGCGTCCCTGGGCCAGACGTTTTCACGTTTGATCCAGTAGCATCTGAAGATGAAAACGAAGCGTCCCAACGTGTTTGTGGCATCCCCACAATGTAGACCTTCTCGCCCTGTACAAATTAAGCTGTGGGCTGGCGAGTCCATGTACTTTGCCTGTACTGCGTGTGTTGTACTCCGTAATGCGATGTACTCTGTGCGCTAGTTTCTTTGCCTGTCTCTTAGTAAAGTCCCTTCTTTGGTCGCGACGGCTCACATGCAAGGACACGTCTGGTAACCACCGCTTGCCATCACTCGCGCTACTCGTGTTCACTCGCCGTCCAGATCCTTTTCATCTGCAGCCCGTTGGTCCTCCCCATGTCCGCGTTATGCCGTGGCGCAAGCACTCCTGTGCCCTAGATACGATATCTTACCATGGTAATATGGAGGGCGACCTCTCCCCCCAAGAAAGAAACCTTGTGTGCTGCCTTCTTCTCTGACTTGATACGTTACACTGTGCAGCAGAGCCGGCCGTGCGTTGTAGCGGCCTTTCAGGCTTTTTTTTTTGTCTTTTTTGGCACCCTCGACTGTTGTTATTGCAGTAAAGGCTAGCGGGCGTCGTAAAGCCAAATTTGCGTTCACAAGGCACAGGGATCGGCAGCACGGGGTGAAGCACAGATTAGCATGAGTCGTTCGCCTGTGCGTAAACCCGCGTCCTGCCAATGTGCTGCAGAGCACAAAAATATCATCTCTATAAGGCCTCGTCCTATTGGAGCGTAGCATCTCTCGTCCCTTGCGATTTTGCCAGAACAGGGTAAATACTGTGTGTAGATGAATTAAGGTAAAAAGAAAACTAGTGCCAAAAGTGGAGAAAGCGGCCCTTTGATTGCCGCGTGCCAAATCGCTTCCAATCATGTAGAGGACACCGTGCGGCCAAGGCGGTTGGGGGTTAAGGTGGTGGTAGGAGCCAAAGCTTCGACCAAAGACCAAGTCCCAGCGGCCGGAAGAGCCTTGGCCACGGAAAGATTCGTCTACCGCGCACACGTCTCCACTCTCGTCGCTTCGTCTACTTTGCCTTCTTGTCTTCGTTTCTCGCATCCCTGCATCCCTCCACACACGACGCTGCTGCCAGCTGCCAGCTGCCTGTTTGGGCACGTCCCGCCGCTGCTGGCAATGTTGTTTACTGGGGTCTGGCCGATACGCCTTATCGCGCTACGATGGCGATATCACGCAAGCTGCGTTTTGTTTGGCTGGATGTCCTCACTCTCCTTATTTCGCCGTCCTTTTCGACCGGGCCGCACCATTTCGTACGACACCAAAATCTCATCTCCGTCTTCAGCTGTTTTTCAATGTCTGATGTGGATACGCCTTTGTGTGCTTGCAATTTTTGTTTCCATCATGTTCCCGCGTATTTTGGCTCCGTTCTCTACGACACATCGCCATGTTCGTCGCCGGTTGGGACACGGAAACGCGCTCCGGCCTGGACCGGCCAAAGTGGGCTGCTCTTGCCATTTGGGGCTTGTGCTCCTGCCCACTTTCTTGCACGCAATCGCGACCTTCGTCCCAAAAAGGAAGGTAGGATGGGCACAACGAGCAGCGTTCAAAATCCGCTGTTACTCCTGTCGCGACTACGGGATTTTCATATCGCGCCTTGTCCTCGTTCGCTTTTCTCTTTTCTCTTTTCTCTTTTCTCTTTTTGCCCATTCTCGTGCATCGTCTCAACCGTTTCCTTGCCCGAGTTTCCCGGCTGACACGTCGGACGTGATGGCACCGCCCCTCGCATTGTCTTTACGTCGACTACTACGGTTTTGACAAATACGGAGTATGCGCATCAACGAGGTGTCCGTCGGTGCAGCAGCAGTGATCGGGATGGCTCTCGCCACATAACTCTACAAGTCTACGCATGAGCTGCACACGCTCATGAGTCTGGTCGCTCTCACAGCGTATGTATTATCGCTGTCGTCTGCCCCCTGTGCTTCAGAATCTGCTCCTGTCGCTCCCCAACTGTTTTCCGACACTTTTTCCACTGTGGATGATTGAAGCCATGCTGCAGAGCCAAGCATTTCACTATCTGCAAGCTGCGGAGCACGGAGCACGGACAATAAGCTTGTTTTCGGTTCTAATTTTGTGGTTGGCATCCTCTCCGTCGGTCTTTGAAAGCTTGGCACCCTTCGTACTTTGCGCATCCCCACTCCCTTTTCAAGCCAACCCATCTCACGCTGTATCGACCTTCTCTCTTGGGCGCAATCTCACCTCTTTCTCAGTGGCGCAACCTCAAACCACATGATGTCATTACTAGTGATGCGTTCGGCGTCTTTTTTTTTCATATATATTTTTTTTGTGTGCGTCTCTCTCTTAGCGACCGTTCTCACGCCCACAGACCATCATTTCTACGTCGTCCCAAACATCATGAACATCCACTATGTTCCTCGTTTTGCTTACAAGCCCCCACAAGGCGCTGGAACGTGTTCACCATATGGCCTTGCATTGCCTGAGTCCACTCACACGCTTACCGAGGGATACGTTTCTGGTACAACGTACATAAAATGACGATCACAAAAGTCTTGCGTGCTAGGTGAGAAAACAGATGCAAGATGGCGACACACGAGACAGACAGGGGCCGGCGAATGACTCAAATTCGCCCCCGATGAGCAGGAAGTGCAAGCGGGTTGTCTCACTACGGTGACATTGCACGGCTCTCGGCACTGACAGGTGGTGAATGTATTTCGTACTGTCTTTGCATTGGCTTTTCTCTGTTTCTTCCTGCCGAGACCTTAGCCTGGACGCCACACTTAATTTCTACCACCAGGTATGCATGAATATTAGACACAGCAGAACGGTTGATGCTTCTTCATTCGATCTAGCTTTCACAGGCTACGATATCCACAAGAAACCTTCTTTTTTTCGATGGACCGGGCCCGGAGGCACTGTTTTACGCTGGTTCTTTGTTCCGTTGTTCTGCAAACAAAGGCTAAAGCATTCCACTCCTAGACCGACAGTGCAGCGTCGGAGAAATTGCTGCCGAATGCTTTTGCTCGCATGGGTCACAGTGGGTGTATTGGATGACTGCAGGGCCCCAATTATATCACGCCTAACCAAATCGAATGACATTCGAAGAGCAAAGAGAGGGGTCATCCGGCATTTCGCAGTGATGGTGCACCGACCATGTTCTATTGGCCGGATGAATATGCATCAAAGTGCAATGCATGACTGTTATTTCTTGGGGGTCGTAATAACAGTATCTTTATGTCGTATCGAGAGCACAATTCGGTAGGTGCTACAAGGCCCCTTTAAATGTGTTATTTAAGCAGGAAAATGCAATGCGCAGAGAGAGACGCCACATGAAAATGCGGCTGATCACATTGGTAGCCACAATTTACCAGAAGTAAAAGAAAACGGGAAATTGAGAAGACAAATATTTTAGTGGAAACGTGAACTTCAACGAAGGATACTCCAAAGATTTGTTGGAATTGGGAGCTCTTTAAAGAATTGTGAAATGAGAAAAAGAAAAGGTTGCAGCGTGGGAAGCCGTTTTTTTTAAACACGATACTGATGCAAGACTAAAGGCCCGTCCCGTGATTCCTGTGCATCAAACTGTTGTGATCCGGACCACCACACCTTGCGGCTTACAGTGGATCAAAACGCGGGGAAAGTACAGTGAAAATAGAGAGTGTCGACGTTATAATAAGAATATTATGCCTAGTTGGAAACAAGGAACCTCCCGATAAATCGGTTTCTAGGACCGCTGCCGGAAGGTAACGCAGAATCTGGTTGATCGGCTTCAAATCCTTTGGGGATCTGGGACATCGGCGTGGTGGGTGTGAGTGAAACAGGAAACGAGACGTCGATGATGACTGAACACCTGTATGATTCATGTCAATTGTTGTGCGTGGGCTGTTGCAATAGTCAACTTTGTTGGAGGATTTGGATTGTGCACAGTGGTGCATCGACTGCTCAAGGCAGTTCACGTAAGATCGGGCCAACTCCTCCCGTGGTGGCTGAGTTGGTAAAAAAATATGATAAGGACCGTCTTCCTAAACTAGCTTCGCAAAATCGGAAACGGCCCCTCATTCACTATATCTTATTCGAATAATGTCAAAGCTTCCTCGTAGAAGGGGAAGAAAATCATCCAAGGACCACGAGACTGATAACCGGAATCCCAAGATTCTCAATAATGCATGAAAGCGGAAGCAACACAACATTTACCCAAATCAATGCAACCAAGAAGACTGGCAAAATGGCAGGGCCAGCGAACTAAACACACTCAACTCGTTAGAGGAAAACTGCAGTAACAACACAATTAATTAATATCACGATGCCGGCATAGCTCGACGAATGGAACACATTGAATATGCCCGAATCGGCAAACAGATGTGTCCCGGTAGTAGTCGGGGACGACGCACACACAATGCTCGCAACGACATATATTCAGCGGCGCCCCCGCATCCTCGCCGATGATACACAAGATGACGAAGCGAGGCAGACGACGCCGTGACGCTCGTGTGAGTAGCCGACTGATTCGCTTTCAAACTGTCCAATCCATCGTCGTCCGTCGATATTTACAGCCATGGTCAGGCTATTGTCACTTGCACTCCTGGGTAAGACATATCAACGACAGATGCATCCATTGCGGGCATAATGGCTCCTAACAAGACAAAGCACCGCTGGCTGCGGCCTCCGTGTCCAACATTCACATCCCGCAGCTGGCCACGACAATCGCCATCAACCTGCCACCCAACAGCAACGACGTGAACTTTTACATGGTGGCGCCGACGCACTATACCTATGTCGCCCTCGGCTTCGGCAGCAGCATGGCCAACTCGTTCATGCTCATCGCGTACCCTGCGGCGGACGGCAGACACATGACGGTCTCGCCCCGGCTGGGCACGGGCAACACGGAGCCCCAGTTTGACGGCAACTACCGTGTCTGGCTCAACGGCAATTCGACCGTCTACGGCTCGTACATGATTGCCAGCGGCACCTGCTTCAACTGCCGGTCCTGGCCCGGCGGCAGCCTCAACAGCTTCACCACCAGCCAGCCCATGATGTACGCCCTCGGTCCGTCCTATGCCACGGCCCTCGCCAGCAACGACCAGGGCGTCACGCTGCAGAAGCACGAAGCCTACGGCCGCTACCTGATGAGCACCATCCAGGCGACGGGCTACGGCGGCACGGGCGTCTTGACGAGCATCGACAACCAGGCCAACACCGGCACGCAGCCCGTCAACACGTACGGCGCCAACAGCCCCAACGGCGTCGTGCTCAACGACCGCGACGGACTGGGCCTCGCGCACGGCATCGTGCTCGCCATCGCCGCCCTCGTCCTCGCGCCCGTCGACATCCTCTTGGGCAGCGGCCGTCTGCTGGCCCGCTTCCCGCTGGTGCACGCCCTCGGCAGCCTGCTGTACCTGCTCCTGCTCGTGGCGGGCCTGGGCACGGGCGTCCGCGCCAGCTTCGAGTACGTCGCCACGCGGCACTTTGCCACGGCGCATCAGGTCATCGGCTTCATCACCTTCTTCATGGGCCTCGTGCTGCTGGGTCTGGGCATGGCCCTGCACGTCGGGCGGGCCTTGTCATCGTCTGGCGAGCGCGGCATCGTGGCCGCCGTGCACACGTGGGGCACGCGCTTCCTCTGGGTCTTGCTTCTCATCGACGGTGGACTCGGCCTCAAGCTGGCCGACGCATCCCTCGGCCTCGTCATTGGCTACGCGGTTCTGTCCGGCATCACGTTCCTGGCAGTTGTGTTTGTGCTGGCCTGCCTGTGGTGCGTCGGTGGCCGCAAGGCGCGTGCTCGTGATGGTTCCGTGGGCGACCGCGGAAGTCCGGTCCGCTTCAGTTTCAACAACCGCAAAAGCGTGAACTCACGTAAGACGTCGGGTGACTCGGAACCTGTCATCATCCCCGAAAACCGGCACGCAAGGTAAGACGGCGTACTACACATCACCATGAGAGAGAACGGCACTGACATCTGCCCAGTGGTAGATACGAGTAGAAATGCAGGAAATGATGGGACAATCTGCTGGATGGGAAGGGAGGAAAGGGCGAACTGTAAGGGGAATTGACTCTCGGGAAAGTGGTCTTGACTCGGCAGTATTTAGGTTTTCATTTATACGCAGTTTTTTAATACTTTAGTCGAACTTGTCGTCTAGCTACTTTTGTTTTATGTTGGGTAAACGGAAGATGCTTTCCATTTCGGTATTCATTATACTCAGCAGGAAAATTGTCAGAAAGGATACGAGTCGTGGAAATTTGATTACCAGTGAAAAGGTTGATTGGAGCAAGGCTTTCGGTGTTCCTACCGTAAGTAATACTCCCTCCCTCTGCGATGAACGCTTTTGTTGTTCTTTTCAAAAAAGTCTAGTACGTACCGTGTGGTTATTTTTCTTTCTCCGTCCCCATACCGCGTCCCAAATCATGTTATGGTACTTACACCGTCAAATCAACAGCCCCTTTAATACCAAGCCGGTAGGATGTCAAACGCAACACGATGCCCACATGCTGCAGATCGTCGAACCAGTATAAGACAAATTGAAAGTCAAGGAAAAAACTGACCCATGCTCTTGATACAATCAAAAATTGCCAAGGATGCAACCCCGAGAGTCAGCAGCGCGGCGACTAGCGCCGCAAGAGATACATTCCGCTTAGTAGTTGTTAAATGGTTACACATGCGGTGATGCTATGTAGTCATACCATTTGGCAAATTTACACCGGTTAAAGCACGGGATGTACCGTTACTTATGATTCAAGTTGGTTCACTGGAAGAATGCACACCGATCCCAGTATATATAACCAGCGTTTCCAATTTACCGGAATATTTTTCATTTGCATCTTTAGTAACACACCGTCTACGGCACTTACTTTCAAAAGCGCGGGGATTTTGCATTCAGGTATTATGATGTCGTCGATAGTCAATACGTCAACCAATTCGCCCACACGCCCGCAGGTGTCTCAGGGGTAACCCAGTGGTCTAAAGGTATCGTCAAGCTACCTTGTCTTTACGATTACACCGAGCCTACATAAGCCCGGCTGTGACTTCCTCTTGGTTTATCTCTTGACCCTTAAATTTATCGTCAAGCGCACGTGACGCGACACATCACGTGCACTAAATATTAGTTCGACACGGTAACGCGTCTTCATGTTGTTGTTTCCTCCTTTTCATCCATCTTTTACCATACATGCGTCTGTCCGCGGAACCACCATCTGAGCCATCGACACTGCTCTATCCAATTTCCTTTAACGCACTTTTCCGATTCCCACAAGTTTTGTCACTCCTGCTGTTCCACAATGACGTCACCCCTGGACAGGTAAGTCAACATTTCAAGTGGGGAAACATAACGACGCTGAAGCTAATGTCTTCACCGCAGCGTGATCATCGGAGTTGTTATCGCGTTCGTCGCGCCATCGGCAATTTTTGGCGCATTGTTTGCGGCATAGTATACCGTCCGGTCGAAAAGGACGGCGGAGTGGGCAACAGCCAACTCTGACCTTGAGGCTGGCCGACCCCTGGCCCTATCGTTTGTCCTCAACGCGTCGAAAGGCATGGCGCGAAACAAATTGAGCCGATGGCTACGGAGTTCCCTTGACGACAGACAATGGGTGCCGCTCCGTATGCGGCATGAAGCAAACCTTGCTCGAGCCCTAAACAACGCAGAGAGACTGTACTTTGCGGCGGACGAAGCACACGATGCTGCGCGGAGACGAAACCAGGAATTGATAATGGCTGGAGAAGAGCGTCGGATTAAGTTCCGTCGCTTATGCGAAGCTTATCAAGATCTGAAATCGCCCTCGACAATGCTTCAGGCCCTGGTAATCGAGGCGAAGCTACAAGGGTTCCGGGTTGGATAACTTTGCCAGTACGATGTATCCTCTATGATGCCCGTAAGATTACGGGTCCAGTCTTTTCTCACGGCTCCTATGGCGTGTGAGTGTTTGGGCCCGCACCACCTGCCGGATTGCGTTAGCTTGAGGAGTAGCAACCGGCGGGAAGGATGCACGAGCCCGTGGCCCTGCGTGGTGCAAAGTTTAGTGACAATTGAAGCAATGTATACAACGGCCCTGCACAGTTCACAGGTCTATCACGATCAATGCGACGCATGCGATGGGTCAAAGGACCAGGAAAGCGAATCGTGTGTCCGTATATCGGAGACGAGTGCTGGTATATCTATGTGAATCCCAAGTTAACCCATCTCAATTTTTGTGTCTTGCACTTTCATAAACAAACAGGCGACGCCAAAACTACCTCAGATTCTATCCGATCAGAATGGCTGCACCGTCGGTACTCACCGATCGCGATGCTCTGACGTCTCGCGTCATCCCGTCCATGGTCTTTAGCGACGGCAGCCCCTCTTCCCGCACACCGGCTCCATCGTCCGAAATCGAGGCCGACCCGGCCGTCGGGGCAGCAAAGCGTTTTACGGTCCATGGGAACGCCATTGTGACCGGCGGCACGGGCACACTGGGCCTGCAGGCCTGCAACGCACTCCTTGAGCACGGCCTGCGGGGTCTCATGATATTCGACGTCAACGTGTCCGAGTCCGACGACAATGTCGCGCGCATGCGGGCCCGGTTTCCCCAGGCCACGATTGGCGTGCAAAAGGTCGACGTCACCGACGATGCAGCGGTGGGCCGCGCCGTCGACGAAACGGCCCGCGCCCTCGGCTCGGTCGACGTCCTCGTCTGCTTTGCCGGCGTCGTGGGCAGCGCGGAGTCGCTCGACGTGCCGGTCGCCCAGTTCCGCAAGATCCTGGACATCAACACCACGGGGAGCTTCATCTGCGCCCAGGCCGCCGCGCGGCACATGGTCCGGCAGGGCACCGGCGGCTCCATCACCTTTGTGGCGTCCATCTCTGCGCACCGGGTCAATTACCCGCAGCCGCAGGTGGCCTACAATGTCAGCAAGTCGGCGCTGCTGATGCTCAAGAGCAGCTTGGCGGCCGAGTGGGCGCGGTACGGCATCCGCACAAACACGGTGAGCCCGGGCTACATGGACACGATTTTGAACGAAGGCGACGGACTCGCGTCGTTTAGGGCGATTTGGGCCAGTCGCAACCCGAGTGGCCGCATGGGCAGTCCGTCGGAGCTGACCGGTGCCGTTGTGCTCCTCGCGAGCAGCGCGGGCACATACATTAATGGCTCGGATATTTTAGTGGATGGAGGTGGCCTTTGCGTGTAAGATACGGACATACAGTGCGAGATATCGCGAACGAGAGAATTGAGTAAAATGTTGAATGGGGGTCATATGAGGCATTACACATGCTATATACAATATAGAGTCCCAGATTGTAAGAACCGCGCAAGTGATTTTTTTTTTAAAAAATAATTGTACTTTCTAAAGTTTTGGCTTAACGACCCTGCCAATGGATCAGACGTTGGTGCAGAGTTCATACATGAAAGCGGTATTCAGGAGCCGACCCCGAAGGCCGATTTGCTCTAGTATCCGTTCCATCTTCTCTTAAAAAGAAAATGAAGAGGATGCGATACAGAAAGACGGGCATCGTGATATGAGATGAGGAACGAGTTGGAGTGGCTGGTGGTGTTTGTTTGGTGCTGATTGGTTGATTATCGGCGGACGTTCACAAAATTACGGGATGGAGGACCAAGTTGGAAGCGGAGGAGCTGGGTAACAATTGTGGTTTAAATAAACGAATGAACAACGACATTAACGTTGTCTGCAGCTCACGCAGTGCTCATCATTTCCTGTCGTTTCTTTTGACATTTTCATACCCTTTGTAGTCTATTTTTGTAACAATGCCACGTAGGCCTCTTGTTCACCTACTTCACTACGGCGCAACCGAGAATCGAAAGCGGGGTCTAACGTGTCATCACTACAAGGTCAGTCTTTGTGATAGATATAGCCATTCTTTGTTATTATTTCTCTTTATGCGTCCATGATACACCCGTGAGATACTGTCGAAATAGACCACATCGAGCTAAAGTACAATGCAGTTTAGTTACCAGCGGCTTATTTCCTGCAAAAAGGGGAGAAAAGAGGAACAGGCAAAAGGAACCCGTAACTCGCTCTTTCTTGGCTTCGTGACAACGGAGGTGGCGTGAGGCACGGACAGCGGGAAGGTTGGGAAGCGAGTGGGTGGGGAGAGGCCGTGCACTCTTAGGTCTTGCTGCCCAGCCGTAGTTCGTCGCCTGGATCGTCAGGCGACAGGATAGTTTTGGAGACGAGATATGCAGGATCAAGCCAACTCAGGGACATGCGCTCTTATTTCCTTACCAAAGACATACAACATGGAAGATTTTGAATACCGGTTTCCACGCCGGGTGAAAGTACGCAATTGGTAAACGAACCCATTTAAAGGTGTTCAACACCAAAGCTGACCGTTCTCCTCCAGTTCCGGCTCGGACTCAGCACGATCACAGGGTTGGCGGAACCTCTAGACCGCGCGTATCCATGGGTGTTCAAGGCCACTCTTGTCGAAGGCGCCTGGCACCGCGTTGTCCGCTTGTGGCTGCCGTCCCTCCCCACACTGCTGCAGCGGTGTGTCCGGATCCTGTGGCCGCGATACGCTCTGCCCAGCTGCGTCGTCTTGAAAAAGCTGCGAGGGCCGTTCGTCGACGACGGTGAGATCGTGTCCAAGACCGAAGAGTTTGACAACGAAAAGGCCATGTATCGGCGGCTACAGTCTGTCCAAGGCAGCGCCGTCCCTGTCTTCTACGGTGAGGCGCAGTGTGAGGGCCGGCGCACGCTGGTCCTCTCACTGCTGGCGGGCCAGACGCTGCGGAACCAGACCCAGCCGCGCCTCACCATCGAGGAGTTTACGGCGCGCATCGAAGCGCCCATACGAGCACTGCAACATCACGGACTCATTTACAGCGACAACAAGCTCTCCAACATTATGCTCGTGGACGGTCGAATTATGCTGGTCGACCTTGAGTGGGTCGAAGCGCTGGAGCCAGAGGAGCTGGATGCCTACTGCAGCAAGGTGACGATTCCTTCTTTTATCCGGCGATACCGGGAGTACCTGCCCAGCGCAGATGATGGGGCTGTGGCTTGAATGTATTTTGTTTTCGGTGGCGATAGTTGAATTCACTGGGATGCAGGGACGACGAGATAGAGAGCTGGTCTTATACAGCATATATGAGGTTCACCCAGCGCCTGACGGAAAGATAAAGGAAGACTTTGAAATCGTACATGACTATCAACAATGCCAACGTTTCCATTCAACATCCGCCGACGTTTTGTTTCACACCACCTTCGTCGTATTCTCCACATGGGTGCCGACATTGGCCTCGGTCGTTGCCTCGTAGGCGCCGGCTGCGTGGCCACCGGGTATGCGGATACCTTCGAGCTGCTCGGGTGCCAGATCCTCGACAAAGACGGTGTGCTCAACATCGATATTAGTGTCGCGCGTGTGGAACAGAACGCAGGCACAGAGAGCCAGGGACACCAGCGTCAGGAGCCACGATACGAGCTGCTCGTTGAGGTAGGGCGTGCGCACGGCGTCGATGCCAAACGACACCGCCGAGCCCGCGGACTGGATGCCCTTGTAGTAGCCAGCCATGCGGGCCAGCTTGAAGGGATCGTTGGTCAGCGACGACATGGTGTAGTAGGCCAGGCCCTGGAAGGTGGCGTCGATGATGTAGTAGGCAAGCAGCAGCAGGATGGGGCCGGCGGCGGCGCTCGCTGTCCAGTCCCAGGGAAGCGGCTCGCCCAGCACCGCGGCGTCGTCGCGCTGGAAGCGGAGCTGGAACGCCAAGCCGCCGCCCCAGATGCCGATCATCAGCAGGGCGACGATGCCGCACGTGACGAGGGACCGCTTGCGGCGCTGGAAGGGGAGATTGTCCAGCAAGAAACCAACCAGGACGGACCCAAGCATAGAGCCCAGACCGGTGAGCAGGGACACGAGGGCCCGTGTGCGGCCGTTGAACAAGTACGCGGTGAGGGCGCCCTGGTAGGCGTAAAAGTAGTTGCTCGAAAAGAACATGGGAAACAGCAAAAGCAGCTGCCAGTCCTTGAACATGCCCAGGAACGCCGCAAACTCCGTGCGCCGCGACACATTCGGCTCTAGCTCGACGAGCGAGCCGTCCTTGCGGACAACGGCCTGGGGCGGCAGCACGAGCCAGCTGGAGCCAATGGCCGTGAGCATGATGATCAAAAACACCACGTAGACCCCCATCGAGACTCCAAGCAGCGTGCTGTGGAACTGAATGCCGAGCGCAATGGCAGCGCCAATCAGCGTGCCGAGCTGGAAGATGGCCCAGAACACGGTAAAGGACCGGCCCTTGTCTTTTTCGAGGGGGTAGGCCATCATGATGGAGCCTTGCGCGGCCCAGAAGAGGGCACCGCAGAAACCAAGGATGGCGCCGGCCAAAATAACAAACCAGCGGGTGTTGTGCAGCTGAAACGACCACAGGGAGCCAAGGTACATGGCGTAGCCGCAGGTGCCAACGGACATGGTCAGTCGAGGGCCGAAGATGTTCTGGAGGGTCAGTTGTAAGTACCAGGCAGAAAACAATAAGGCCCAGAGGACAGATGGACCCACGTTGATGCTTCCGGCAATGAATCCGGAAAAGGCAAACGTGGCATACAGCACACTACTCGAGACGTCCACCAGCTGCACGTCTTGCGTGCCACCAGCGCCGAGACCGCCGATGGCACTGAAAATGCCGACGGAACTGAAAGCCACGAAGCCGACGAGGATGATTTGTGTCCATGGCAAGTTGTCTGGGCTGTTAGCAAGGACAAGATGGTATACACCGAGGTATCACGACGTACCGCAGAAGCCTCCAATCTGGATGGCGGCGAGAGCGACCATTTTGAATGATGTTGATGAAAACAAAAGAAAATAGAGCCTTGAATACGGCCGGTGTTGTGTTTCGTTGTCACGGTGTCGTTCTTTTGATCTGATGATGTGGTGCATCGACATGTACATATATCGGTGGGTGCGAGGTAGCCCGACACGCGATCGTGTAGAACGCATTCCATGCTTGGGCCAGTGGCGGACGTTGCTATGATGAGGGCCAAGACTTTCAACGTATCTCCTTCCCATAGTCGTCGTCCACTTCCCCGCAAGTTTCAACATGATACAATAACGGTGCCACTCGTAGGGAACGGCCGCACCTAGCAATGTTTACTAGGCTGGAGTATGGGGTAAAATGAGACAACCGAAATAACAAAAAACAAAGCCAGTAACGTTGTATCCTCAGCATGAGCAAAGATACTGAAACATGGGAGCCAAGATGGCTATTGGGAGAAGGCCAAGTGTCACTTGACCGTTTCAAGGAGCAGTGGGCAACCTAGCCTGCTGCCAGGCCCAGGGTCGTAGGCTCGGTCTGTGTCGTATGTCCAAATATACCTCTTCAGGAATCATGGAAAGAACGCCTAGGAAAGAATCCATTCCCCAATGAGGACTGGCGGCCGAGTACTCTGCAGATTACAGGATGCGACGTAGGTCCTTACGACGGTAGAGAAGCTTGTCCATCTCTTTCGGCAGTTAACTAGGAATTCAAAGTCCGACCAAGATAACGGTAGACCTATTTCAGACTCCAGAGGCACGCGTGTTTTCTTTTAACCACTTCCGGCCGGAGGGAAGCCATGTTCCGGTAATGATTAACAGTGAAGACCGCTGGGCGGTCACTTTCGACTTTCGACGAGAGATGAGTACCAAGTGGTGAATATTACCGGGCTACTTTTGTGGTTGATGCGTATTTTCGTTGATGGCTCACGACAACTGTCAGTACCTTCCGTTGCAACGAGAAAATGAAAACATGACAGACAGTGAACTCCGTATTGCACGACGCACCAGCTCCCCAGTGCAAGTAGAGAAGCAAGCTGCTGTTCGCGGACATAAACTTTGCCAAGACGCATGGCTTGCCATAAGCGTAGCAGTCTAGCCTTACTCGGTAGACTGGCATTGCATGATTCCATAACAGCACGCGCCCTCTACGACACCCCCCAGTCGTTTGAAAACTCCTTTTCCAATGTCCGCTTTTCACAACAAAACTAACCAATCTGCCAAAGCTATCGAGCTGATAGGTGTCGGACAACAATTTGTCCCGCAAACTCCGAAAACGCCAACAATAAACTATTGGGCATTGGGAGACACTTTCCCAAAGAGGCGAGGAAGACAAGACGAGGAGCAGGAAACGACGAAAAAAGACGGTAAATCGTGACTGGGTTTTGGGAATGGAGTCTGGCATCTAGTTGAGGGGATATTGAATGGCATACACCTGCTTGTAACGTCCCATTCGTGGCACATGGGTGAGACTGTTGTATATGCCAGGAGTCTGGGGAAGTAGAGCTAGAACGAGCCAGACAGAAACAGATACGCGTCGAGCCCCTGGTGACATTGGCCACCGATGAGCAATGCGAGATCCTATTGTCCGCGGTGGTCTCATAGCCCATATCGTAAACACGACGTCCTCTTGAGAAACGGTACATTGTTAGTGAAGACGGGCGTATTATTCTACATCTTTAAACTTGGTATTGCGAATAACTGTACTGCATATTCAAACATTATATCTCCATTCTGCCTGTCTGTGTTGCAGATATTTCACTTTTGTTACTTGCTTCCGTGTTCATTTCCAACCTCTCCTTTGGAATGTCCACGAGGTCATCCTCCATTATTGCTAATCACCATGGCTACCGAACAATTTGACACGGCTGTCAGTCTGGTGACGATCGCCATTATCGGTGCAGGCCACCGTGGTAGGGTGCGTCCCTCCTTGCCTTCACCCGAGCACTTCAAAGCTAACACCCTCAGACCTACGCAGGCTACGCGTTGGAGTACCCGCACCTCGCCAAGGTGGTCGCCGTCGCCGAGCCCGGCAAGCACCGACGGACGGCGACGGCGACCAAGCACAGCATCCCCGAGGCCATGCAGTTTGCTCAGTGGAAAGACTTGCTCGCCCACGGGGAGGCCCATGGCAACGTGGCCGACTGCGTCGTCATAGCCGTCATGGACCAGCTGCATGCCGAGGCCGTTGCCGATTTCGCTGTCAAAGGCTACCACATCCTGTGCGAGAAGCCCATGGCTACGTCCATTGGCGAGTGCGTGGCCATGGTGCGCAAGGTGTTGGCTGTCGAACAGCCGAAAGTGTTTGGCATAGGACATGGTAGGTCGTTATGGACGGCGTTTTAGGCAGCGTTTTGATATTCGACATCCGTCCATTGCACCTGTGCTGATTGCACTCCGGCAGTCCTCCGCTATTCACCGTACAACCGCACCATCAAGGAAGCCATCGAATCCGGCACCCTCGGCGACATCATCAACATCCAGCACATTGAGCCCGTCGGCAACGAGCACTTTTCGCACTCGTACGTGCGCGGGGCACGGCGCAAAGAGTCCGAGTCCTCGTTTGCCCTCATGGCCAAGTGCTGCCAGTACGTCTACCAACCGCCGAGTACTGACACATCCTCGTCCCCTCGCTGGCTCATCCATTAACTAACCGCCAGTGACATTGACATTCTCTCCTTCTACCTGTCCGGCCTAAAGCCGACCAGGGTGCATTCGTTCGGCTCCATCGGCCACTTCAAAAAGTCCCGCAAGCCCGCTGCGGCCGCCGCAGCCAAGAACTGCTTGGGCTGCGCCTACGAGCCCGACTGCATCTGGAGCGCCAAGCGCATCTACGTCGACCGCCTCAGTGAGCCGGGTGTGCAGTGGGCCAGCCTGTTTGTCGATGCCGATGCCCTGGACGTGGAGAACGTCACCGAGGCCCTCCGCACCACGTCGTACGGCAACTGCGTCTACGAGAGCGACAACGACGTCGTCGACCACCAGGTCGTCAACATTGAGTACGAAGGCGGCGTCACGGCCAGCATGACCATGTCCGCCTTCACCGAGGCCATCTGCGACCGCGGCACGCGCATCCAGGGCACCAAGGGCGAGCTGGTCGGCGACATGGTCTCGTTTGACGTGTTTGACTTCCAGACGCGCACCAAGACGCACCACAGGCCCGTCTTGGAGGGCGGCTACCACGGCGGCGGCGACACGGGGCTGGCGCGGGCGTTTGTCGCGGCCGTGGCCCAAAACGACCAGGCACGGCTGGGCGTCACACCAGACGACATTCTCACGTCGCATCTGCTCGTCTTCGCGGCCGAGCGGTCGCGGCTCGAGGGACGCGTCGTGGACTTTGCCGAATTCCGAGCATCGTGCGAGGACGGGACGTCCATGTAATTTGGGGGGTGCTCGTAGCTGTATGATTACATTTAACGGAGCGGGACGCTTAGCAATGCAAACCGACGTGCATGCATGCCGCTGACCACAGCGACCGTGGAAGAATGACGAGCCGTGAAGTGCGAGGTCCAAATAAGAAAGTCATGAGATTTGAAACAGATTGCCAGCCCCATTTTAGCACGAGTCATTCCATTCGTTGCCGTATTATCAATGACCCCCGCTTATTCACCTGGATTAATAATTCCCACCAGCGCTTTGCTGCCAAATACGGTTTTCAAACCCCGCCAAAGCCCACTGACAGCCACTACAAACTGCCGTAGAAGGTCCCCGAAAGGCGCAGGACGTCATAACTGACATAATACAGCAGGCCTCTAGCACGCTTTCGGAAGCCCTACGGTGATAACGCCATCGTCGCCTTAGCATCTGCCGAGCATAAATGCAGGTAGCTTCCCATTGTCGACGAAAAAGGAACAGCACTCTGAACAACATATGTCAACAAACAATTGACAGTTATAAAGAAAGGGGCTTTAGAGACCCGTACCTATAGGAATACAAAGATCGGCTTCCCTACGACACAAGCCACGACCGACACTTGAGTCTGCTCATCATCTGCATCAGTTGCTTCATCTACTTTTACACATATCCCACTTCACCAGCAGATGCAGACAGCTGCGAGACTCGCCCTCAACCAGCTGTCGCATACTCGCCCGTTGGCATCGTCGCCTCGCACAATCTACAAGCCCTTCCTCTCCTCGACGCCCGCTCGACGATCCATCATGACCACCTCCGGCATATTCCGCTACGCCGACCCGGCCACCATCGTCGACAGCGACGTCCCCTTTGTGAAGCCTTGGGCCAAGGTCGACACCGACGCCAGCTCCTATGCTCGCATCGCGAAGAAGAAGACGGTTGCCAATGTCCGTGACGCGCCCGCCGGCGACCTGGCCGTGGACCGCTCCGGCTTTGCCCTCTACAACAGCCCGGCCACCGAGAAGCTCTTCGTCGACGAGGACGCCATCCGCACGGGCTACTACGCCGAGGTCGAGGCCCTGGTGCGCGAGAAACTCTCCACCCCGCAGGAACCCGTCACCAAAGTCGTCATCTTCGACCACACCGTGCGCCGCCGCAACCCGGACGCGCCGCGCCAGCCCGTGCAGCAGGTACACGTCGACCAGACCCCGGGCGCCGCCGCGGTACGCGTGCGCCGGCATGCGAGCAGCGACCCGGCCGAGACCGAGAAGCTGCTAAAGGGCCGCTACCAGATCATCAACGTCTGGCGCCCCATTGGCCACGCCGCCTCCGACCACCCGCTCGGGTTCATCGATTACCGCACCGCCAAGCTCGAGGACGTCGTCAAGGTCGACCTGCTGTACCCCAACCAGCCGGGCGACCCCAACGTCGAAGTCGACGTGCGCGGCAAAGAGGTCCTGCCCGACCCCACCAAGGCCCAGTCGACCGACGGCTACTCGGTCAAGGGCGAGACCTACACCGTCGTCCCCAACGACACGCACCAGTTCTACTATGTCAAGGACATGGTGCCCGACGAGGCGCTGTTCATCAAGTGCTTCGACTCGCGCAGCGAGGTCCAGCCCGGCGTGGGCCGCCCGGGCGTCTCAGCCTGGACGCCGCACACGGCCTTTGAAGATCCGCAGACGCCGGCCGATGCCAAGGGCCGGCAGAGCATCGAGGTGCGCTGCTTGGTGTTTTACGGCGAGGCTGAGCAGTAGATGCGATGAGCGTGGGATGCATTTAATATCGGGTCCACAATCTCGAAGTCACCATTAGCGAGCATTTTGTCATTTACAAATTCTTGACATTTATTCTTTTGGTTCTGGTTAGATATGGTTGTATTATAAATTATTATCAATTTTAAGAGCTGTAATATCTCGTACATAAAAACGTGAAATAACAAAAATCAGGTTATTTCCAAGTCCCACCCTTCCAATAAAAACAATGCGCAATATAGACGTAGAGAGAACCTGTATAATTCTCCAATATTCAATGTACTTTGTCATGTGACGGTGTACACAGGGCGACATTAGGTTGGTTGTCCGCCGACGCAGATGTGTCATGGCCATCGGGCCAGACGATGCACGAGTCTGTATGACATCATGGCTCGCACGGTGCTACTGTGCCTCTTTCTCCTGGCGTGAAAGTGATTCCTCGAGCGGTGCTTGTTGTGTCGCACAAAACAAAACCAAAGGTGATAGCAATGGAGAAGTTATCGGTCGGTTTTCCAGTGGCTATCGTTACCTCAATGTCCGGCTGGCTGAATGCTGTTGAGCGAGGGAAAGACCATCCCCGGAATGAATGGAATGACCACGAATACTATGGCCAAGAGAATCCGGAAAATCAGCTGCGTTGCACTCGCTCTGGTGTCAACCTCACGTCGGGTTTCATCGTCGCGAAAGTAATCGATGATTCGGTCGATGCGGTGGATGAGGTGTGGCAGCACAAGGCCCATGTAGGCCACGACGAAGATGACGTAAAATGTGTTCACCATGTTGGCGGCGGCGGGAAAAGGTCGTTTGGTAGAAGGGGACGACGAAACGCAAAGAAGCGAGGCTGGCAGAAGCAAGAAAAACTTGATTATAATGCAAAAGAAGAAATCACGATGGATGTCCCGTCTGAGAGTGGATGCAGGGAAAGGAAAATCAACCACGCCGCCCCCGTGACTTGATAGACAAATCCGAGAAGTATCTAGCCTTGCTGGCGTGTGATCATTGCCGAAGCCTATCAGTACGCGCTAGCTAACAAAATCCAGCTTAAGTCATGTAGTTTGGAAGTAGCTCGATGTATTATGTTTAGCGTAGATGGTGTTGATGGTGGTTTATATAACTCGTCGGACATTAGTCTAAACTATGTAGACGAATAAAATGGTGACTTATAATGAAACCTGTCACGGTTTTCCTCATGACGGCTTCGTTAAATGTCATGGATCAAATATGCCGTAGAAAATCAATTAAATACCTCAGATATAGTAAGCTAACTTTGTCATTGATTACCAGAGGAACAAGGAAAAGACTCGAGCTGCCCCCAACCTACACTGCCCTTTCTACCAGACACGCTTTGCCATACGCTGCAAGCGAACCTCTGGTATTAGAATGTCGTGTTCACCGGCTGCAGGCACCGGCGGTCGATCCATCAAGTCTTGGAAGCGTAGAACAAGGGGCGCACCCTGAACGTGGAAATCTGACAATGCGCGACGGTTCAACGGCGTCTGGGGAAGCGGCAATGGTCCGACCCAGTTGATCAAAACTTGCTGCTTGAGCACAGCCTCCTTCGCTGCATGGCTGGCCCGCGTTGTTGTGGCGCAGTGGCGTTGCGGTCCTGACAACTCTGCGCCCCACTGCTCGATTTCGATGGCTGACGTCGCGACAAGCAGCTTCACTAGCACGACGACTTTCATATGGAAGTTGGAAGCGGTGAACCACCATCTTGCCTTGGTCTTGAGCGACGACAAAGTCTGGCTCACACCCGCCTCGATGACAAGAGTCGGCAAGAAAGCATCGCCGTGTGGATCGTGTCTGCTTGATGGGCCGCCCGACGAATCGCCCTCGCCGGACCCAGATGCGTCGCCTGGCGGGTCAAAGGTTGCGCCGCCGTCGTGTGTCCATTGGTCCGCAAGGCCCATGTCCTTGATGACGTCTTGTATACAATCGTACATTTCAAGGTGCGCCCGTTCGTGGCGCCTTGTTGGGATCGTCACAATGAGGCATGCGAGATCGGGCAGGAAGAAAAACCGGTTGCGGCGGCCGCGGCGCTCGCGCTCGGCCTCAATGGCGCGAAACTTGTTCACAGACATGTGGCCGACGACCAAGCTATCCGTGTCGCTATTCTCACGTGCAGTATCGAGCTACTCGAATAAGGCCTTGGTGTTGCTGAACATGACATCCGGCACAATGGCCGACTCTACAACGGCGTCGGAAATTTCCACTTGTGGGGCCATCGTGTCGATGCTTGTCGCCGTTGTGTATGTCTTCGCTATCGTCGATATCGTTGTCGCTGTGGTCGTCGTCTCGTGGCTAGGTACGCGCCCCTGTCCTGCCGGTGTCTTTTCGGACACAGGATTCACCTTTCCAGGTGGACCAGCATGCAGCCGCGGACAAGCGTGCCTTCCTCTGTGTCAGTAAAAAAATCAGAGATATTGTGGATGCTTGATGAAGGATGATGATGTGGTGTAGAGCGGAAGCGTTTGACGCGAGAAAAAGATAACAACGAGCAAAACTCGAAGTTCGTGATGGAAAATCGACACGAACGCATGACTACATACCAATGTTGATATCCGTGTCTGTGGGGAAAGAACAACGGCAACGATGACCACAAGTGGGGAAAGAGCAACGGAGCAATGTCAACAATAGCACAATAGCAAAAACAGCACAGTAACGTAATAGCACAATAGCGCAATAGCACAATAGCACGATCGCAGAAGCGCACAATCGGCGTGAATAGATGCTGTTATGTCCCTACAGCCCGTACAGTCGCTTGTCGCCCTCCGTCAAGCGATACGTCAGGTAGGATAGCACTTGAATAGGAGACAGAATAGTGATAGCAATGGTGGATCCTTACAGCCTTTTACTCCTCCAACATGATGCGCTCACACTGTGATCTATTGGAGCCCTTTTTGTGAGTAACGCCACAAGAGCATACGTATACTGTATGTAGGCCCTTAATAATTCACGCAGCGCAGGTTCAATGGCTGTCTGTTAAAAGCAAGTCATTAGTAAACAACCGAAATACTACGCGTACGCTAAAAATCTGTGGATACGACTTCCGGTGGCCAATAATATGTACTATATACATTTATCTATGCTATGGAACTGCCGCCACTGCATTAAATATGCATTAAATAGATAGTCCACCGTCATAACTATATTCATGGCCCGTATTTCACACTTCGGCGCTGTCGATGTTGCGGACGAACAAGAAAAAGAACCTCACGGCGTTGATGTGGTTGTTTACGTTTATCTTTTCGTCAATGGTGTGGACACCCCGGAGGGCACCAACCAGATCCTCAGGGTCGTAACCCGGCGCAAACCTGAATAAATGCTTCGTCAAGTTCCAAAAGAACCGTGTGTCTGTGTTTCCGGTCATGATACCGGGCGCTGTACGATGGTCAGTAGGAAAGAAACTGAATGAAAGGCCGGGTTTCACATCACATATGGATACGCTCCATCTCCCTCCGACGGTGTCACTTACTAACGATCGTCTCTTCGCCGTAGATGGCGCGGACGCTGCCCGCCAGAACCGAAAACGGATTCACGCCGGTGCCGTCGGCGGGCGAGATGGGCGACGACTCGCTGCCGTGCGGGGCGACGAGGACGATGGAGTCTGCGTCATCCTGGCCGTCAAAGGCGTGCAGACTCAAATTGTACTTGGCGGCCACACCGCCGGCGATGCGGGTGAGCCGGTCGTAAACGACCTGCGTCGTCTCGCCAATGTTGACGCGGTGGTTGATGACGGCCTTGGCGCGCTCGGGCATCGCGTTGACCTTGACGCCGCCGGCCACAATGTCCACGGCCTGAGACGTCTGCAGCAGATACCTGATCTCGGGGCCCTGTTTGGCCGCCTCAATGGCCAATTGGTCCGGCTCGTCCAGGTTGTTTGACGGACGGTGATGCTTCAGCAGCGTGCGGAGTTTGGGGGGGAACGCGGCCGCGTGTGCGGCGCCGCACTGGAGCTGGGCAAAGTAGGGGTTCCGCTCGTCGAGGCGTGCCGGGTACTGCGTGGCCTCGACCTGGGTGATGAGCTCGCTGAGAATGCCGATGCTCGTGTGGTCGCGGGGAATCGAGGAGTGTCCGCCGGGCGAGCGGACCGTGACCTCGACATTGGTCGATCCCTTTTCGGCGACGCCGGGCTTCGCGAACAGCGTCCCCCACGCCCGCTCAAACCCAGCACCCTCGTCAATGACAAGAGCGAGGCCGTCGTCGCCGTAGCGGTCGTGGAGGACGGTCGAGATGTTGCCGGCGCCGTGGTAGCCAAAGGTCTCCTCGTCGAAGCCAAACGCCAGCAAGAGCGTGCGCTTGGGCTGGAAGCCGTGCTGCACAAGCAGCTCGGTCGCCTCCAGGACGGCAATCAGCTGGTTCTTGCAGTCGCTCGAGCCGCGGCCCCAGATGAACTTGCCGTCGTATGCGCCGCTCCACGGCGGGTACGTCCAGGCGTCGATTGTGTCGTCCGGGACGGGCACCGTGTCCTGGTGTGCCATGAGCACGGCAGGCTTGCGGTGCGCGGCATCGTCGTCGCCGGCACTGCCCTGCCACGTGTAGAGAAGACCGTGGGTGTTGATCTTTTCGACGCGCAGCGTCTGGTGGACGGCTGGAAACGTGCGCTCGAGGTAGTCGTAGAAGCCAAAGAAGACGTCCCATCGGCGGTCCTCGCCGACTTCGCCGAGGTCGTCGAACGACTCCGTCCGGATCTGCACGGCCCCCGAGAGGCGCGCAATGGTCTTGCTGCGGAAATCTTCACTGGTGAGGTGCTCATATGCCTCGCTCAGCTTCTTGTCCTCGTCGGGGATGAGGGCCGCTGGCTGCACACAGACGGCCTCGGAATGAGAAGACAAGGGCGGGGATTCCCCGCCCCGATGTGTCCAAGACTGCGTTACAACATGAGAAACCGCTAGGTAAGCAGCGCCCAGGAGCACCGCGAGCAGCCAAACGGCGATACGGCGGCGACTCGAGACTCGCTTGTAGTGCGCGAGTGGCTGTATCGCGATTTGTTGTTTTTCAGGCATTGTAGCAGACGTTGTGGGAATGGTGAGCACGCAAAATGATCCTAAAATATGAATCGTGAAATGCGAAAGTCAAGTCAAAAATAGAAATCAAAAATTGAAGACAAAAGTTGGAGATTTTTCATGAAATGTGAGTGAGGGCCTCCTCCGGGCCGGAGTGCTATTATTCCCGTGGAAATAGTGCTTAAACCCCGGGATCTACCTGATTGCCTCAGAATCGCGTCATTGGCGTTATCTTCAGATGCGCATGCGGATAATATCACTTTAGGTGCGATTATACCATATGAAATAGAAGACGAAAGACATCATCTCCTCCCCTGCCAATCCCGGCCGTCTCTGGGTGTCGGGCACGGGCGCTAAGCACCCCAGCACATGCGGGCGCAGGGCAGCAGAGGCAGGCACAGGACGCACTGCCTGCGATCTCCTGTGTTTATCTGTGCTGCGTTGTGCTGCCTTGTGCTCGTGCCGGCCGTGCTGGCTGTACAGATTGCGCTGCCCGTGGTGTCGGCGCCACCTGCGTTACTTGCGCCACAACAACAGTGAAGCCAAGGGAGCCCAAAACGTGCCTGTTTTAAGGAGCGGAAATGTCCTTATGCATTTTGTGCTCTCGACTTATAAACAAGTGTCACGGTTGGTATATCTCACTCCTACATGGCTTTGCTGAGAGTGCCTGGAGAGTGCCTGGATACCCTTGTGGGCTTTTTTTTTCCTTTTCGGCAAGGTTGCTGCTTGCGGCCGTCAGGCGATAAGGCAGACGTGCAGGAAAGGCCGATCGGTTCTGCCTTGTAATCCCCGGGAACTGAAAAGGAACAAGCCGATATGGCTTCCCAATCGGCATAAAGAGATCCGTTTTAGACTGTTCCTTGTCTAGTACTTCAATCACTCGTTGGTTTAGTATAGGTCTCCCCTCAGCCATATTCTCTACATAAACGGACCAGTCACAGAAAAGGACGTCTAGTCACATGACTACACCTAGAGAAATCAACACACCTTTCATTTTCCTTCTCCCAAGCCCCAGTCGAGTATTTTCGTTTCTTCCTTCATTGGAACAGTTCATGCAAGCAGCTCCCTATTCTTCATTCGCGATTCCTCAACGTCTCTTCTCCTAGTACCCAAATGGCCGCATGGAACAACCCCCTGCGGCTTTTGTCGCCACTGTCTGAGCACCCAACGGCCTCGCCCTCGTTGTCTCCAGCTTTGTCCGACACGAGTGTCGCATTCCTCGGCGCGAGCGTCAAGTTGGACAAGATCAAACAGGACCACTATGGCGCGTGGCGAATTTTGTCTGCCTTTTTCGAACACCTAGACTTTGCCGGCAAATGCAATTTGACAGCGGACATGGAGCAATGCAATGGCGACGACCAGCTTGTCGGCCTCTCAAATCATCTCTTGGATGCGATTTTGAAACCTTGTATGTTCTCTCAGGCCAGTGTTCTTCCAGCGTTCTTTCTCTTCACCTTTCTTTTCTAATAGGCTTGCCAGTCAACGTGGCGGGTGGGCAATCTCCCGAGCCGCTCTCGACACCACCTAGCGAGGGTGCCGAGGACGCAATTGACGCGGGGATGAGCACAATCAACGCGTCAACTCGTGCGGAACAGGCCGTCCTCCGCGCCGAATGTCTTCGCAGAGACGGGTACAGATGCGTTTTTACAGGGACATGGGACTTTAACAGCGTGGACAAAGGAATGGCCATGCCGCCACCAGATTACGAGGCTGGCCCCGTCGAGTGCGCACATATCATTCCGTTTGCGCTGGGCACGTTCGACGACGGCGATGCTGTCCAAACTCGAAATAAAACCATCATTTGGTTTTCGATTCACCGCTATTTTCCAGAGCTGAAGGATTTGATCGATGCTAGAAGCATCAATCAATGTGGGAACGTGGTAACAATGGACCTGCCAACGCATCGAAATTTCGGCTCCTACATAGTTGCATTCCAACCACAGGGCGACGTGAGTTGTCTCAAGTGTCTGGGTCGTTTTTCGAAAACTGGCTAACATTGTTGGCGGCTCTAGAACAAGTATGTTGCAACACGGCTCGTCGACGTGAATGTTCGAACAACCTCGAAAACTGGATCGGCCGTCTTCAGCCTAGCGTCTGCAGATGATCAAATTCCAATGCCGAACCAGGAGTTCTTCAAGGTTCATTTCATCATCAGTCGTATTCTTCAGGTAAGTGGCTTGAGGGAGAGAATCGAAAGGGCGGCAGAAGAGGCCCATCTCGCTCTCGACTGTCATGAACTGAAGTCGAGTGGCGGAACGGACGTTGGAGCATTGGTTTCGAGACTGATGCTAACAACCGTCCGGGCAGATTCTGCGCCAAGCCCGAATGAGAGTTTCAGCGCGTCTGCGGGTTGACTGAGGAAGCGCACACTGCCATCAAAGCCAGGACATCTCATAGACCTCGGACGAGGAAGAGAAAGAGGCGTGAGAAAATCAAGACTCGCAATGAACAAGACATAGAGCACAGGTGGCACAGGCTGCACAGGTGGCGCACGTGACACAGAGAGGTCATAGACTACAGGTGAAGCAAGGGAAGATAGGAGAACACAGGAGAGCTGTGCACAGGAGAGCATAGGAGAGCACACCTGCTACGTAGGTTGGAGCAGGGACGGTACAAGTGCTCGTCCCAAAAGGTAATTCTCATTGATGTTTTCCGCCTTCTATACTTAGCTGTATGTCGGCAACGTGATGGCACAGACGACCCCTGTATCTGACAAATATATATTGTGTGGATAGCCGTTATGCGAACCGATAGCACAGCCGTCCAACCCAGCTTCGTGATTTGCAAACCTGAAATAAATATAAATTCAGTGATAGTTTCTTTTTTGGGGGCATTGAGAAAGCTGGCCATGTAGAGCCAGGAATGATCCCTCAAACATGAAGCAAACAAATTGAAAAAAAAGTAAAAGAGTACCTCCTTAGGTGTGAGAAATATGACCTCTGCATGGATACGCCAAACGTGCGTTATATCGAGACGTTGCTACGGAATTGCGCTGGTCAACAGTTGAAACGACAGCGACTTTCGAAGTACTCGTGGCTCAAGACAGTGAGTATGAGCAATCACATTTTACGGACAGAAGCACGTTATTATCGGCACTGATAGGAAAAAGACATCTCTGTAGAAAGAACAAAGTTATTTTATTTGCGGCCGTTAAAGATACAAATGAAAACGTGGAAATAATAAGATATATAACAACGCAGCTTACACCAAAATTTATGTCTCCCTTAAATCAAAAATTGTCGTGGGATGGAAGTTCCACAGCGTAGGCTGCGGAGCCCTCATAACCTCTGCTCTGGGCTGATGATGGGTTGTACTTTTCGGTCGACGAGTCGGCCTCATGGTAGACGTTTGGGTACATTGCATGGGGCAGACCTGTTGCCGGAGGTGGCCGAGGCGGGGGCGCTCCGGCATGCATGCCATGCAGGTGCGGAGCATATTGTGCGTGCTGTGCATAGGGCGACGCTGGTGGAAATGGCGCTGTGGACGGGGACATGTCAGGTGGTGGTGGCGACGATGTCGACGTTGATGGGCCGTCACGCTGTCTGTCACCGCGACTGCTCGACCGGTTTCGCTTGATGATGAACACGACGACTATAGCCGAAGTGCAGAGCAAGGCGAGTCCACCGAGTACACCGCCAATTATGGCCCCGACGTTCGTGTTGCTACTACTAGCCGGGGGCGGTGATGGTGATGAAGTCGCCTGGCTCGTACCGACAGTGGCGCCGGCAAATGTTTTCGTGGCGGAGACCTGCGTTGCCAGGGAGCTGCTGCTAGACGACGAGCTTTGTGCTGCAGGCGATTTGGTAGAGGGCGACGAAGTGGATGATACAGAGGGCCTAGTTGAAGTTGTCGAGGGCAACTTTGAGGAGCTGGTCGTTGACGGGGTGGGTGTAAAGGTCGGCGTGGCAACATAGTGGTCGGTCACTGGATTGTGTCCACAGGCCACATATGCGTAGCTCTGGTCCACGCCAAACGTCAGCATGGCCGTCGAGCAGTAGGCCACATTGGTACCGGAGCTGGGACTGTGCCACGTTAGACGATTGTGTAAACACACACACACACACACACACACACACAACAAAAGGATAATGCATAGCTGCCGAAGAACAACATACCATGTAATTGTCGTTAGGCCCGAGGCAGCATTGAATTCACAAATGCTGGTACAGGTCCCCGAGTCACTACATGCCGCAGCAAGACCGCAGTCCGTGGCGGCGATGACCGTCGTTGGGCAGAAGCCCCAGATGCCATGCAGCGTGTCGATGCGGCAGTCAAACCCAGGCTGGGCCGAGCGGGGAGCGCTGGCATTGCCATCGAGGTAACCACAGGTGATCAGCTGACCGTCAGTCTGGGCAGCAGCCAAGGCAACAGTGGTGGGCTGTTGGGTGGCAGCTCGGAAGCGGAGTGATGCTGTCGTTGTGGCTGGTGATGTCGGGGTCGGAAGTGTTCGTCCAACTGCAGCAATACAAGAGATTGCATGGAGAAGGAGAAGCTGGACAGCGAGCAGTGCGAGATGCATCCTGGCAGGTCACGCAGACGTCGACGATGACAACGGGAGGCAGGAAGGACAGGTGTGACGGTCACGACAGAGTCAGCTCTAGTGTGACATGATGTCGACAGCGCATAAGTAAAGCCGCACGAGACTAGGCAAACGTGAGGGATCAATACACGGGAATAAAAACCGGTGCGTCTGGAACAAAACTGGCCAGTGGCCGCAATTCATATGTCGATCATGTCGTCGATATATGTGCATCCACGGCTGCTTGCACGAGACCAATTACTACCTGCAGACATTGCACGAGACCCGTTACCACCCAGAAACATGTCTATTTTCTCTAAAAATACCACACGCATGCAAGCCAACATATCATGTTTGGATAGCATTGCCTTTTCATGGCAACGGATATTTTCAGGGGCATTGGGGGCCAAATGCGAATCAAAACGACGTGTCAAAGGCGGGTTGCAGGGGTTGGCCAGCACTTAGGGAGCTGCTGAGCTGGTTTCTATTTTTTTGCCATGTACGAAATACTTACTTGAGAACTATGAGTAGGCGTGTGTTGACGAATTCTGTCTTGTACGGAGAGGGTAACCCGTTTATCTCCTTTTCTTTTTCGTCTGTTTCTTTCTTTTGCTTGGCTTTTATTGTCATTTTTTATTCTATACGCTACGCATGTGGATTTCCACCTGTCCGCTTTGAAATGACTCTTGCGGAAGCGGTTTAAAAATAGATGAACGTTGTCCGTGCACTGAGAGTGCCCATCTCTTGGCCTTCTGGCAAACAGTTTCCCAGTACCCATGCAAAGTCATTCGCCCTGATGTCCCAAATCCGCAACAGAAACATGCAGCATCAGGAGCAGCTTGACGCGTCGGGTCGCGTTCAGTTCAGCGCTTAATAAAATAGAGACCATAGTAATGCGGGATACAAGGTGAGTCAAGCTCTTTGTCGAGTGCTGCTTAATTCGTACAGGTACTTAATTAATAATTACCTGGCACCAGGTATGGCTGCACGAATCGAATTGCAGGGCCGGAATGGGCGATCCTCTAATGAGCTAAAGTACACTCCCTGGCGGAAACGGCGACCATCGTGGTCCTAGCGCTAGCTGATCGTCCATATTTGCTCACTAAAATCGCCAACGGCAAAGGGTCCCCTGTTCAGTATCCCTTTTTGGGGCTCACATGACCCCACTTCAGCGAGACAGCGAGTGATGGACATTCTAACCGCCCAGATGTTGACAGGCCTCAGAAAAAAACAGTGCAGTCGTCCGAAACAATCAAACAGGAACGGAGATGTCGAAAACATGCTGCAAGGGATGGGGTCTTGGCCCCCTTTTGTCCACTTGCTGCTGTGCCGCTTCAAAGTCTTGAAAGCTTACTTTGACATTTCATGCTCCTCAAGTTCTTCAACTTATTTTCCCCATGTTGATTTGACCCATCCCCACACGACTTAATATGGTGTCGCAGTTCACTAAAGTCCGTTCATTTGCTATCTTACCGTTCGCTCACTTGCTCCCGTTCACGTCGCTCTACGGCACACCTCGCGATGCGCCGTAAGTACCTCTTTGTTGGGCAAGTCCTGCTTCTGCTGCTCGTCGTTGTCGCTCTCTACTACGGTAGCCACCACATCACTCGACTGCCGGCACCCATACGATTACCCAACAGTACGAACAGCGACAACAGTGCCGTCGATGGCACCACAGACACCACAGAGACCTCTTACACATACAGTGGTGAGTTCTTTTTGCTATCACGGACTCATCCATGATCGTAACTTCCCATGGGCGCGCGCTGACCACATTTTGTATATCCGTGACTAGGCATTCTCTCGGCCGAGAACATCACACGATATGTGAATAGCATCTTCGATGTGAAAAACGCGGACCTCCCCCGACTCAAGTGCCCCGACATCCCCTCCCCATCACGATATGACAGTCTGAAAACTTCCCCAGGCGATGGTCGCCAGATCAAATATTACTTTGCGATTGACCTGCGAGATACGGTGCCACTTCTGCCGCGGCTGCTGGGCAGTGTCGTTGAGACAATCAAGTTTCTCGGTCCAGCGAGCTGTGCGTTCTCCATCGTCGAGGGCAACTCCCACGATGGAACCTATGATGTTTTGCAAGCCATCCGGGCAAGCTTCAACGATCTCGACACCACATATTTCCTGCGCTCGAGCGCCGTCGACCCCAAAGAGGGCGACCGCATTGCCAAGCTCGCCGAGCTGCGCAACCTCGCCTTGCAGCCGCTGCTGGACGGCAACGTGCCCGGGGCCGACCAGGACACCACCGTCGTCTTTCTCAACGACGTCGCCGCCTGCACCGAGGACATCCTGGAGCTCGTCCACCAGCGCCGCCGTCTAGGCGCGGACATGACCTGCGGTCTCGACTGGGTCTACGTCGGCCGCGACCCGACGTTCTACGATGTCTGGGTCGCCCGCGGCATGAACGGCGACTCCTTCTTTGACATCCCGCCCGACGGTAACTGGAACTCCGCCTGGAACCTGTTCTGGAACAACGACGCCGCCCGCGCCAGCCTGGCCGCCCACCGCCCCTTCCAGGTCTTTTCCTGCTGGAACGGCGCCGCCGTCTTTGGCGCGAAGCCGCTGTTGGACGCGGCCTCCCGCATCCGCTTCCGCGGCCCGCGCGACGGCGAGTGCAGCCAGGGCGAGCCGGAGCTCTTTTGCAAGGACATGTGGTTCCACGGTTACGGCAAGATTGCCGTCGTGCCGAGCGTGAACCTCGAGTACTCGGACGCCAATGCCCAGCGGATCAAGGACCTCAAAGGCTACACGTCGCGGTGGACGGCCGAGGCCGGCGACGAGGACGACGAAGAAAAGATTGCGTGGCAAACCACGCCGCCCGAGACGGTCAAGTGCATTCCGTCCTACGATTCGCAAAGTTTCCGCCCGTGGAACGAGACGTTGGGGTAAAGACACATTTATTAAGGGACGATTTATTTACATTGAGACCTGATACGGAAATTTAGCAAGCGGTTTCGTGTTGGTGTACGGCGCTATTTTGGGTTGTTTTTTTGCAAATAGGTTTTTGGATATCTACTTTACGTAACATAGAGCGAGTCGATGACACAATTGCATGGTAACTAATGTCAACATGCTACGCGGTAAGATTCAACGGCACATTTCATTCCTACATCTACCACGATATAGACTACCCCTATCCATTGCTTCCATTGTCATAATATTGCCATAATATTCTTCACAAACGGCACATACCGTAACCTCCGACTGCTCTTATTCGCTGACCTCGGTGAGATCAACAACATCCGACACGGCCCTCCGTTTGGTTCCACGAGCGGGCAATGGCGATGTCATCGAGGGATCGGCATCAATCCGTCTACCGGGCGATGGTGTTGGCGGGACCGTCATAATCGAGGTCCCAGGTGCAAATGGGAATGAAGGAAGTGTGCTCAAGAAGGCCAGCTGCGGCGGAAGTGGAGCAACGCCACTCCCTGTCCCTGGGGCGGCCGCGGCGTCCTCTGTTCTGACCCGTTTTGCGTCTGGCTTCCGGGCCGACGCCAGGACCCGTTTGGTCAGCTTCTCCATAGACATAATCTCGTCGTAACTGGTTCCCAAAATCCGACGCAGGTCCGTCTGAGAAAAGTCCTGCAAGGTGTGGTTGGCGGTCGCTTTTCGACGTGTCCAATCAGCCCTTTCTTTGGTAAAATGCTTTGTCGTCTTAGTAAGGACGAGAGTGTGTGGGGTCGTATGACGCTCCGACTCGTGGGTACAGTCGACGCCATTTATTTCGAGGCTTTGCTGGATGTGCTGACGCCGAGTTTTATTCACCTTGACACGATATGTTTTCATGTTGCCGTCAGCCAAGAAGGTATTGACTGAAGTGCAGTCTGCGCAGCACGGCGGCATTTGTTGCCGTGCCAGTCCGGGAGCCGATTTCGGGTACGGACCAACACAAAAAGAGGCGTACGCTTCAAGCACTGCGACGTACATACGTTGGTGGGGCGGCAGCAAAGACGCAGCGCCTGCAGCCGCGTTGGAAGTATCGTCATTGTCCTCGATGGCGTGGTCTTTGATTGTACCGGAGATTTGTCTTAGGACAGGCAACCACAAAAATTTGAGTTCTTCAAGCTTGTTCGGCTTGGCACCAGAAAATTCACCGCTCGCGTCTGGGGTGAAAAAAGACGCAATCTTGCGGGACAATTCCAGTCGCAAGCGGCGTGTGACAGGCGTGTTTATTGAAAAGATGTGTCTGTAAAAACAGGAGACATGTTCACTGTCCAGGACCTTGACGAACTCGGACCACTTTGACTCATTGTCCCAGGACAATCGGCTGGCTAGATTTGAATCCAGTTTCTGCTGGAAGCCGGCGGAAGTTGACAATGCCGAAATGTCCATTTCGGCGACAACGGGCTCGGCCAAAATTTCGTAGATTGCGGTCCACTGCTTGTTTAGGTCTGGCGATTGTGTTGTCAACGCCTTGTCGGCAATGACAGACAAGTAGCCGAGTGCAAATGCTGTGTGTTTTGACTGTTTTTTGAGGATGGGCACCAAGCTATGACAGTGTTAGTAGGTGCGGCAGGCGAAAGGGGCGCCAGTTAACACATACCGTGCCTCAACTCGGTCAATACTGTAGTACGACAGACAATGCGTGGCAATGGTCTTACCATCCACGTATCCAAGGGCCTTTGATCCGAGCCCGTCCAGGAGTATCTCGGTTGTTGTTTGCGCCCACTCTTCCCGACTGGCCCTATCGCTAGCACCTGAAGACGAAGCTACCGACTTCGCGGCTTGGGAGCCTGTTGATTTGGGACAAATGGTGCTGATGGCATTAAAGGCGTCGGATAGAGCTGGAAGGGCAAGCACGGCGCTGCGCATATGCGTCTCGATTTGGGCAAAGGTCACATTTTGATCGTTGTTTATCATGTGGTTGACCCAATCGAAAAAGGACTTGGCGTCGAAGTCGCCATGCGACTCTTTCAACACCTTCTCAAAGTATTCCCAGTCTCGCATTGTCACGAAAATTGAAAGTACAGTTGCGGCATGGCCTTCGTCCACAGGGCGCGTATCGTAATCCAACGGCTGTTCTGGTGTCCACAGGTGGTCGCAGATTGCGCGGAGGATTTCGAGGCAGTCTTTGTCTCGGCCGATGACTGGACTTGTGCAAGTCTTTTTGAGGTATTTGAGGAGGTGGTCGAGGTTGGAATTCGCTGGTGCACTCTCGAACATGGAGAACCGCTTTTTGATACTCAGGGCCGTACAGAGAAATCTGTTTAGGCACACCCGGGGCACAATGACAACCGCCTTGTCAGAGTTAGTTTACGTGACCGGCAGAATAGGAAGAGTGAAAGGGGACAGCAAGGCCAGGACGTACCGAGACCTGGTAAGCGTGTGTGGCCGATGGACCTCCCTGGTGGTAGCAACACAGTAATTAGACAAAAGTATGTAAACAACGCTTTATGGCCTGCAATGGATGACGTACCTCGTTTCCAGAATAGCCCTCTTGGTAATCAGTTTCTTTGCCATCCGCGTCGACAAAACAATCGTCCTGCAAAATATTGTCCTTTTGTAGATCCATGGACTCTGCCAGTTTCGAGCCGTCTAGTGCCAATAGTTTCTTGATACTGTACGTGGTGCTGTAAACCTCTTGGATGGCATGCCATTCGGCATTTTGACGGTTCTCGTCTTCCTCGTAGTTAGAGTATCCGTAGTACTGGTTTCTGCTGTGGTAGCCATCCTCGTCATCGTCGCAGCTGCCCTCTTCCTGTTTCTCCAAGATGGCCAGGAAGATGTCTACTGGAAGTTCGGCCACGGCGGATTGGAGGCCTTTAAGGACACCCGCGTCACGACCGCGTGCTGCAGACAGCAACAGATTGGTCTCGGTATAATGGTGGTCTAGGCCGTACACGGCGTGTGGGACGGCACATTTGGCGGCCTCAGCTCTTCTGCGCGTTTCGCGGGCAGCCTCTAGCAGCCGGTGAGAATCCCAATTCCACTGGCCTCTGACCGCCTCCGCCATCGCTTCGGCCTTGTTGGCCTCAATTTCCAGCGCGGCCACCTGCGTTGGATCATCGGTTGCTTCCGCTAGCCAGTTGACAAGCGCAGGGTAGACCACGGAAGGGTACGGATCCACCAAGGCGCTGGCTGTTGGAACATGCTGGGGGATCGACGGTGCGCCGGACTCCAGGGCGAGGTTGTAGGTCAAAACCCAGCGGTATCCGGATGTGACGGGTTCAACTTCGTGCTGAACGTCGGTGTACCAAGACATGAAACCAATGCCAGTTTTGTTCGTGGCGTGCGAGGACTTGAACGTCTTCTTTGTATGTCGATGCTTGAGGATGAGGTCGCCGCCCTCGTGTTCCGATGGTAAAACAATTACGAGTGTGGCAAACATGCCCGGGATCTTGGGAGAGCTGTGATGTTAGTATTTTGAAAGCGCGGTGGCTAGATAACAAGAAAAGAGAGAGGGAGGAGTAAAGAGAAGCAGGGTGCCAGGTGCATTTTACTCACTCCGTGTGTGCTTTGAAATGGGCACCCTTCTCGTACAACAGCATCTTGTACGGCTCGGCACGAAGACTGGTCAGGCGGCAGTTCAGGCCCATGGTTTCGATGACCAGCTTCCGCGCAGTATCGATCACATGGTGCCATCCCATGTCCTGTCTTGCAGACGTTCCGCTCTCCTGCAACAGTTTGAACTGGCTCGCATCCAGCTCCCATGTATTGCGGACCGAGGTGTCGACGACGGTTTCTTCTCCGCGGCCGTACGGTGCTTGCTTGGCCTGAGCAATGATCTGTTTTGCGGATGCTTCGCGGAGGGGAAAGTCGATGGAGCCAACGCCGTTGACCAACATGTGGAGACCGAGGTCGGCCGGCGTGTCCTTCAAGACCTTCCACACGGCAAAGTCACCGGGCGACTGGATCAGGTCCAAGGCGGCCCGGACCCCAGTCTTGGCCCTGGCGAGCGTCATTCTCCCTGGAGACGGCAAGACATTGGCGATGTCGGTCCCACCAGAGGGTCGTTCCAGGTTGACGGCCGGGTCCATTTTCTCTGCATACGTGCCGATGGGTTTGTGGCGTGGAAATGACAGCGCAAGGGATGCGTGCGGCAAGGGAGCTGAACAATGCTCAGCAAAACGGTGGTGGTGGTGGAGTACTGAACGAGTCTGGCAATCCAAAAAAAAAAAAAAAAAAAAAAAAAAAAACAAAATTTCGTAAAAGGAGGTGTCTGTCTGGGGAAACAGCAAACGGCAACTCAGGCACCCCTGCTCGTAGGTGCCGAATGCAGGACAGCGTAAATAAAAGTGGATCAGATGTGGATATCGACGACAGTCAACGCGTCGACGTGTCGAACGCGTCAACGTTGGATTGCCTCTTACTTTCATCTTCCAGTCGGACACCATATCATAGGAAAGATATGGCCCTGGTCGCAAGGCTATAGTCTGAGGTTGTCATACGCTGCTATTAGTCGACTATCACATAACATGTAGGGGCTATACGCTTGAACTTCTTCCAGTGTTTTCGACATACAGGTCTTTCTTGTTCAACCAAGGTCCTCTTCCATCCACGGTGCGACCTTCCAGTCAGGCAGGACAAAGCCCTCAGTTGTGTCTCCTGCATTCGGCGGCAGGTCAATGTGCGGCCGCAGCAGATCCCAGAAAATACGGTAGCTCTCGCCAGTCAAGTGCAGCCCGTCTGTCAGAAGCTCCCGCAAGTACCCTTCTTGGCTCTTCGGGTCTTGTTCGTCGCCGAGCAGCCCTCCCGCCGATGCATCCCACCCAGGCGTCTTTTCGATCGCCCTTTGCATCAAGGCTGCATTCAAGTCAACGAGCTCTACACTAGGTACATCGTGGGCCACACCACGAGCAGCTTCAGTATACTGTGCCGTGATGCGTGCTTGTCGAGACGTTGTGGCGCCTGGTGTGGTTTGACGCTCCAGTTGGCCCAAGTGGAAGCCATTGAGCGGTGGCGGAGTCACCAGAATAATCTTGGGTGTATGGACCTGGATGTTGGGATGAGTGACAATTCGCCTCAGGTTGGCCTTGTATTGCTCGAGGGGCACATGCTGGTTGTCGATGTCTCGAGGCAGGGCGGCATCGTTTGCACCAAGGAGGACGACAAGGTAGGAGAGTTTGGGCGTCGAGGGTGACGCCTGTTGGAATATGCTCGGCAGGGCACGCAACGCCTGCGATGAGTTGTAGCCACCCAAGCCACGGTTCACCACATCGAAGCAGCGGATGCAATGCGTTTGCAGCGCCGAGTGCAAGGAGAACCCATCCCGGGTGTCGGCAGCGCCGCGGACAATAGAGTCGCCAAACAGAACGACCTGCGGGTAAAGAGTGGCCATGTTGGTATGATGGGGGAGGGTGGACGTGTACACTCGGAATGCAGGCCGTGGAAATGCTTCCCTGTGCGGAGAAGCTGTTCCAGTTCTCCAACATCCCACCGTCGTACGTACTTGTACGTCGCACACCGATGCAAACAGGGGGTGCTCTTCATTTACCGCCGTTTGTCGGCTTTTGCTCTTTTCGGACGTGCCGCTCTCAGCTGACGGCGCCAGGTCCATCTCCGACCCAATTCGGCATTCGTCTCATTAAACGCTTCTGGAACGGTGCAATCCCTTCTCAACAACAGGTAAAAATATCACAACGGGATTCATCAGGAAATGGAAATCGGCATTCGTATCCTAACTACCGTGTGCGTCAAGCGCAAGAAGGTACTTCTTGCAATACGACACTGCACTACAACACTGCACTATTACCTTCTCCATTCTTGCTCGGTTCCAATATTCCCTATTATCGTTATAGCTACACCACTTACTCGCGATGCTCCACGGCAGTGGTCGCCGCCGTCTTTTCATCGACCACAACGTCCATCTCAATGATGTACGTCGAAAAGTCCTTGGCACCCACGCGCTTGTTGAAGAGAATGTCGAGCTCCTCGTAGGTGCGGCCCTTGCACTCGGGTAGGCGGAAGTAGCCCCAGACGAAGCAGAGCAGACAGAAGCCACCAGCCAAAAAGCCCGTCTTGCCCTTCCAGTTGCCCTCGGTCGGATTGAGGACGTACGGCGACACTGTCAGGCTGATGATGTTGAAGACATTGTATGCATTGCGAGCCAAAGCGATGGTCTTGGAGCGCAGCTTGGTGGACGAGGTCTCGCCGACGATAACGTACGTGGCGGGACCCAGCGTCAGCTCGTAGACGGCAAACCACAGTAGGAACAGGGCGGACGAGGCGTAGCCGGTGCCTGCCGTCTGCTTGGGGAGGGCTATGAAGCCGATGATGAACATGCACGTGGCCATCAGGGCGGCGCCGTACAAAAAGGTGGTGCGGCGTCCGAAGCGCGTCATGACAAAGACAGAGAGCACGTTGCAGACAAAGTGCAGCGAGGACTGACCGACTGACATCTTGTAGGCTGCGGCGACGGGCAGACCGGCCTGCTCATAGAAGTAGGTGGCGTAGTTGACAATGGCAAAGCCCACGAGCACCTGGCAGACCCAGGCGACACACGTAATCTCAGTGCGCCACAGGTGGTCGCCCTTGAAGCAGTCGGCGTAGCTCTCGCCCTCGGCCAGGCTGCGCTCCAGCTCAGTGGTCTCGACCATGAGAGCCACGGCGGCCTTGGCCTCGTCGGGGCCGACCGACGACAGCCGGCGGAAGGAGTGCTCGGCCTCGGCCAGGCGGCCCTTGCGCACTAGCCACCATGGTGATTCGGGACAGAAGATGACCAGAGGCACGATAATAACGGGCCACACCCACTGGACGGCCACGGGAATGCGCCAGCCCCATTGGCCGTGCTTGCCGTTGAGACCGTCCAGAACGCCGTTGGAGACGAGCTGGCCAATGCCCCAGCAGGTCACGACAAAAATCTCGAGGTAGGCGCGGAGGGCCACAGGGGCGACCTCGGACGCATACGCCGGGCCCATGGTCGTAAACACACCCCAAGACAGACCGCAAAGGAGCTCGCCGGCAAAGAGGACCTGAATATTGGGCGCGAAAAAGACGATGAAGATGGTGCCCGTGAGCCAGGTAATGGCACCGAGCAACACCTTCTTGTGGCCGAAGCGCTCCGTCAGGATACCGTTGAGGAAAATACCGACGATGCCGCCGAGCGGGTTGGACAGACCAAGGGCCGTCTGCCACTTGGCTTCCACCTGGTAAGAGTTCTTGAGGGGGTCGGTCAGGACACCGAAGCGCTGCTGGAAGGTCGGGTACCCAAAGAAGGAGCCGATGAGCGCGGTGTCGTAGCCGTCCATGATGATGACGAGCGTGATGACGCACGACCAGAAGATGGCCTTGGGGTAGAGGCGCAGGGCCTCGCGGATGCTCATGCTGCGCTCGACGTCGGCGGCATGGCTGGCTTCGGCGCTGCGGCCGGCCCACCAGGGCGTGAGGTCAGCCGCGGCGGCCGAGGTCGGCGCGGGTACCGCAGCCGATGCCGTCGCCGGCGGCGACTTTTCGTAAGTGTCGGTCATGTTGAGGGGATGCTGGTCGGATACACAATGACGAGACAGAAAACAAATGCGAGAGACCAAAGGAGAGATCCTGAAAGAGGGAGAAAGTGTCTGATCGTCGTGATCAGCATCTCGCTGGGAGGATGAGGCTGGGGGCTCGAGATATAAACAACTTCTGTCACCCCGTCGCCGTCTCCGTGATCTCGTGTCCGGTGACTGGACCGTCGTCTCCTCTCCTGACAGGGGATCACAATGCCACATTTCAACGCTCCTCTCACACCTCTCCACTTCGGCCTCCACACTAGACGTTAGAATGGCAAGGACGAGGCTGACGGATACCTTCCCAATCGGGGGCGGGTCCAAGGCGGTCCACCTTTAATGGCAGAAAGAGCGTCTGCACGCTTCCTTTCCCCGCACGCCAAAAAGACGGGGTCGTAATTTTCCAGCCTGTCGAGCCTGCCGTACGAACGTCTGGGGTCGGGCCATGTCTGCGAATTGACACTGTTGGTTGTGATGAAAAGGATGGCCGAAGGAACTAATGCACCGTCTGACAAGACTCCGCGGGGAACGGTTGCTTCTCATGTCCATTTTCCTCGTTTTTTGTCGATGTTTCCAGCCAATACAGACCCACTCATTCCCAGATGCTGGGGACCCCAGATCCCGGACCCACATTACCTTTCTGTCCGATTCTCAAAAAGGCGCCCAATACGCCTCCAACACTTCCACCTTCGCCCACCTTACCGAGTCCGTGCGAGCCCTTTCTGTTCGTGTTGTACCTGGTTTTGATTTAATTTAATTTTTTATTCTTCCAAGCCTAGCTGTTTCCGGCCGTTGTCCACCGACGCTCCGCGAGGCGAGGATGCCAAAGGGGTAATGCAGAAGTTCATTAATAAACGTTATGCCGGTCCCGGCAACTCTGCCTGATTCGTGCAACACGGTTCATATGGCATGTATGTGCTCTTACACCTCTCCTGTCTCGTGAAATTATAGACCAGTCATGTTTATGCATCGAAGCATCGTTCTGGCAACATCTTGGCCCGCTCCACGTACATTGTGATCAGACTCTGGCAACAGGCATGTGGTCTCGTCAATGCAGGTGGCGAGGTCCTCGCAATCTATCCTTTCTTGGAGCATTCGTTAGACTTTCGTGGAGTTGTCTTTCTCACAGGATTCTGTTCTTTGCTGGCTGGGCATGGTAGATTCCAGAGTCGGTACAACTTCTTCCTCTAGCCTGCTACATGAACTATGCTGTCAACCCTTCTCTTCATAGACTGTGCTGCAGTGGTACAGAGTGGTAGCACCTTTGAAATCCGCCAAGATCTTATAGAAAATGCCACCTGAACGAAAAGTGACAGGACATGACTGAGGAGAGAGTTTCCTTGCAGCGAGATTCGATTAGCCACTACTAACGGACCAAAAGCTAATGAAATAAAATTTTGAAAATTAAAAGCATAATCAGTGCGACACAATCACTACTGCTTCTTCCTATATTCCCGTTATAGTATGGAACCAGCATGTCGGGCATGGCGCATTATCATTCGCTACGCGAGCTACTTCCAATACATGTCACAGCAGCTGAAGAGTCAGCCACAGCTGGCTTACCTGGTCCATTTCATGACGCCCAACATCAAAGCTCTGGTTAGTAGTCACTATTGTTTAGGGATTAACATATGCTCTAGGCATTAGGTGAAAATTATTTTCATCCGTTTACATTTTAGTTTTTGTGTTCTTTTTTTTAAAAAAATAAATAAATAAAAAACCTTTACATGCTTAAATAGCACGTACTTGATTTAAGCCTTGAGTAATCAGAAAAGTACGTGTCTGCTAAGATAAATATGGAGAATAATTTTGCCAAACAACTCGTGGTCGGCCTACCTTCTAATTATCCATGTCCGCAAAACACATCAATAATCATCGCTTTCGTACCCCCCACATGGAAGGCAGCTTTGCAAACATGTTCTTTAGCTTCGTCTGCTATGCTTGGCTGCCTCAACAAGATTGCGTTTGCAAGTTCACCAGGGCGCCGCCTAGCCAGTGCTCCGTTTGCATTCGTACATGTGCTCCTGTTCAGTCTATTGGCCAGACTCAAAATATAGATTTCCAACTCGGATTCGCATCTGCATTTTCCTCGCAAGGAAAAATGCAAGAAAATCGGAGCAAGGGATATTCCTAAGCGCCCAAGTACGAGAAGGCCAGTATCAGCCCCACAACATCTCCCCAGGGAAAGCGTGTGCATCGAGTCTGGTGCTGCATGGATCATATATTCTGAGTCGCTGTGAAAACAATCGGGTGCATGAAGAGAGCTCCGCGTTGTTTGTTGCCGCAAAACAAAGCGGAGTACAAATTACGACGTGAGCCAAAATGGTGAATACCTGATCTGCCACGGCCCCGCTTTTGTGGATCTCTTGGAACTCGCAAACGAATTCGTGAAATCACTTAAACTCGCATCGTGTCAATGTCTGGGGTTTTGCGAGATCCAAAAATAGTATGCAAAACGACTAATTTTCCACGTACCTGACGACACCGTCCTGCTCGTCGGAAATAGGCAGCGTCAATGGATTCCGACTTCTTCAGGAGTCGCTTTTCGTTCTGAATGGAAAGTCGGGCAAATTCTAACTCGTCTGGATCCGACCACCTCTCGTCCCATAAAACGAGCTCGCAATGCGGCTTACAGAAGGCGGCAAACATGGACAGCATGGATGACCGTTCAGAGGATGGCCGTGACCGTTCATCCACGGAGCTGCCGCCAGCGCCATATTCCTTCTATGACAAACTCGGCGACGCATTGACGGCTGATTGGAACCCGCGTGAGGTATGTTTGACTGCGAGACTGCGACACGAAACGGCCAGTGAGACGCTACAGCTTCAAAACCTAACTTTACCTTTCCATTAGATTATGCCCGCGTCAATATCCATCTGGATAGCAAGGTGGAGCGACGCCTCTCCCGCGGCATCTCTCTCAGACAAGACGACCTTGCCAACTAGCATGGCCTGCAAGGGCTGCAAGAATCCCCTCCCGACTTCAACACTGCAATCGTTTCTGCCGTGGAGCGATCCGATACCCCGTGTCCACCGAACATTGTCGTCCAGATTGTCGGTAGCTGTGGTGTTGTGCAGTCATTCGTTGCACTGGGCACCACCTTGAAGCGTTATGGCCACCGCGTCCGCATTGCCGCCCATAATGTGTTTGCTAAGTTTATCTAGGAGTCCATCGACGGCGATCCGGCTTATCTAATGGACTCTATGGTCAAGAACCCCGGACTTCTACCGCAAGTGAAAACGTCGCGCGAGGGATAAGTGCAGAAAAAGCGCGCCATGTTCAACACCATTCTCGACGGCTGCTGGCGGTCCTGAATCGAAAACGACTCGCCTACGCAAGAGCCCTTTACATACTGCTGGTCCCTGCACTGATACCGAAGCCGTGGGAGTGACCATCTCCATCTCATATTTAGTGTGTGTTCATATTCTTCATTTACGCGATGCCACGCCAAACATGCGCTAACTCCCATGCGATAGATGTATGTGGTACCTTCTTTCGAGATGCTCCGTCCGTCGAACCCCCACCTGCGTTGTAAAGATTCTCGAAGCCGGCCGGTGACCTGGTTACATTGACTTTGGTAGCATCGTGGTTGACAACCTTCAGAACTGAATCAACACGGTTGAGGAAGCAATCGCGCAAACAGGCGTCCGTGCCATTGTTTCCAAGGGCTGGAGCAACATCGCCGGACCACCCAACGGTGACATATACTATATTAATGACTGCCCACATGGGTGGCTTGTCCGGCGTGTGGTTGCCGTTGCTCGTCACGGAGGTGCCGGCACGACGGCCGGTGGCCTCGTCAACGGACGACTAACTACCATCGTGCCTTTTTTGGTAACCGAAGCTGAAGTAGGTCCCAGACCAATTCCGCACGCGTACCTCACAGTCGAGAATCTTGCTTCGGCCATCCAATTCTGCCTCTGGCCCGAGACAGCGTCTGCAGTACAAGAAATTGCACGAAAGAAGCAAATGGAGTCACGTGCGGCAGCGGCCGTCAAGTCGTTCCATCGTCACTTTGCCAGTAGATCGAATGAAAAGCAGTGTGATGCCCGGCCAAGTTGCCGTTTGCCAGTACACCATAAACAAGCAGGTTCTGCATCTGTCCAGACCTGCACTTGAAAGTCTGGCTCAGAACAGCAGGATCGAGATTAAGAAAGTCCAATTGTGCGTATGCTTGACTCCCATTTGTGCCATTTTACTTCATTGTATATGCTGACGCGGATTCCTTTGTTTCTAGTTAGGGACCAAGACCTATTTCATCGAGAATCGCGCGTTACTGGCACTCTAGTTTCTGTCACTTTTACCAGCACGAACATGGCCCAGTCCCGCTCTCAAGACGATCTACAACCCATACAAAGAATACAAGCGTGGTCGTTCGCCATAATCGTCAGCGTAGTCCTCTGCTGCCAGTTCAATCGTTGGTCCGAGCCAAGACACGCAAGGCCGTTGTTGCTGCACGACTTTGGGATAGGATGCACCAGTTGGTGAAGATGCACTTGGCTCTTGAGCAGCAAACGCATATCGTCCAGTTCTACGATCAGCTTGTAATATCGATACATGAGTAATACAGCGCCTTTTGTCTTTTAACTTTTGCTACGATTTGTTTGGGTGTTTGCCTCGCGGTTTTGCACGAGGAACACGTCATGTAGAACAATCGATTCTATTTGGTAAGGTACATTAGGAAAATTTCATACAAAAGTTGTCCATTTCTACACGGACATATCTATTTAGAAGACAACGCCACAAGCAGGCCATCATCGCCAGGCTCCCTGATTATGATGTTTCCTTTTAGGAGCCCTGACCTGATATCCTTTTCAAGTTGTTTTTCACTTGTTGATATGGTAAGATGGCCCAAAGCGGATAGTGCATAGTGCGAAGCATCTTCGGCTATTCTCCCATCCGACGACAAGAGTTCAATTAGAATGAGAGGCCTCACTATTTTGGAAAACGACGCCAGAATTAACAGGTGTAGTTGAGCCGCGCGATACGAAGCAGAGATCGCCTCGTCGGCCGCGCGTGAGAGGCCTCGGGAGCCAGACGGGCGTATCCATCGAAGGGCACGCGCCACGGCTTGTGCTGCTAATCCTGTTGACTGGGACAACCGAAGGACCTCGTACAGGCGCGGCGTGTCGCGCATGTCGTATGGAACAACATATCTTTCTCCTCGTTTGCCATGCTCGAACACTTCACCAATGTTGATGTATTCTGTCGTCCTATTCGTGGTCAAAGCAGTGTAAATTGCTGTATCGGCAGCCGCGGTGGCCTTGTCCACAGCGCTCCTCGCACACGTCACCATAGTATCGATGGCGTTATCGTGCAGCCTCCACATAGGAGACTTCATCAGCTCCGGAAGTGCCAGAACTCGGAAGATACGGCTACCAAAAGCCGTCTGGCGCATCATCCATGCAATCGCAGCCTTGGCGGGGCCGCTGCGATGCGCTTGGGAAAGTTGATTTGTGAATTCGGCACCCGTGCGGACGGCTTCGGCATATTCGTAAAGAGAAGGCAAAATACGATCGAATTTGGGAACCGTATCTTGTTGGCAATCCTCATACTTCATGGCGGATATTGTGTAGCCTGCGGAAGCCATCGCCAAGCCGATTTCGGCCGCAGCATCTGCCAAAGCGTTCCTGACCCGCCCAGTCCGGACTTCCAGGTCCATACAACTCTTTTTGAGCAGTTGGCTTGTCCACCTTATTGCTTCCTCAAGTTCTTTGACGGCCTCTTCGTACGTGGTGGGACTGGCAGGAGGTTGTGGCATATGTGTTGTCACTTCTCGTGGAAGCAGCGGTTTTTCAATATTAGAGTCAACTGTCGACTGCCTTTCCATCGTGTCGGAGCTTGCAATAGACTGGTTTTCCATCGTATATGAAGCGTGTTGCTGGATTCGATACGCTGAACGGTGGTGGAGGAAAGACTGCGGTATATGTTGTAAAAGCGGCGTTAAAATCGAAAAGAGAAAGAGAGAAACGTTAGACAAGCAAGCCAGATTGAGAGTGACCATGTTCAAATATATTAAAATGTGGCTCCGTTACTTTTCCATTGCGGTGGCAAATCATACCATCCACGTGTTCTTGCTGCCATAAGGACCAGGTCAAGTGCAATGCCTGCATAGTAAGCATCTCTGGTGAACCCACCAATTCGCGTAAAATTGTACAATTCATGTACAGTCTGAACGAATAACATCTGGCTCAAAACTGAAGAGGAAGGGGATATTGTAGGTTAATAACGTAAGGAGCGTCGATTACCCAAGGGTGCCCTCCCCCCTTCTAACCCCGTGACCACCTACCTCCAATTTCACCAAGTCGACAGCAAAACATCATTGCTGCTAGAACCTAAAAATGGAAATACCAATACCCTCTATGGCTCCTTCCTACTCCATCGAAAATATAAGAAAACATGAATGTTGTCAAGTCAAAAAATACACGGAGCAACTCCCTCTTCCAAAATTATGTTTTGCAATCACTCAACAACAATCACATCCAACACGATCAAAACCATGACCAAATCCAACATCTCAAAGCGAAAGCACGCATCGCGGCGTGCAACTAGATACGCTTCTTGGAAGAGAAGTATGCGGAGCCGTCGTCTCGACAAGTTTACATATCGGCGCCGCACTGCGGAAATCGGGTCTCACAAGATAAAGCAGAGTAAGATTGACCTTGATCCCGCTGTCGGGATCAGCCACGATACCAGTCCCAACCGACCCAGTGTGGAAATTACGGCTAATCGTGATGTTTTAGGATCCACCGCACGGGCGCTGGCCGGCAATATTGGCAGCGGGATACTCAAAGCAGCATCCGGAATCGGGGCATCCATTTCCCTAACTCAACTGGCCCCAACTGCGGCGGCACCGCCTATTGATGCGTGCGACGCAGATGCTCCCACATCATTGAGCGCTACCTCTGAGCGGGCTGTTATAGAGGGAGCGACCGATACATGGGTGAGTGCCGTTGCCGACTCGGTCAGTGCTTTGCTGGCAGCCCTGACCAGTACAAGGGATACAAAGCGCATTGAGGAGCACGCAGATATCTGTCGGGTAAATGACATGTCCTTGGAGATAACGTCGATGATCAACGACGTTGTCAAAGCTTCCCCTGGCAGTACGGAGAGCGGCCGTGGAATTGCCGAAGTGGTATTCCAATTCGCGAAGACATTCAGTGAAACTATGTCTGAAACTGCAGCCAAAGCTGAAAATTCAGACGACGGCACCGCATTTGTCAATATGGTACGAAAAGCACGAGTGAACTTCAACGCCGCATATGGCCGACTTGAAGCCGCGCTCAAAGTCAAACCCGAGTGTCGCAGGCAGCCGTCGCCTGTCACCTGTTAACAGGTGGCAACGCTGCGGACAAACATCGAATCCAAGTGTTGATCCGCTCCGCTCCCACCAGAACCATTGTTGTTATTATTGGTTGCATCGCCACGACTGAAGAAGCCGGTGCCTTCTTCGAAGCCGGAAAGAAGACATTCACCAAAGAGATTCTACGCAGATACATCGAAGCCTGCGCCATTTGTCGAACGGTATTAACAAATGAACGTCTCAATGTCGGCAGTCTCAGAGGAATACTTCTCTACCTTTGTGGTGCTGCCACAGACTGTGGTAATCCAGTGCCAAAAGATGTCTTGCAGGATGCCCTAGAGTTCATCTACGGCACTCTGCTCAACAAAGGCTTGGTCCATAATGAAAGAAAAGCAAAATGGACTCCTATCAACTATGACATAACCGTCTTTCTTCACAGCTTCGTCGACAGGGAGTTCATATGACAACTAGTATTTTGGGCTTTTGGCTACGGCCTTGAGACGGTTGTATTTGGCGTTGAAGGACGTGTTATTTTATTGGCCATCAGCAGAATGGCTGTTCCTTGGGAGACCGAAAGAAAGTGAGAAAAAGTGTATTGCTTGTTCTAAACTTATATCCATTCGGACGGGCTAAGAAAATGTATGTAGTTTACGCCTTATCCATCTGCAATTTTCATCGTCGTCATCGGCTTGGCTAGTGGTCCATTCTTATGGTTGTTGTGGATGCCATTACTCATGGCGACAAACATTGTTCGCTCTGTAGTTGACTACACTTTGTCATGAGGAGGATGAGCGGAACCTCAAACTTGGTCAAAAATGTCAATTTTATTATTATTTTTAAAATGCAAAAAAATTTCAAAATTCCTTCCTACCCCCCTTCCTCCACCACCTCACCACCCTCCCCCTACTCCTCCATCACCAACTCTCCACCGTCCCCCTACTCCTCTTCCCGCTTCACCTCCCCCTCCTCCACCACCTCTACCAACTGTTTTTCCTCCTCCTCCTTCTGGACAGGGCAGTTGAACTTGCGTCGGGCCAGTCGACGCTGTTTGTTTTTGACCCGGCGCCGATGTCTCGCCGTCTACGATTTCATTTGTCAATAAAACGTTAGATGCGATAACTAAATCAATCACGTAGAAACTAACTCTCATTGCTGCGGCGAGACATCGGCGCCTGGGTAGCAGCCGGGCCAGCGGCGGCAGGGACGGGCGCGGCTGCGCAGGGGAGGATGGCGGCGCGCGGCACGTGGTGGTGGTGGGGCGTGCGGCGGCGGCGGGCAGCGCGGCGGCAGTAGGGATGCGCGGCGGTGACAGGGAGGTGCGCGGCGGCAGTAGGGAGGCGTGGCGGTGGTTTGGAAGCGCGACGGTGGTGGTGATTGTGGTGGTGGTGGTCTTTCTTTTCAAAAAGCCAAAATCCAAAAAGTTCCCCATGCTCTAATTTCCTGCGTCGTCCTCTTTCTCTTCCTCGTCCACATTGTCCTGCCCCTTCCCTCCCCACCACGCGCTGCTTGCGGCGCAGATTGTACTTGGCCCGGCGCCGTTGCATCGCCGCCTGCGATTCAATTGTCAAAAAAAGTCAAAGGCAATAACAGAAACAACTATGTGGAAGAATAACTCACTTTGCTGCGGCGATGCGATGCGACGGCGCCCGGGCTCCTGCGCGGGACACGGCGGGGCCAGCGGCGACAAGGGCGGGTGCAGCGGCGACCGGAGGGCCGGCAGGAGAGGCGATGGCGGCCGGGGAGCCGGGGGGGCGGCGGGAAGCGCGATGGGGGCGGCGGGAAGCGCGAGGGGGGCCGACGGCACGTTGGTGGTGGTGGTGACGGCGATGGTGGTGGTGATGGTGGTGGTGATGGTGGTGTTGGCGGCGTTGTCGGCCGCGACGATGGTGACTGTCACCGTGACAGTCATTGTGGTGTCTTCTATGTTAGTATAAAATATGCTTTGCTTCACTGTTTGGTTGGGTGTGTCTTACGTTGGTGCTGTCGTTGTTGCTGTTGTTGCTACTGCTGATGCTGGAAAGGGAAAGAAGTTCTCGACATCTCGAAATCAGACGAGATAGAACACTATATATGTAAGTCTTGAGACGAACGCCTGCTGTATACCGTTCAAAAGGACGTTAACCCTGCACAGCTGTCTCCATCGTATTCACTGTATAACAGTATAATCTTTAAGGCCTTTCTTATTTACACTACAAGGGCCATTTAATATGTCAATAGGTCAATATTGCTATGTGCGATGCCGGCTGCAAGTGTAAGTGACTGGAAGGCCTAGCCAATCCACTGGCGCCTATTGAGCGAATAAGACCTTACCATTGTCCTTTTAGCGCGTGGCGGCATCTGCCTAAGTGGGATGGACAGCTCACTGGTAGGAATTGCTCAATGGGGTGAATGGAGAACCTCATCCATGTAAATCGGACAGGTGGCAATGATAGAGAAGTTCAAAACAGGTTCGAGGCCGGATGGTGAGCTTTGTTCCTGAGCTTGCAGGTCTTGCAACAGAAGCAGCCATGGGGTATAGGAAATGGCAATGCTACTGCTCCCCACTCACTCTTGGTACGATGCGCCTATCGAGCGCTTCTATGGGCTTCAAACCCCGTAGGACTAGTCAATCACAGTCTGGTGGTGCAACGGCCTTTCGCTCGTGACTTTTACAGGACGATGCAAACTTGTGTACAAATCGCTGGCCAGCACACAGGGCAAAGAGCATTGAGGCATAGACAGATTTCGTTGTGGTGTATTATGTGTGCACCAGGATCGTGGGTATACTAAATGGCCTTGCTGTGGCCTCTCCGGCATAATAGAGACCGCCCTGGCTCGCTTTGATGTACTAATGGCGCGTTTCCAGTGGCCGATGTATGCTTTTCTTTGTATAATGGGACTGGAGCCTACAAACAATACATTTTCTCTCGGGCGGTTACGGGACCTGTCGTTAGGGAAGTTGCTTCGCACTTCATACTTCCCTGGTCTCGGACAATCCCCGCAGACAAACAATTGACGCGCCCGGGCATGGAGGGGGGGACGGGGTTCGATGCACGGAATGCGTGGCCGTCCGAATATGAGGCCACAAATTCCAGCAGCTCCATAGACATCCATCCTACCATGGAGAGCGGACCCACCATCACTACGAATTATTGGCCATACGTTTACTCGAAACCAGTCCTTTAGTATTTCGTACGAATTACCCACACCGAAGAGGTCACGTGTTGATCCCTACATATGTGGCCCCCTTCCATTCCTGTAGAATGCCACGCACATTATCCCACGATAAGCGAATCAGATATCGGGTTCCGTCGGCGGTGGGAAAGCATTCCAGCACGCTTCATCACAATGACATTCATCTTAGTTTCTGCCATTTGACGGCGCATCTATCCGCCTGGGCTAAAAGCCCACATCTGTGCCATACCGGTTGCAGCGCTCTGCTATGACTAACCCTGAGGAGCGAATCGCTGACATCAAGTCGCCAGCATCGTCACCGCAGCGGCACCACCGACTTCAGGCGTCGCTCAAAGACGTATTGGATCTTGCTTCCACCGCACAAGCCCCTCTTGGACCAGTGGAGCGTGCCACGGCGCGGCGAACATTCTTCCGCGTCGTCGAGCACCTTGAAGCCACAGACCCCTTCCGCAGCATCGCGCGTGTCGAGAGAGCCACATCGTACAGCCAGCCACTGCTGGTCCGGCACACGTACGAATACGCGCTTTCGGATGAGTCGCGCGACATCTTTTTGCGTGCTTTTTTTGCGTCGATCGAGCTCGATCTCACCGGCGCACATCCTGAGCTTGATTTTGAGGTGCTCACACCTCGCTTTAACGGCTTCGCAGACTATCTCGTCGACAACTTCTTTCTGCCGCGTGGGTGGTCGTCCCCGGGACCTTTCATTTTTTTTGTTCCTCTTTTGCCTCATTCACCTCCCCCCCCCCTTATCCCCTTTCTTTTCTGCTCTCACGTCTACATTGCCTGACATAGTACAGTGAAAGCTTCGACACGGAAAACGCCTCAGCCCTCACCCGCCTACCACTCGGCCGTTTTGAGCGCCCAGGAAGGCGTGACAACAGCACACGGCTTTATCGGTACATCGGAGCGCCTGGCTTCGCTGCGCTGGGAGTGCCTTGTCCGGGATCGGCACCGGTGCGTTATCACACGCCACTTTAGCAGCGACGAATACGAGGCACGATTCAAATTGGATGGCAATGATGCAAGCGACGACGACGGCATTTTGTTCTCGGAGCAAACGCCTGGCCAGCTCGCGCCTCTCGAAGTGGCACATATTCTGCCACATTCCTTGATGAAGCTGGACAGGAATGCTGAGATGGTAGGTCCTTCTGCCTGCCTGCCCGCCGTCGCCGCCTTTGTTGTAATGATCGATTCTAATATATATATATTCAGGATGCGTCCCGCCAGGCTGCCTTGGCGATTTTAAACATGTTTGACAAGGGCGTGGCACATATAATCAACGGCGTTGACATTGACCGGCCACAGAATGCGCTGACGCTCAACATGATGCTCCACCGATATTTCGGCGCCTTTGATGTCTACTTTGAGCCTGTCCCGGCCGCAAGCAACACCTACCGCATCCAGTCTTTCTTGTCGCCGGGCACCAACGTTGCATTTGGGCTGCCCGTCACTCGGGCGCTCTTTGTCACCGAGTCACGCACCATTGATCCGCCGTCGCCGCGTCTCCTTGCTGTGCACCGCGCCATTGCCCACATCTTACACCTGTCGGGTGCTGGTGACTACCTGGACAGAATACTCCGAGATATGGGCGACAATTACGTCCGCGCCGACGGGACCTCAGCGCTGGGCCACATGGTGGCCCTTGGACTGCACGGCTGGACGGGCAATGCTGTGTATTGATGCTCTCACACACTCAGCGGACATTCTTAGCAGATGCGTCTTGGGCCCGTACTGGTCAACACCTGGAAAAAATCCGCAACATGTCTCGGTCACATGGTCTGGTGCCGGAATTCCAGTTCAAGACTTTCTAAATGATGTTATGGTTAATCCGACAGTGATTTTCACGGTAATTAAACAATCAATGACTTTTACTTAGGCCAGTAAATACATATTCGAAATAAAGTGATTTTCCCCAAAGCTGTCTCCTCCTTCGTTTTCCTGCTTTCAATCTTCCCCCTTTACGTTGACGTCGGTTGAGCAGTGGACAGTTGTACACTGGTGACAAGTATGTACGAGGCTGCGCCATGACTTCCAGTCTCCACATTAAGGTCAAACATCGCGGCCAAACATTCTGACCCTTACAGGTACACAATGGCCACCGAGCTGTAGGGCACAGGAATCAGGGCACTACCGCGCTTGACAGGCACTTTGATCGTCGTCGCGGCCACATTCTTGACCTCGGTGCCCTGGCTCGCAAACGTCCACTGGCTGCCACCAAACGTCGTGTCCGTCGAGTTTTGGCCGGCACCGCCGGGGTTGTTGAGGTACTTGACCGTGACCGTCTTGACCGAGGGCGACAGGCCGTCGAGAGTGACCACGGGCTCTGGGCGCGGCGTGCCGACCGACAGGTCCCAGTAGTTGAGGTTGCAGAGGGCGACGCGATTGGCAATGTTGTGCTCGTAGGCGACGTACGACGAGAAGGTCGTGCCGTCGTTGTTGCCCGGCGCCAGCTCGGCCACCTTGGTGCGGCCGCCCGTGCCGATGAACTCGGCGGCCACGAGGATGGCGTAGTACGTGTTCTTGGTCTGGGCGGGCGTGGACCCGTAGTCGCTGGGCTGCCAGACGTTCTGGACCGAGCCGTAGACCTGCTCCCAGTTGACGGCGGCCACGCCCAGGGACATGAGGTGCATCATGAAATCGGTGCCGTACAAGGCCGTCGCAAACGACGCCGAAAAGGACGCATTGGACGTGCCGCCCGTCTGCACATTGATCTCGTCCAGATAGAACGGCACCCGGCCGCCCTTGTACGACTGGAAGAACGCGTTCATCGGCTTGATGTGCTTGGCCGTGTCGGCCACCGTGCTGGCGTGCGACAGGAGGTCCGGCAGCGTGCACGAGCCGCTCAGGCACCGGTACCAGTGGTCGGTGGCGTAGGCGAGGTTGTTGGTGTCGTCGAAGCTCGTGTTGGCAAAAATGTCGGCCGCGTCCCAGGGGATGTAGCCGTTGGTCTCGCTGCCCACATCCGGGCCGGCAAACCCGACGCTTGGGGGTAGGCCGGCCGCCTTGGTGATGTTGGCAGCAATCGCCTGAAAGCGGTCCGCAAACTCTTGGGCCGTGGCCGCCGGCGGGTCGCCGCCGCTGTAAAAATTGGGCTCGTTGCCAATCTCAATGGCCGCCAAGTTGTCGGCGCCAATGCCCGACAGGATCGACTTGGCGGCCTCGTTGGCCTGCGTGTAGTCGTGCTCCGTGTACGAGATGGAGGGCATCCAGCGGACCTTGGCTGGTGCCAGCAGCTGCGTCAGCGCCCAGAATGAGGGGCCAATGGTGAGGTCGCCCGTCTGCGTGGTGCTCGGCGCGGGGACCACCGGCACGGTCTGCGAGCTGTTCCACTTCACGCGGTCACCCGTGATGCCGCCGACGCGGACAATGGGCCGGCCGCCGGTGCGCTTGGCAACTTCGGAAATTAGATTGATCGAAAACTGGTTGGCCGATGGGTCGGTTTGGCTGGCTATGTAACGACTATGTTAGTGGATGTCTGTGAAGTATTGCTTGAACCCGTCTCCTGATGCACTCACTCTGGCAGTACAGCGAAAAGGTGTTGAGCTCGAAGCTCACACCCGGAAAAGACGGGTTGACTGTGAACAGCCCATGAGGCTGAGTGTGCGGCAGGGTGACCGTCGTGGCACCGGCCCGGGCAGCAAGCTTGTCGAGGCGCATCGTGACGTTGTTGGAGAAGAGACAACACAGAGGGCAATGATCAATTGAATGGAGCAGGCAAGGCTTGTCAGATCGTCTTTGGTAGACGGTCGATTTTCTCAAAACATCACAGGCAAAAGTCCCTTCCAATTGATGCATATATATACTTGTCGTCGTCTTGGCCTTTTCTAATCATCACGGAAACCAACAAATACACCTTTCTTCATGGATTCTCCGCATTGCACCAGGAGCTCGACAATCAACAAGAACGACCCCCGATGGCCTTGGGGATGGATGTCGATCCCGCGCCGAAACGGGGACGGGCCCGCAGTTTCTTACAAATGAGGCAATCCATGCGTCGAGCGAGTGCATAACCGATGGATGACAAACTGTGACCTAAAAGTAACGGATATGGACAAACGTTAGCCAACAGACAAACGCTTTCCTGCCTCTGTCAAGGGCAAGGATGCGAAAACATTGCCCGGCATGTACGTCAAGTGCTTCTTTGGATACGACAATTGGCGCAGCTACTCCGCATGTTCAAAATGTGTGGGAAAAGCCAAAGACAGTTTGGACAGGCAAATTCAAGCTCCGAAATATACGACGGCTCACAAACTCTCAGCCGCCTTGATTGTGGAGTGACTATCCTTTGCTTTCGAGGAAAATGCAGCCAGAATTTCACAGTGTTCTGTGGTATTATTACGTACAGTACACTTCTTTAATCCTGACAGCGGTTTCCCATTTTTTGGTCGTCCTCCGCATTCCGGTCCTTTTCCCATGATGACGACCCCTGGGCCTTTTTGTCAGTCTCCACTTCCCCGCGCATGGCCCCAATGTCTTAGCGTCGGCCGTTCTCAGGAAACACGGGGTAGCGGTGGGTGAGCACATCCTGTGTACTATGGTAGGCCCATTTCGTTTTGCTTTCGGCAAGTCGGCTCATTAGGGGCGGCCCAATGTGCCTGCCGGAGTCCGAAGGTTGACATACCACTACCAAAATCATGACTCGCCAAGGTCATCTCAAGGATGAGGCGCCACCATCGGGAAGTCACCGCCCGTCGAACTCCCATCGACGCTCGCTCCAGCAGGAGCAGCGGCGGCGGTAGTGGGGGCGGTGGGAAAAAAGGCCCATGCATCTTGCTCGCGGAACGCCGGGGGCATGGCAAAGTCAAAAAGGTTGTGGAACGCCGCGTCAAACTGCGGATAGGTGCCCGGGCTCTCAAAGTTGGCGAAACCTTCAAAGGAGTCTAGCCCTTCCAAACCGCCGCCACTCGAACTAGCAGACCAGCTGTCCGCGGCGGCCAACTGCGTCTCAAAGTCGAGGGTGGACGCCACGCCGGCAGTGACCAAAGGGATGTTGGCGTACTGCCAGTCGGGTGCTGGCACGGCCGTCGTCGCGTGCAGGCCATTTGGGCCGTCCACATTCGTCTGTGTGTAGTGGTTTGGCCCCGGTTGTCTTTCCCCCGCTCTCAGCCCCAACAGTCGCAGCAGCCGCCGTGCCAGCTTTGCTACGGCCGCCACGCTCGTCCACAGTCGTGCCAGCCCGTCCAAGGCCTCGCAGCAGCGGGCCAAGTCACGACGTGACGTGACGGCGTCGCGCTGCTTGTCGCGCAGGGCGCGGTAGACCACCGTGGTGGCCATGGAGAGAGCATATGGAATGAGCGGCAAGGGAGGGAGACGGGTGTGCTGGCCATCTGTGATGAGAGAGAGGGCTCGAACGGCGGCGTCGAGGCGGCGTTGGTATGGGGCGGTGGCGGGTCCACTATATCGACAAGACAGCATTGCGGCGACGCAGTACCAGATTTCGAGATAGTCTAAAGACGTCAGCACATGTGGCTTCTGGTGTGAATGTATGTCCGCGCTATTACGACTCACCCCGATGCGACTGATGAAAATAGTCCAACCGGACACCTGCACCCGACGTCACCGTTGCAAACGTCGGGAACTCCTGGCAGTCGTCGACGGTCGCTTTCGACGAGGCCTTGAAGATTGTAGTCGCCGTCGCGAGGAGGTCGCCTAGTGCTGTCGCAAGGGCCATGACCTGTGCTCGATAGTTGTTGCCGTTGCCTGTCGCAGTAATGCGCGGCAGTCCGACGTCCGAGTCGTTGATGAGAAACGGCGCCGCCGCCATGATCGGTTTGCTCAGCCGGTCGAGGTTTCGCAGCGACCACCAGAGATAGTCGGTCGAAGTTGTGCCCTGGTCGGGAATTGTCGGTAGCCGCCAATGAATTGACAACGACCATGCCTCGCACACAGCCTGCGCGAGACAGCTTGCCGCTCGTCGTGTGCCGGTCGTACCGTCGTTGTGAAGGTGCATTAGTGCCAGGATCTGCACCTTGGTGATCCTGTCAGGTTCGAGGTCGGCCTTGATGGCTGCGTCGAGGCCCGTAAGCAGTCGAGCTGCGAAATCGAGCGGTGCCAATGTAGGACCGTTGTCACTCAGCCGCAAGAATGGAGCAGCCTGGCTTGTCTTGCAGGCCACGAGGCACATGGCCCGCACCAAGTAGATGGACGTGTGGCCATTGCTGTGCCCTCGAAAGACACTGGCACCGTCCACGATGGGCAGCAGGTCGTCGAGCAGAGACACGTAGATGGAGAGCAGGGCATCGGCCGTGGCCTTGGGCAGCTCAAGCAGCGCACCCACATCTTCGAGGTAGCGACGATGCGGCTCTGTCAGAACAACAGGTGCATTTCTTGGCCGATATTTGTGATAGAACCACGCAAGCTGTCTCTGTGCACGTTTCGCGTCCGATTGTCGCCGTCGTTTGGAAGGCGGCTGGGCAACCGCTCTTGGCGGTGTCTGCTTGGCGGATGACGGGGGTGTCTCCGTGTTCTCTTCGTCGCCCTCCTCGTCGCCCGACCCGTCCGTCTCTTGGCCATCCGACAAGTCGGCCAGTGCAATTTCCGGAATGTAGTCAATGGCGCGCGGCTTGGGACTGGATTCTCGCGTGTCCGTGCCGCCGGTGGCTGTGCCATTGCCAGGACCGTTACCAGATAGAGGCGGCTCAGCGGCGGCTGGCGGTGCTTTGTCCAACACGCTGATGCTTCGGTTCGTCTTTTCGATGACGCGTTGCTCTGCCTTGCTGTTTTGTTTGTTTTCGGCGGCAACAGCGCGTTCTGGCTTGCTGTCGGCCGCGGTGTGGAAGCATCTCTTTTTGCGCACCCGACAGGCCGGGCAGGGTAAGAGCGGCCGCAGAAAATGTTAGCAGTGGGTCTCACTGCCAGGAACAGAAAGAGGCACTGGGTCCAGAATGGGAAGGAACAGAGGGAGACTCATCTTGCGAGCTTCTCTTGCGCGTGGCTGTTTCCGACGCCTGCCACACAATTTCCATATTTTTTTTCTTATCTTGTCGTCTGATAGCAATATGCTGGTCGTCCTGGTATCGCTCCGTCACCTCGTCGTTCGTGTAAGTGAGAGCCGCCCAAGACATCTTCATTTGGGGCGGCAAGCGGTTATGTACTGTTATGTGCAGTGCCTTCCCAATCCGACGTACCCCGGCGCTCCACTTCCACGACTACCCCCGCAAACCGTTTTGGGGATGGACGATGGAGGGCTCTTTCTCTGCCCTGCCACATCTCCGTATGTCACCCCTGAATTTTGGGGATCCCTGTTCGCAACTTGCTCTCTCACTAGTCTTAGCTGTGTCTGCACGCCTGCACGAGACTACTTTTGGTCCGATCCTCATTCGGACATACCGCCGTTCGGTCGTGTAAGACTACTGCTCATCTGCGGGGAACGAACCGCGCTTGACCCGATTCGTGGCGGCCTCTAACCTCTCCTACAGGACAACGTCACTCTATCGACGCGATGAGAGGTGGAAATCAAACATCGCGATGCGTGAAGGAGGGCACGCGGTTATTCGGTGGCGCTGCCGGACGAGCTGTCGGCAGCTGACATGGTGGGCCACTATGGGGCAGCTTGGACATCGAGGGGCCGGCTTGGGCCCGTTGAGGGGCCGATGGGCGGTGCATCTATGCCCGATGACGGAGATTCGTGTGAAGACGGAGTCTCTCGATGTGGTATATTAGACGGTCATGAGAAGAAGCAAGACGACAATCTTTGCATCAACACACCTCTGTCATCAACAAACAGTCTCACAGACCCAGACAAGTCCAGGTTTTAGACTGCTCCAGTTTGCATCGTCGCGACTCGACAACCGTCACAAGCTCCAACACCACTTGTTCTTCCCCTCTCAGCCACTTCCCCTCCATCGCAATGGGTTCTGTTCCCAAGGTCAAGCGCTATGTGCTTGTTGGCACAGGCGTCCGCTCTGCCTTCTACTACGAGAGCATCCTGCGCGACTTCAAGGATTCGGCCAAACTGTGTGCCATCTGCGACACCAACACCACGCGCATGAACGCCATCAACGACCACATCGAGGAGATCAGCGGCGAGCGCGTCGCGACCTACAAGGCCGAGGACTTTGACAAGATGGTCAAGGAGCAGGAGGCCGATGTCGTCATTGTCACCACCATTGACCGCGTCCACCACATCTACTGCATCCGCGCCATGGAGCTGGGCTGCGACGCCATCACGGAGAAGCCCATGACCATTGACGCGGAGAAGCTGCAACTCATGATTGATGCCGAGAAGCGTACAGGCAAGCACGTCCGCGTGCTGTTCAACTACCGCTACGCGCCGCACCACACCAAGGTGCGCGAGCTCATTGCCTCGGGCGTCATTGGCGAGGTCTCGACCGTGCACATGGACTGGATCCTGGACTGCGCGCATGGCTCCGACTTTATGCGCCGCTGGCACCGCGACAAGGCCAACAGCGGCGGCATCCAGATGCACAAGTCCATCCACCACTTTGACCTGGTGCACTTTTGGCTCGGCACGGAGCCCGAGACGGTGTACTGCGTAGGCGGCCTGCGCTTCTACGGCAAGGAGAACGCCGAGGCCCGTGGCGTCGCCAACCTGGGTGAGCGCTACCTCAACAACGAGGCCGCCAAGGAAGATCCCTTTGCCTTTGACATTGGTGCCAGCCCCCGCCTCAAGAAGCTGTACCTGGACGCCGAGCACGAGGACGGCTACATTCGCGACCGCAACTGCTTCACCGAGGGCATCACCATCGAAGACACGCTGTCCATGATTGTCACCTACAAGAACCGCGCCACCATGACGTACAACACGTATGCATTCGCTCCGTGGGAGGGCTACCGGTGTGTCTTCAACGGCACCAAGGGCCGGTTGGAGATTAACGTCTTTGAGACGGGCTACTCGGCCGCCGGCGACCCGATTGCCAGCAAGGTCATTGAGCAGCAGCGCGACTACGTGCAGGGCGGTGTCGAAGAGACCAAGATTATCGTCTATCCGCTCTTCGCAGAGCCGTACGCGGTCGACGTTGTCAAGGCCGAGGGTGGCCACGGTGGTGGCGACCCAGTGCTGCTACGCGATGTCCTGGTTGGCGACAAGGAGGACGAGTTCAAGCGCGCCGCGTTCATCCGCGATGGCGGAAACGCCGTGCTCGTTGGTGTGGGTGCCAATATCTCCATGGAGAGCGGCGCCCCGGTCAAGATCCAGGAACTTGTGAAGTGGTAAGCGTTCACAGGAGCGCCACTATAATAGTGAGACATCTCCAACACATGAAAAAAGAAAAACAAACATGGCATTTAGAATAGACTGGATAACCAGGTTTGGACATCAAGTTATCATAATGGAACGGAAGGGGCTACAAAGAACAGACAGACATGAATGCTACCACTGAAACTGAATCACTCCCATGTCTATGATAGTCCTTGTAACAATATATCACTTCAGTATGGGACATTTTCGATCCAACTACCGACATACATATGGTTTGCAGTGGTGAGCACCAATGGAGGTTAGGCTAATATGCAGCTTCCTCATCAACAACATATATATGCCCAATCGGGTAATTTAAGCTATGGATCTATTTTTGTGCCGTTACATATTGCCACGTGAACGGAACGTTCCTTGGTGGGAGCAGCCAAGTAAGTGTGCGATACAGCAGAGGCAACAATGTCCAGATATAAAAAGAGGCTGAAGCCACTGGTCCTTGTCTGTACTTTGTGCGCTGGCTATCACAGCATTTTTATCACAGCCTTGCGTCGTTTTCAGCTAACAATATGAAGCAACTCTCTCCCCTATTATTCTTGGCGGCAACCGCCCAAGCCCACTGTACAGTCTCCGTCATACGGGCTCCCATCAAAATGCAACGGCAATCCGACTAACACCTTCATTGTTTAGACCGCTTCTCCAAGCTCATCGTCGACGGCGTTGCCGAGGCCAAGGAGTGGACCACCATCCGCCAGACCAAAAACTACCAAGACGACCACGGCGTCACTGATGTCGGCAGCACCGACATCCGCTGTTTTCAGATGAAGACGGGTACCGGCTTTGCCACGGTGGCCGCCGGCGGCAACCTCGGCTTCATTGCCGATCAGACCGTCTCGCACCCGGGTCCGGTGCAGTTTTACATGGCGCGTGTGCCTGAGGGCCGTGACCTCAATACATGGGAGGCGGCCGGCAACGTCTGGTTCAAGGTGGCCAGCATCGGCGCCGTGGCGGGCACGACTGGCAAAGCACTGGTCTGGCCGACGTACCACGCACGGTCCGTCAACTTCACGGTGCCAACAACGCTGCCCAGTGGCAACTACCTGGTGCGCGTTGAGAGCATCGCCCTGCACCAGGCACAGTCGGCCGGAGGGGCCCAATTTTATCTGGCATGCGCGCAGGTCAAAGTGACGGGCGGCGGATCGGGCACGCCGTCACCACTGGTGGCCTTTCCAGGCGTGTACCGGTCAGGCGAGGCGGGACTGCTGTTTGCCAACTATCCGGTGCCGACAAGCTACACGCCGCCAGGTCCTGCTGTGTGGCCGACGGTGTAGGAGAGCAAGGGAGGGGATGAGATTAGATGGTCAACGCTTTAATGATCAGACTTTCCTATGGCGCAGTTCATTCGTTGCGGAATATCGTGCAAATACATACGTCAATAAATGTGTTCAAATGAGATCATAGTTCAAAGCAATTAATAACTCTTTAATACCTTATTAAAGAAACTATTTTAGAAAAAGATTAAGCAACTCATAACCTACAAAATTAAATCGGGCATAAATGACATATATTGTCTCAGCCTTATGCGATACATCTTTATCTCAGCCACTGCCCCGACCGCACAGAGAAACGTAAACAGATCACGTTCACAGCATCACAACAGCACTGCAACACTGCGGGCGAATGGGTCAGCCGAAAGCTCAAGTCATGCGCACCCACCAAGCGTTTAACTTGGCCCTTTTAACATTCCAGCGTCTTGCAGGGCATTTGACAGAGAATGCAAGAAACGCATGAACTTGCCATTGCTCGAAGAAGGCGCCGACAGAGAATGTAAGGCGTCGATTTTGGCAGGCGACAGCATCCTTGGCAGCTGCTGACTCACGATCACGACAACCACTAACCGTTCTGGCATTAATACGCTGTGCCCACTACCAACGTGCCGAATTGTGGAGGTGGAGCCCTGTTTGACACCCTATTGCGTAGCAAACAAGAGGGGAAGCTGCCCCGCGTAGCGCGTGCCTTCCACCAAACGGCGAAACATCAATGCCAAGGACGCACACGGCAGCGGCATAATTGTGTGTGTCCCACGTTCCGAGAATGGCCGAAGACAGAGAACAAAGGCAACGCTTTTGACTAGCCCATCGATCGCACCTGCCTACTTCTCTCGTCGTCAACGAGCGGGCAAGAGCAACGAAAAACGAACGAATCGAGCGAATCATAATTAACAAATACCGAGATTGGGAAAGCCCTCAATCACACATAACACACACCTGCATGCGAAAGTGCTGCGCGCTTTTCATTATCTCTCGCGCCTTCGGTCTTGAACGTGCATGATCATTTTGTCTTATCACGCCACAAGGCGATTATTGTCCATTCGCCGCGGCCTGCATCTACACCTGTCAGCACTCACGAAGCCGCTCCTTGCCTCCTTTCAACGGACATCAATCGACGTAACACAACGACGAGACGACGGCGACTGCGACGACCGAAACAACCCCAAGGACGGTCGACATCGCATCAATACCGTTCCAGGACGCGCAGCGCGTTGTCAAGTGCGACCCACCACTATCCCACGACGCAGACTCTCCCCGCGGGCGTGGAGGGACAACGACAACCTCCATTTCTATATATTCCAATGTCCCAGCAAACACCCGCACCCGCCATGCCGTCTTCCCAACGTCCATTCTTCCTCTCATCCTTTTTCGCTGCCTTCCGCCAGCAGCCCACCTCGGCGTCGTCGCTCTCTTCCTCTGCGGCCGCCGTCCAGCAGGCCGCCAGCAAACACACGGCGGCTGGCGGCAACTCGTCCGATATCGTTGCGGCGGTCTCGGCGGCATCCTCCGCGACATCACCTGGCGCCTCGTCGTCCTCCTCCTCCATAGCTGCGGCTGGCGGCACTGCCTCGGCTTCTACCTCGACGTCCCTGGCGACAGCCGCCGGCAGCACCACAACGCCCTCCGCCTCCAACACGCTGGCGGCATCGAATGGCTCCAGCACCAACTCGCGCTCGATCGCCTCCTCGGCAGCGGCGGTGGCGGCTGCCGCCCTGACGGCCTCGCAACGCCTACACTCGTCTCGCTCGCCGCACCACCACCATGCGCACCACCATCACCACCATCATCACCACCACCATGCACACAACAGCACGGGCACCTCGGCCGTCCCGATTCCAAACAGTGGGTCTGGTAGCCATCAACAACCACAACAAAACAGCGGCTCCAACCACGGCAGTTTCACGGAAGAGCCGTACTATGCCAATGGCTACTCGGGCTCCGGCACCAGGACCGGCACACCGACAGCCACGGCTACATCCACGTCTACGACCGTCGTCGCCGCCACGGGCCGCCGGCGCGGCAGCGACAGCAGCAGCGAAGGCTTTCGCGAGGTGCTGGGCGCGGACAAGTGGTACATTGGCGGGCGGACGGCGGCGGGCGAGGAGCGGTTCTTCAAGCTGGGCGTGGTGCGGCGGGTACGGAGCAACGACCGGCTGAGCCTGGACCGGTTAAGCTTATGAGCTGGACGGCGACAGCGTTGATTTTTATTTTGAATTTTGAAATTATGAAAGAAACGATAAACGACAAAAATACGGACAGATACGCGAGTCTGAGATAAGGGCCCGACGAGATCTCATTTTCCATCATAGGCGTTGTTTTTTTGCATCATCATTTGGACTTTGGACTTTGGATTTGGCTATGCACATTCGGTTTGGCTGCTTGACAAATTGTGCTTTATTTTGGCGTTTTTGGCGGCAATATCAACCCATTTCAAGAGGATTACTGCTCACAGATCACAGAGCTACGGATCATGTTCATGCATTTTTAGTACATTGTTGTGTGCCAAACACTCGCTTGGCATGGTTTTGAATATGACTTACTATTTTACAAAAATTATTTAGTGGCGCTCCACTCTCACCGGCTACCACATAAACCGCTGCAGACGGCCTTCGTCGAGAAGACTGCCGTCCGGTCCCCGCCACACATACGGCCGGAACAAGAACACCCACATGGTGGCCACGTTGATCGCCACAAACCACGCCGTCTCGAAGAACAGTCGGGCGTCCACTTTGCCCAGGAGGGAGGCAAGGACAGTCTTCTTGTCGTTGCTCGCTGCTTTGGGGGCGGGGGCGGCCGCCGGCACAAGCAGCCGCCAAAACACCCACGGCAGAATAAAGTAGCGCGGCTCCACGAGCGGCGCCGTCACCAGCGACAGCGACGTGGCCAGCAGCCAGAGAAGGGCCGTCGATGTCGTGGGGCCTGTGCGCGACGCGGTGGCCGCGCCGTCCTCGTCCTCGTCCAAGAAACTCAAGAAGACGGCCGGCGGGCCCGTCTCCTGCATGGCAACATCGGCGGCGGGCGCTTCGTGGTCTCCCTCCGTCCCGGCCTTCTTTCCCTTTTTCGACTTCTTGGCCTCCTTGGCCTCCTTGGCCTTCTCCTTGCGCTGGCGCGCAGTCAGCTTCTTGTTGTCGACGGCGGACGACGTGGCGTCGTTGTTCTCCTCGCCCTCCTTGCCGTCCACGCCCTCCACGTCATCGTCCGGAATGATCGACTGGCCCGAGGCAAAGGGCGAGCTAATGTACTCGCCTGCCGCGGCTTCGTCAAGGCTGCTGCGAGCAGCACCCAGGCCCAGCCACAGGATCCGCCAGCACGCCCAGCCGGTCAGCGCATACACCGGCACCAGCGCGTACCGCACGACGATGCTGCGGCGGATCGTGTAGCGGAAGACGTAGAACATGTAGTGGCGGTTGTCGGCGAGCGTAAAGGGGTGGATCAGGGTGTTGAAGTAGACGACGGCCATCATGGCGTCAAAGACGACCACGAGATACACGGGGTAGTAGGCCTTGTTGACAAAGACGACGTGCAGCAGACGCAGCAGCTTGTGCGTGCTGGTGTTTGCATCGCCGTTGGGGAACGCGGCGTGGGACAGGGGTGGCGCCACCTCGGCCTCCTGGGAGCCCTTGTCGTCCTCGTCACCAACATGCTTGCCTCCCGCGACCGCCTTCCATGCCACAGACAGATAGTAGGCGGCATGCGTGACAAACAGCGGCGCCGAGAAAAAGGCCAGCAGCGGCCACAGGTAGAGCAGCTGCGCCGCATGAAGCGTGGCGACGTGGTTGGCCTTGTCGCCCAGCACGACGCCGCCGTTCCACACGACAAACTGGCCAAAGCCCAGGACGACGGCGGCGTACGGCCACGCGCGCCGCAGCACCACCAGCGAGTTGCTGACGGCGGCGACCGCCACGCTCACCAGCGACAGCACCCAGTCGTCGGGCCACGCGTTGGCCAGGGACGGGTCGTGCACGTCGCCCAGCGAGTAGCGCCAGGCATACAGACGCACCATGCCGGCAAACGAGTCGAACGTCGGGGGCTGGGCGGCCCGCAGAGCGGCGCGGTGGGCCGGCAGGTCGCGCACCGTTTTGGCGGCCTGCACAATCTCGAGGCCGCCGAGGTACACCACGACCCAGACGACATTGGTCTGGCGCATGACGAGCGCGGCGAAGCCGGCCACGACGGCCAGCAGGTCGCTCCAGGCGGGCACGTCCTCGTTGGCGGGCACGCTGACGCGGAACAGGTGCAGGCGGTAGGCGAGCAGCACGAACAAGGTCGAGTAGACATCGGTGTAGTACAGCGCCGAGAAGAAGAAGAGGGCGGGGAAGAGGGCGACGTTGAGGCCGGTGTGGTAGGCAAACAGGGACAGCAAACTGGTGGTCGCCGCCGGCGTCGTCTTGCCTCCATGGCGGCGGCGGTGGCGGCTGTGGTGCTGCTGCTCGAGCGCCGAACGGCACGAGCTCGCGGCGACGGCCACCAGCATAATGGCGACGCTGTTGGCGCCGCGCAGGGCCCAGATGTGGCAGCCGTCCTGGACGCCGCTCCACATGGCCTCGAGGGCCACGGACACCAGGTACAGCCCCGGCGGCGTCGTGATCTTGTCGTCCCAGTCGTACCACTGCCGGGCGCAGTACTTTTGCGCCTGCGGCACGTGGAAGAACTCGTCGAGGTACGGCTCGGGCACAAGGGCCAGCACGCGGGCCAGCCAGGCCTTGGTGAACATGAACAGCAGCGACGCGCCGGCCATGAACAGCAGGGGGCGTCCCCGGCTAACAGGCGACGCTGCGGCGTCAGTGGGTGGCGCCGCCGTCTGGGCCGGCGTTTCGGCCGGCGTTTCCGGTGACGCATTGGCGGCGTCCGTGGCCGCTTCGGTGCCCCATTCTTTGGCCGCCTTGGCAGCGGCTTGCAGCTTGGCCGCGCCCTCGGCCAGCGCATTGGTGTCAGCGACAGGCTTGCCGCGGCGCTGGCGGAAGCTCGTGCCTAGCACAAAGGCCTGCCACGCAAGCCACGGCACGACAAAGACGGCCGAGGCCAGGAAGGCTTTGAGCTTGGGGTCGTCAATGGTCGTTGCGTTCGCGGCCACAAGGCCGGGCGCGTTGTCGGTCATCTTGGCATCAGTGTATCAACGAGAGGATGCGGATATGTTAGAAAAAATAGCAAGGGAAGAGAATGCCAAGAACCGAGTGACGGGGATGCTCTTTAAAAGGACACACGACACTTGAGAAAGCTGTGGCCTGTGTGTGATTTTTTAGGAGCTGGCTGAAGCTTAGGTGGATTTGCGCGGGCCGCGACGCGAATAAGAAGCAGTACTGGGCGCCACGTGTTTCCGCTTTGCGCCGAGCCCCATACAAAGATGACAGAACCCCTTTCCACAACGAACAAATACGTACACAGCTCGACGGCGACATCCGTTTTCTGAAAAGCTTGTTTATTCGTTAAGAAGGGGTTGAAACGAATGTCAGATTATTCATACACTACAAGATTTGAACATAAAAAAATGTCTATTATAAAGTTTCTACTTTCTTTGTACAGAACACCAATTCTACATCACATGCACTCTGGCCGCAGTTGCCAATTCGTGAGGCAACGCAGCCAGGGCCTGGTCTTCCTCCACCCAATTAATGCATGCTATTTAGAAGGGCTGTATGTGGTTAGTAAATAATAAGAGCCGTCCAGAGGGACATGTCTCAAAGCAGAGAGTGGAAAACACGTACAGAGTCGGCAGGGTGCGTCGTCTTGACAAAGTAGGGGCCGATCAGAGGGATCTTCTGCATGAATGTTAGCGACAGTTCATTGTCGTCATTTCGTCAGCCCGTGTCTGTCGATGGAAGGCGGCGTACCTGGAGGATGTCTTTCTGTACCCGCGGGATGCCCGAGGCGTAGAAGAGCGCGGCGACGCCGAGAGCACCGGCAATGGGGCCAGCAACGGACACACTGGTGCTTGTTAGTTGGTGTTCAGGACAAAAGAAATCAAATTGGAAGCAACCGCATCGCCCCCAACCGCAAACACCCCTGCACGGCTGCACTGATCCTCCAACGTCGGGTTCGTCTCCTCTGTCTCCCCCCATCCTCCCCGGCCTCCATTGTCGCCGTAGCGTTGACACAGATGGGGAATAAACTCACTAGCGGAACACCGTCTTGACAGTGATACCCTTGTAGTTGGACGAGTAGTGGTACCTGGGGATGCCGTTAGTTTTGTTGTTCAGGAACAGCTCGCCCGCGCTGCCAATCCGAATATAGCCCTGTCTCGTCCTACTCCCGCCAGCGGTCCGCACGTCCACTTCGAGTTGATCATTGGGCCATCAATTCGGTCGACGGCCGGAAGTACATCGTAGGACGAGACACGGTTTCGATCGGTGCTAAGTCGTCGCATCGGCAGGAATAGACAACAGGAGATGCTGCTTACTTCGGGCCGAACTGGCTCCGGAAATCGGCACGCATGACGGGGGTCTGCAACAAGAATATTAGCTTTTGTGTCTGGCGTTCAATGTGACCGTCTCGGCATCTCGCGATCTTTCGTGCTGCGGCGGGCTCAAGGCGGAGGCGCTGGCTGAGAGGCCATGTGCGTCCAGGCGAAAAGTCGAGAGGAAACATACAGCGAACGGCATTGTGACGGGATGTGTGGCCAAACCGCGGCGTGGAAGGTCAATTGGTATCGGTGTCGTGGAGGTTGTGGGGGGAATTGACGTCGTGATCGTACCGGCTGCGAGATTTTGGGTTTTTGCCTTCACGCTGTTGGCGGACAAAGCCGGGCAGTGGGAAACAGTGCAAAATTACGGCCTGAGGCTTGATTTCTCGCATTCAACAGCCAATCAAAGAGCTCAGTTTCAAAGCTTCAGAGTCGAAACGACTAGTCCAATTTGGGAAGTACAACAGACTTCAAAGTGGGTCTCCGAATCAATGCGTGCAGGACCTCAACGCGCCATGGAGCTCTCTCACACGCAAACCAAGCGTGCATCGCCAGGCTCGAGAACGCATCCGGTCGCCGGCTTTTGCATTCGTTGACGCGCACCTTTGCCGCCGCCATGGACAAGTTCATCGATGTCCGCTTCGACCGAGTCGAAAAGGCACTGGTCACCCTCATCGACTCCATTGCCAAGTACAACCCGTCGCCTGCGCTCGCCGAGGACCTGCTGGCCGCCGACCGTGAGCTCAACAGCGGTCTCGAGCAGCTGCAAACACACCAGAACAACTATCTGCGCATTCTGGCACTGCGCGACGACGTCGCTGCCCTCGATGGCCAGATCAAGTCGACACTGCTGGCGCTGGCCGCCAGCCGCCGCGACATCCTGCAGACGCCAGCGACCGAGTTCCCCGAAGACAGCGTCAACCGCACGATCCGCGACGAGACGAAGCACTACCCGTTTACGTACGACGAGCTCATGTCGTATGCGCGGCGGATCAGCCGCAACACGGTACCGGGGCCGGGGCAGACGGACGGTTCCGAGTTCTTTGCACAGTTTGGCGGGCCAATACCAGCCCCCGGCGCCGGCGACGGAGGATCGGCACCCGAAACGGCAGCGCCGACACCAGCCGCGGCGCTCACGCCAGGAGCAATTCCGGCAGGTCCTGCTTCGGCTGGTGTGAACGGCGCGGTCGGGACACCCGTGGGTGGCGGCGGTGCACCAGCGTCGCAGTCGGGGACGCCAGGCGGCGCTGGGGGAACGGGTCCCGGTACCGGAACGGGGACAGCAGCACCGACGCCAGCACCCTTTGCAAGCAGCGGCGGTGCTCCGCCGCCAGCAACAAACGTGCCCAACGTTCTGCCCGACGACCTCAAGAACTACATTGCACCCACGGCCGGCACAGTCTTCTCACCGTGGCCGGCACCCGATCTCATGATGCACGGTGGGCTTCGAGCACTGCATGCCGCGACAGAAAGTGCGTGCCGCGATAAACACATCGCATTGCCACATCTACAAGAACCACCATCAAAAACGCAGACACAAGCACAAACACAAGCACAACCTTCCGCACCACCACCACTACGCATCCGGTTTGTCAGTCTCGAAGAGCAAGAGGAACAGGAGCGCTTGCGGGCACAACGCGAAGCCGAGGAGCGCGAAGAGCGCGAAGAACGGCAGCGGCAGATGGAGGAGGCGGCTGCGGCTGCTGGTGTTGGTGCTGGTGCACATGCAAGCTCGAACATGGGCGGCAGCTACGGCCACGCGCCAGCAGCAGCGCCTGCACCAGCCCAGTTTGCCAGCACGCTGGACATGGAGGATGACGATTAGAGTGTTGTTCGAGGTGAATTCAGTTGACATGGGCCAGGAAGGGATGGGCTTGGACGATTGTCGGTTGGCAAGGAGTTTGATGAAAGGAAGCAACAATACCCAATGTATTTCTAAAACAAAATCTATAAGCAGATGTAAAACTATGTACAGCGTCGTACGCAAGAAATTCACGACACATTATCGCTCGCACATTCAATCGCCAGCACCCGAGACTATGCACCCTGCGCGAACTTGAGGAACGCCCGCGCGATTGCCTCGCCGTCGTGCTTGTCGTCCACGACGTCGATGCCCTTCTGGTACACGTCGTCCGACAGCACGCCCATGGCGTGCCGCGCCTCCAGAATCTCCCGCACAATCGGGCCCGTGAACTCGGGGTGGCCCTGTACCGTCACCGCCCGCCCGGGCAGCAGCATGCCCTGCACCGCGCACACGTCCGTCGACGCCAGCGGCACCGCCCCTGCGGGATACTCGACCACAATGTCGCGGTGCATCTGCTGGATGGCCAGGCGGCCATGATCGGCCGCGCGCAGCTCGCTGCCAAAGAACGCCGCGCCCTCGGGCGACAGCGCCACGTCCGTCACGCTGACCTCCCAGCCCTTGGCGCCCTTGGTGACGGGCGCGCCGAGGGCCCGGCCGATGATCTGGTGGCCGAAGCAGATGCCGAGCATGCGCACCGGGTGGACGCCGGCGGCCATGGCTTCGGGCGTTGTCGTGGCCAGGGTGCGCTGGGTGAAGGCGACCAGCGCCTGGATCCAGGGCGTGTTGTCAAAGGCCGTGTGCTTGGAGCCGGTGATGAGGACGACGTCGACGTGCGCGAGGTCGGGGTAGGCCGACTCGAAGCCGTCGGCGACAACGTCGTGCGTGGTGATGGCGAGGACCGATTCGAGGGACGCGCCCGAGGGAGCCACAGCGCGGCGGAACAGGTCGATGAAGACGCCGCCATAGGTGCCGTACGTGGCGGCGGTCTTGGGGAGCGGCGTATCAGCCATGAGGATGGCCATGCGCAATGGCGCGCTCGCAGCGTTGGAGCCCATGTTCGGTGCGTCGAGGGGAGAGGAGAGTGCTGGATGGGTAGATCGTAGGTCGCAGTACGGTTGCTGGAGGGTGTTGATTAGGTCGTGACAGATGAAATGTACGGAGGACGTCGTGGAAAGTTAATAAACCCTTGAGATATGTTCCCGTATCATAGTAGGCGCCGTGGAAGGGCCTCGACTCATGCCAACAGGCGGGGTGGAATCAGCTAGACGCCGTCTATCGGCCGTGGCGACAGTGTGCCCCTAGACCGCCTGCTGTAATTACGAACTACTATTAGGCCTTTAGCGGCGTGCCGCCTTGCCTAGTTTGTCAATTGCAGCCGACGACCGCTGTCCCAGGCGGGGAGCCTCTCCAATGACGTCTGCAGCCGACGTTCGCTAGTGGAAACGGCCCGTGAAAAATACAGCTTCATAAACATTCTCTCTCGGCCACGACACGTAATTACACAACAAACGTCCACAAGTCCACGAACAATCACAATGGTCCCCCGGTCTCTCGGGGCGTTCTTAAAAGCGGCTCGCTCGGCATTGACCGCCCCCGCCAGCCAGCGACCGAAGCCGCTGACCATTGTCATTGGCAACGAGAGTGCAGGTGAGCGCAGCCTTGTCCTCTCCGCTCCTTTTATCAAACTCCCTCGCAGCTCCTAACAAAGACTTTTCTAGACCTCGACTCGCTCTGCTCGGCCGTTTTGCTTGCCTACTTCCGCTCCCACACACCGCCGCACAATGCCTCCCTTCACGTGCCGCTGTGCAACCTGCCCCGCGCCGATCTCGTCCTCCGCCCCGAATTGCAAGCTGCTCTAGCCGGCTCCAGCCCTGTCCCCAAAGCCGCGTCTGGCTCTCGTCCGATTCCAGGGGCGCACGGTGGTGTACCACTGGACAGTCTTATCACGCTGTCCGAGCTTCCCGACGACCTCACGGCAGACGACACCGAGTGGCTGCTCGTCGACCACAATGCCCTGACCGGCGACTTGGCTGCGCGTTTCCAGAGCAGTGTTGCGGGCTGCATTGACCACCATGTCGATGAGGGTGTGGTCCCGGCTGCTGATGACAAAGGCGCCTTCCCGCGGATCATTGAGACCTGTGGCAGCTGTGCGAGTCTCGTTGTGGACTACGCCCATGATGCCTGGCGGCAGCTTGCCGAACAGGAGCCCGACCAGGCGACAGACCGGGTGTTGGCACGCCTCGCCCTGGCACCGATCCTGGTGGACACGTCTAATCTCAAGTCGGCCACCAAGACGGTCGAAACGGATCGGCGGTCCGCGGCCGTGGCCGAGGGTGTTCTGGGCGTGAGCAACGGCGGCGGCAAGGGACCGTTCAACGCCTCCTACGAGACCAATTCCCACTTCGACCGCACAGCCTACTACGAGGAGCTCTCGCGGCTCAAGAACGACATATCGACGTTTAGCTACAGCGATGTTCTGCGCAAGGACTACAAGCAGTGGCGTGAAACGACTGACAGCGGCGGCAGCCTGACTGTCGGCTTCTCCACAATCTCTCAGGGAATTGGATATGTTCTGAAGAACATTGGCGACCGCGACGCCCTGGTCGCCGGCCTAAAGACGCATGCCAAAGAGAGAAACCTGGACATTGCCGTCATCATGACTGTGCAGCACGACGAGGGTGGTTTTGCACGCCAACTATTGTTGTGGGCCTTGAATGACCCAGCGGTAAAGGCCGCAAAGGGTTTTGTGCAGGCGAACTCGGAGAAACTTGACTTGAAGCCGTGGGGCGACGGCCTACTCGACGGCGCCGAGGAAGATGGTCAGTGGCGGGCGTGCTGGACACACCGCACCGAGTTCAGTCGCAAACAGATGGCTCCTTTGCTGCGAGATGCGATGAAGTCTTCATAGCTGTGGCGTAGAAACAAAACTAAGCGAGGTACGCCCAGACCAAATTTTAGAAGACCACTTTCGTACGTGCTGGTTCACAAGCCGTCTCATCAATGGCATCTAAGACGGCCTGCGCCGTCGTGAATTCGCCTGCCCAGCACCCGGCAATCACGGCGCCGAGGGGAAGCCCAGTTGTGTCAGGATGCTTGCCCTCGCGCATCAGCTCATCCGCCTTGCCGTCAAATCCATATTCGGCCTCATACGCCTTTTCCTCCTTCCAGTGCGGAATGCGAGACGTGACAATCTCGTACAGAGTTGACCCGAGAGCATGCAGCTCCCCTGCGACGGTGCCCTGCATTTCGTCTTTGGGGTGTCGGAACCCCGACTGCGCCCACACTTCGGGCCGTTCACCGTCGATGCCCGATCCGGCAAAGTCGCACAGGCACACGGAGCGGTCTCTCCTCAGCAAAACATTGCGGTTGCCCAGGTCGCCCTGGATGACGCCCTTGCTGTGGATGTACGCGACAGCGCCCGTCACTTGGCGGCACCACTGCACACGCTCGGCCTCCGAGACCTGTTGGCCCTCTTCGGTCTCTGAGAAATAGAGCCGCAGCGCGCTGTGTTCGGCGCGTTCGAGGATAATCCGGCCGCCGCGGTCGTTGTCTTCCATGCGAATGCAGCGTACAATGTGCGGGTGGCGGCCGTGCTCCTGGTCGGCGCCGAGGCGTTTCAGGATGCGCATCTCTCCTTGCAGGCGCGCAACATACTCCTTTTCTTCAAATGGTAGTTTGGCAACAATCGTGGGGTCGTCAACAAACTCGTAGACCGCGCCAGTGCTACCAAACTGGAGAAGGCTGCAACCTTCTGGGCGGCGAACGCCGCGTGAGTGTGTCGTGGCAGTGGCCATGATGACAAGTGAAAGTGGCTATTGCAATGGATACAACGTTGATGATCGGCGCTGATAGGTGCGTTTCAAGGCATATGCCAGGGATGTAATGGTGCGCAGAACGGTATATTAAGTAAACATGGCAGTGTCAGAGGTTTCAACAGGAAACTGGATCTCTGTAATTTGGTGTACTAAGTGAAAAATAGAAAACATTGGAGATGTGCGGGTTATCACAAAACCGTGGCACCGGGCGGTGTGACGAGAGCTGCATAAGCCAAGTAAGGGGACGTGCGTGAAACAATTTGGCGAATGGAGATGTGGCGCGCAGATGCGGTAAAAGTGGGGCGTTGACATTGGATTTGTTTACGGGGGAATACAACCTATTTGTTGACCAAAGCCAACTCATCGACAACATGCCGTTTCCGCCAGCCTACAAAACACAAAATGCACCACTGCCTCGATGGTTGCTGCAACAAAAAAGCATGGCCTCGCGGTGGACAGCACGCCCGCGAAGCGCGCCCGGCGAACGAATGCAGCAGCAGACATAAAACGGCCGGCGGCTACAAACAGAGCACGGAAACGGGACACGCACGCGCGACGAGGGCGTGTGCCAAGCACACCGGGCACGTTGAACTCGCCACCGACAGTGGTACTCGACGTGCTCGTGTTCGGTGACGGCGAGGCCGGCGAGCTGGGACTGGGCCCTCATGTCACCGGCGCCGACAGCCCCACGCTGAACCCGTTTCTGAGCGCTTCCACGACGACGACGGGCGCGACGCCGGCCTTTGATACGGTGCAGGTGGCCTGCGGCGGCATGCACTCGGTGGCGCTGACCCGCGACAACCTGATTGTGACCTGGGGCGTGAACGACCTCGGCGCGCTCGGCCGCGACACGTCCTGGGACGGCGGCTTCAGAACGATCAGCGCAGCCGGAGACGGTAGTGGTGGCGATGACAGTAGCGATACCAGCGACGACGAGACACTTAACCCGCGCGAGTCGACCCCAACCGCCATCCCGTCGACGGCCTTTCCCGAGGGCACCCGCTTTGTCCAGGTGGCCGCCGGCGACAACTGTTCCTTTGCCCTGACGGACGCCGGCGCCGTCTACGGCTGGGGCGCCTTCCGTGCACCCAACGGCGAGACGTTCTTTTCCGCGGACCGCGCAGGTGGCGCAGCCAGTCAGTTGGGGTTTCAGCGCACGCCGGTACGCGTCCCGGGATTGCAAGGCATTACGCAGCTGGCCGTCGGCGCGAACCATGCGCTGGCGCTGGAGGGGCGCGCCAGCACTCAGTCGGCACAACCAACACAGCGGACACGGCCGCAGACCCGCCTCTGGACCTGGGGCTGCGGCGACCAGAACCAGCTCGGCTGTCGGCTGTTGACGCGCCACGGCATACGCGACCCGCGGGGCCATGCGTTAATCGGCTCGGGCGTGCCACGGATGGTCGCGCTCCAGCACGCCGGTAGCCTCGCCTTGGTCGCCTCCGGCGAGTACCACTCCTTTGCCGTCGGCACCGACGGCCGCGTCTGGGCCTGGGGCCTCAACTCGTTTGGCCAGACGGGCGCCGAGCCAGACATTGTACGGAATCCCAACGACGACAACGCAGAGCTGTCCGTCGCCGTACCGACCGAGGTCACGGCGCTCGCCCACACAGGAGTCGTTGCCCTTGCCGGCGGCGGCCAGCACTCGGTGGCTCTGAGCGCCGACGGCCGTTGCCTGGTGTGGGGACGCGTCGACAGCGGGCAGCTGGGGCTGGACCTGGCGGCGGTCGCGCAAGACCGGCTCCTAGCGGACGCGCGGGGCCGCATACGCGCCTGTCTGGTACCGACCGATATCCATCTCAGCATCGACGGTGGCCCCCAGGCCAATGCCCTGGCGACGGCGTGTGGTACCGGGCACACGCTGATCGTCACGTCGGCCGCCGGGCGCGCTGGACACGCCGCCGTGTTTGGCACCGGCTTCAATGCTCAGATGCAGCTGGGCCTCGGCGCTGGCGCCGACGAGGAAGTGGCCGTCCCCACGCGTCTCGAGAGCGAGGCCTTACAGGAGAGGTATTTGACCTGGGCCGGCGCCGGCGGGCAGTTTTCGATGGTGGCTGGGCCGAGGCGCGCCGTTGGTGCGTTAGCTCGTGCGGCACGGTGATCTAGATTAGATTTGTGGGTTGTTTTATAACGGGACGGGCAAGTGTACGAGAAATAAGAAGGGCTTATTAGGAACCTTAGAAAAAGGGGACCACAAGTTCGCGACGTCGCAGGCCGTTTAGAGTTCTTTGGAAGGTCTCATTCTGTGGCGAGGTTGTCATTGCGAATTCTAAGGGCCTGGTCAGGTAATTATACTTTATGTGCAGGATGCAGTTGGCGTTTACTGTTATTGAGCGGTAGTTTAGCATCGCCAGCTAGAACGTCAATTTTCACAACGTCGTCATACAGGAAAAGCTGTCGGTCATGTACGGCTTTATTAAAGAATTTTTGAAAAGCAAACGATTTTGAAATTTTCAAGAACTATTTTCTTTTTTACGAAACAAATAAATAACTGAATAGTATGAAATTAAATACGGATAAAAAAATGTAACAGAATCAAAGTACTAGGGAACTAACATATTTAAAAGAATACATTCAAGGACGATAAAATAATATGTAGTTATAACAAGATACAAAGACGTCACCATTCTGTGCTAAATTCAAATGTTAATAACAAAAAAAAAAAAAAAAACGTACAACAACGGGTATTCGCTGGTCGTCACCGACCCAACTACTAATCCGCCGATTACACTTTAAATTAGTATGCCGTTACCGAATAGCCTAGTTCAGGCCTGCCCCGACGCCAAGTTCCAGCCTTGAAAACAGCCCTTTTAAGTATATATGACGGAAAGCGTAAGTACTTTTTTAACGTTTATAAGTACTCTTTTACGAAAACCGAGAAGGAAATCGAAAACTAAAAACCGAATCTTAAATCTTGTTAGTTAAAGTAAACTATAAAAATGTAAATTATAAAACGGTAGTTTTTTAAAAATAAATAACGTATATAATTTTTTTAATTAAAGACTTTTTTTTTTAGATTTTTATATTAATAATAATATAAATTTAAAAGTTTTTAAGTACGTTTAAACGGTGTTTAACGTTATAAAAAAACTACTTTATAAAACCGTTTTTTTTATTAAAGAATTATAATAAACTTAAGTTTACGGTAACGACGATAAAAAAACGAGACTAGACTACTCCGATAATTATAAGTTATCGATTATTAAAGTTTAATAACGTTAGTAAAGTTTTTACGAGTTTATACGTTTTTTCGATTAAAAGTTTATATTAAAAGGTATTAATTTTAAAAATAAGGGTTTTATTAATAGTTTTATTAAGTATATTATAAAAAAAGACGGTAATAAGATTAAAACGTAATCGATAATTAACTTATATATACGTTATTATTATATAGTTTATTAAAAGTATACGGGATAAAATATTAACGAGTGTTTTTTAAAGTATATTAAAGTAACTATTATTAAGTATACGTATTTTCGGGTTTAACCGTTAAAAAAGTATTTTATTAAACTTAATACTTTTTTTTACTTAACTTACTTTCGTTAAGTTTAAAATAATAAAACCGTCTTTTATATTAAACTTAACCGGTTTAATAATACTACTTTTCGGTAATTATAAATATTTATAAACGTTCGAATTTATAAATTCGTATTCGTAAATATAACGGATTTATTTACTTTTATATACGATTATTATAATAAAAACGATTATTACGGAGACGATACGTATATTAATATCTTTTTATCGTAGTATAAACTTTACTCTTTTTATAATAAACCGGATAATAAAACGACGACGGTAATAAAAGTTTTTTATTAAAAAGATATTAAGTTATAAATTTTATAAGACTTATATAAAAAAGAGAGTAAAGACCGTTTAACCTTAATAATTATATATCGTTTTTATAAAGATTATAAACGGTACTTAAAACTAACTAAATTTATTTTTATTAAAAAAGATCTCCTCGTTATTTATTTTATATTTTATATCCTTATTAAAGTTATCGTTAAAAGTATTATTAAAAACGAGAAATTTTAATAGACCGAATAATTTTTTTAGACTCGGTTTACTTTAAAAGGATTAAAAGTCGATTAAAAGGATAAATTTTTTCACTTACTTATCTTTTAACGAATTATAAAGTGTATAAAAGGTTTTATTAAATTAAATAGTCCGTTAATACGGTATTAGTACGATAAAACGACGAAGAATCTTAAGTGGGTAACGGGGTTTTTTAACGACTTATATAGTTACGATATACGGTGTAAATTAATATCCGTCGTTAACGGTAAGTTATTTTTATTTTTTTAAATCGGAATAAAATATTTTTAACTTTTATAAATAATTATAACACCGTTATTTAACGGTAAGTATTAAAATATAATAACGATAATACTTACGATAATTATTATATTAATATTAAAGTAAACGTTATTACTTAAAACGCGTTTTTAAAAAAAACGAATAAATCTTTATATTTAATTATTTTTAACTAAATAAGTATATATATTAACGAAAACGCGTTTATTAAAGTTATAAATAAGATAATATAACTCGTAGTCTTAAATGTTAAAGTTAAAGAGTTCGAACGTTAAATAATAACTTTTTACGACAATAACGAGGTTTATAAAAGACTTCGAAAGAATCTTAAAACGGTTAAATAACGATACCGTCGAAAGATTAAAAGTCTTTTTAAAAAAGTATATTTTAAAAAGAATAACGAGAAGGAACTAAAACGGTAACTACTCGAAGAATATTACTTTAAAAAACCTTTTAAACGTGTAAAGTTCGGACTTCCGGAACGATAACGTATTATCGGTATTTTTAACGACTTAAACGACTAATTATTAAAAGAAAGTCTCGTTTAACGTAAAATTAACGTAATTAACGTTTAAGTCGACTACGTTTAAAAGTTAAAGATTAAAAAAAAGTAACCCGTCTTCGTTAACTTATTATCGACACTTAAAAAAGTATTATATATAAATATTATAAATAGATTTACGGAGTCCGTCTTTTTTACGTTTAAACTAACCTTAATATTTATTATTAAGATAAATTTAACCTTTATAAGAGTACGGTATACGAATTTAATCCGAGACACTATAAACGGACTCGGAGATACCTTTTCGTAGTTAAATATATTTTTATTTACCGGGTTTAGTTAAGTACTTAAACTTATAGTTTTTAATCTTAAAAAACGTAAAACTAATAAAAGAAAACAACTACCGTTATATATTTTTTATTATCGTAACTTTATAAGGAACCGAAGTATATAAAACTATATAAACGACTATCTTTATCGTTTTTCGAGAGAAAAACTACCTTACCCTTTTATCGAGTATAAACTCTATAACGAGGTGTTTAAAAATAAGGTCGTATTTAAAGTTTATATTTTTTATAAGTATTACGTTATATTACGGCCGGATTTTATCCGTACCGTATATATATATAAGTTTATAAAAGTAAAAGTTGATTAAAAAATAAATAAGAGTTAAAAGAAAAAAAAAGAAGGTTACTTTAAATAAAGTAAAAGAATAAACCCTTTTATTATATACTATCCGATATTAACGTTCTTTTAAATAACGAACCTATTACTTTAAAGTAATATAAATTTATTATACCGTTATTTATCGTCTTAATATAGTATATCGACCCTTTTTATACTTTTTTAAACGATATAAAAGAATATTATTTTACGGTAAAATTCGTCGTTTATAATAATAATTCCGGTAATAGTATATATATATAATAAAACGATTTTTTTACGTTATATTTATAAGTTTAAATTTTATATTATAAACGTTAATTACGTTTCCTTTTTTAACGAGGGTTAAAATATACTTTATTAAAGTGTCGGGTTAATCCTTTATATAAAGTATATCTTTTACGTTATTTTTTAAACCTTAATAAAAAAATATTATATTTACGGAGTCGGTTTAGTCGAGGTAGGATATTAATAGTCCGAACTTTTTAACGTATATAAAAACCGATTTAACTTAAAGTAACTTAAAAATCCTTCTCGACTTTTACTTAAAACTTTAAAAAAGATAATATAAAAGATAAACGACTCTTTTAAGGTATCTCCTCGTTCGACTTTATTTAATAAGGATTAAATAGTATAATATAAGATGTACTTCGTAGTTAAAATTATAATAAAACGGTATACGGAGAGTACGTGGTTAACCTTGACGGTGATACGTTACCTTTAGTTTTAAAGTTTTTAATAACCGTATATATCGTCGTTTAAGGACGGTTTATTCGATTAATTATATTAAATAACGTCGTAGGTTAAAATATAGTTTTCGTTTCTTTTACGTAAAAGTTAAAGAGTAAAAGGGAGGGTAAAATAATAAAAAGAACGGTATAATTAATATAAATATAAATTAAAGGTATACTTCCTTTTTTTTATCCTCGAAAGTCTCTCGAACTATTACTAAAAATAGTTAAGTCACTTATTATATAAATAAAGGGGGATGTATAAAAGAGGAAGGTTATACCGTAGTGTTACGAGGTACTTAAAGTTCGGTTAAGTTTACGTTAAATTTCGAGATAAAAAGTAAACTAAAAAAAAAAAACGAAAAGAAAGTTAAAGGTAACTAGATAATAAACTTAATACGACTTACTTAGTCTTTTATAATATTTTAAAATACGACGTAAACGAATAAAAAAAAAAAAAGAGAATATAATATACTTTTTTATTTTTAATTTTTTATTAACGTATTATAATTATTAAGTTAATAATAAGTAACTTAAGAAATAATTTTATTACCTTATTAAATTATATTACTTATAATATTACTATTATCTTTATAAACCGTTACTAACGTACGATCGTTAAACTTACGGTTTACTTTCCTTTTTTACTTAAACACTATCTTATTAAATTTACGACCTTGTTTAAAGGGTTAGTCTATTCGTTTATTATATTCGATAACCGTCCTTAAAACGGTCGAGAAAGGTATGTTTAAGTGGCGTACGTCCGTACTACGGTTAACCGGAAACGTCGATCGTATATTAAACGATTAAAGTAAGTTTATAATAAATACTTTAAAGGACGTTATTAACCGTAAAAAAGGTATTTTAGTTAAATTACGTTTTAAGTTA